GATAATAGTGGGTTGCAGATTCATTCGTCTGAAATCATAACATAGTTAATTTGCTTTCTTTTTTCTATTTGTTTAATGAGAGCAAATGTGACCCTCTTTTCTTTGTTTTTGAGGGGAGCAAATGAGCATTTTATATTCATAAAAACAAAGAGTATAGTTTGGACTTGGATGGGAGGGGTTGAATCGACTTTGCCCCTTGATGAGCGCCTAGTTTAATATATATGAAGTGTCCAAGTCAGTGGTGCTATATTAAAATGGAATGGGATTCTTGTAGTCTTTAATTAATGGAAGTGAAATTAAGGGCCCAATTAAAGTCAAAGCTTAGATGCGTCCCTGTGTGTCTAATAATACGTCTTTGAGACGGGAGAATTGACTTCGGTGCCTCAAAAGCAGCATTAAAAGTGAAAGAGAGAGGGGGAGAGAGAGAGATTCTGCAACTTTGTCTTACTTCAATGGGGAGAGAGAAGGAGATAGACTTGGATATTGATCTCTCACTCAAGATTGATTCTAAACAAGAAAAGCAAGGAGAAGACGGAGACCAAGGCGAAGGCGAAGAGGAAGAGAAAGAGGAAGAGGAAGATCGCAACGACGATGATGATATTGAACAAGGAGCAAAACAAGAGGAGGAGGATGAGCAAGCACCAAGAGCACAGAATAACAACCAAAAAGCAGCAGAAGCCGCTGCTGGGGAAGTTGAAGATGATGCCTCAGTAGTAGAAACATCTTTGGAGGAGAATAACATGAAGACGGATCAAGAGGTACGTATAGATTGAATTTTATGTATAAACATATATAGCAACCTTGTAAATTATAATTATAATTATAATTATTTTTTTAATAATTGGTGAAATTAACTAACTACTATTATGTATATAATTAATGCATAACTAGCTATGCGTTTTACAAATGGAGATGAGCCGCATAAAAGAAGAGAACAAAGTTTTGAGGAAGGGCGTGGAGCAAACCATGAAAGATTATTATGATCTCCAAATGAAATTTACGGCTCTTCACCAAAGCAACCAAAACAAGGTGCGTATATATACTTAAGTTAATCCCATTTTAATTATGCTGTGTTATTAATTTTGTTTTTGTTTTTCCCCCTTTAGAGATGAATTATAAATCAGGCCTGGCCTTGTTTTATTTATTATTTAATATAAAATTGAATTTCATTGATTTAGGATCCTCAAACCTTTCTATCACTTGATGGTAATGATCCCGATGCTGTTCACGGACCCAAGACGATTCCAAAGAGATCTCCATTATCACCAACACGTGAAGATATGATGAAAGAGAGTCAACTAGGGTTGTCACTGAGGCTACAAACCAGCCCTACTACCAATATTCAATCACACGGAAGAGAAGAAGATGATGATGATAAGGAAGAGAACAACAAGAAGGAAGAATTGACAAGTTCAAGTCTTGCATCATCACTACTGCAGAACAAGCTTCAGCGAACCGAATTGGCCGGAATTTCGAGTCACGTTACTTCCCAACCCAACAGAAAAGCTAGGGTTTCGGTTAGAGCTAGATGTGAATCCGCCACAGTGAGTATAATTAGTACTTCTTCTATGCATATACGTTGAGTATATGTAGCTTCATCTTCATGCATATAATTATTGTAGTAATTAAGATAATAATAAGTATATATATTTCAGATGAATGATGGGTGTCAATGGAGGAAATACGGACAGAAAATTGCAAAAGGAAACCCTTGCCCACGAGCTTATTATCGTTGCACAGTAGCTCCTGGATGCCCAGTTAGGAAACAGGTAAATTTGCATATAAATTAAGTATTTAATTAGTAAGATTACTGGCATTGAATATCAATTTCTTTTTGTAGATACTTTTTCTAAGAAATGTTGTTCACACTCCGAGTTTATCTTTTTGCACTCATTCTACGAGAGAGTGCAACTGTGCAAAATAATATGCACTTTAGACTATAAATAGCAGTTGATTTTCTTAAATAACATTTATATAAAAAAAAATTAATATCTTTTTGGATGTTTTGTTTGGTACTGTAGGTCCAAAGATGCCTAGAGGACATGTCCATACTCATAACAACATATGAAGGAACACATAACCATCCACTTCCTGTTGGTGCAACAGCCATGGCTTCAACAGCTTCTGCAGCAGCTTCATTCATGTTATTAGATTCAAGTAACCATCATCTTTTAGATGGAACACCCTCTAATTACACCCAAGCATCCCTCCCTAATTACTATAATGTCCCTGATCACAGGATGAACCCTTCATCTCATTCCTCATCAAACTTTAGAACCATCAATCCTCATGACCCTTCCAAAGGAATTGTTCTTGACCTCACAAACAACTTTTATGATCACAACAATACACCACAAAACATTCCCATGGGCAGCTCCTCATCACACTCATCAGTACCACCAGGTTTTAGTAACTGGATGATGAGCACAAGTAGATCTGCAAGTAGTTATCAAAACCCTAATTCTATAACCAGCCATCTTTTGGCTAACAGCACTATTTCCAGATCATCAGGAGTTGGAGTGGAAGATCAGAGAAGTTGGAGAGGGGAAGAAAATAATATGTCATTGGCTGAGAATGTGACTGCCATTGCTTCAGATCCTAAATTTAGGGTTGCTGTTGCAGCTGCTATCACATCCCTCATTAATAAAGAGAATCATACAGCTAATCATCCTTTTGGTCCAAGGGATGGAGGAGAGAATGGTAGTTCTACTAGCAACAATTGGGCCCTTGATCACCAGTCCTTCTCAGCCAATGGTAAGCCCATTCGCAAAAACAGCTTAGAATAATAAATACTATCATCATTTCGTTTTTATGTAATCTTAATAAATACCTTCGTGCAAAGAGAAATTTATGGGTATATATACAAGAACTACTGTATATGTGCCATTTTCTTTCTAGATTTGGTTCTGTTATACGTAATTAAATTAATACTATATAATATGTAATGGAGTTTTTTATGTAATTAAATATTATCACATTCTTTCCATGCATATTGTAATTAGTTCAAAGCATAAATATGTAATATACAGAAGGGGAAAAAGAAAAGTAAACGATCAAATCTTGATATACATCTCTAAACGCGATTCATTAATATCCAAAGAGTTCATTTTGAGGTGTGAATTCAAGGATTGTACTTAAAAGCGATAAGGGTAAATACTTTTTTGGTCATTTGATTTTATATAAAATTTTAATTTAGTCACTGAGAAAAAATTGTAGCCAAATTGGTCACTAAATAACTCAACGTTCACAATTTATAGATTTATGTTGAATTTTTTTCATTAAGTAACTCACGTGCAGAGCCTTTAGTCATTGGATTAAATGTCGTTTTGGTTATTGAGTTTTACACAAAATTTCAATTTGTTCAGTGAGAAAAATATTTAACTAAAAGCCATGCAATGCCAAGCTCTTGCACAAACTTCCTGAAGCCCTACATTCACCAATAACAACACGATCATCCAATTAAATTTTGATATAATATTGGGAAAATGGGGCAAACATTATACATTAGAGAACATTTTTGCTTATCACTTTAACTCAAGGTATACCATCACCACCATTCTCAACACTTGACACGTGTCCATAAGTATAACCTTGGTTCCACAAATCCAAAGCAAACAATGGTTAGGCCCATGGACACGTGTCAAGTGTTGAGAAGAGTGGTGATGATACAACTTGAGTTAAAGTGGTGAGCAAAAATATTTTCTTATAAAGAAACTGCAAAAAGGATGGTGGTGGAGATCCGATGCTGAAACGCAAGTGAAGATCTAACGCTGAGACATAGCCGCCTGTGATGGGTGGAGAAAAATCATAACAAATGAAGACAAATAGGGAAACTTTTTGTCTGTAAAAATGAGGGAAGAGAGGAGAAGGGAGGAAGAGAGAAGGGGAGAGGGGAGGAAAAATAGTGGCTTCCTCCCTCCTCAAAGTGAAAATGACATTAGGGGTGTTGTTTTGGGGAAGATGTAGCTCACCAAGATAAAAGGAAGATGTAGCTCAATTGGTTAAAAGTATTTAACTATGCACCCGAAGCCCTAATTTCGATTATCCCTTTCCCCAATATCGCTTGTATTAAAAAAAAAAAAGTGAGTTAAGGTTAATATATATATATATCTATATATATAAAGCAAAAGACAGAGAATGGTGAAACATTCAAAATACCAAAAAATGTCATTGGTTAATCCAAACATTAAGAATTAAAATTATTAATTAAATGAGGATGATATGGTAAATTCACACTTTTTCATATTTTACAAATTAAAATTAAATTAAAATCAGATAATGAATCATATTTTTATTGAACATAACTACCCATTATCTTTTTTAATTCTAAAATAAATTTAATTTAATTTTTATAAAAAAGCCTCTCATTTATTTTTATTTTTTTAGAGCCTTTCACACGCGCGGGAGCGCGTGCGGAGAGGCTAGTATATATAAAGCGAAATGCAGAGAATGGTGAAACATTCAAAATACCAGAAAATGCCATTGGTTAATGCAAGCATTAAGTATTGAAATTATTAATTAAATGAGGATAATATGGTAAATTCACACATTTTCATATTAAAAAAATGCAAAATTAGAATTAAAATATGATAGATCATATTTTTATGAAACACAACTACCTATTATTATTTTTAATTCTAAAATAAAATTAAAAAATTAAAAAAAATCCTCTCTCAGGTGCGGAAGCGCATGTGGAGAGGCTAGTGTTTAATAATTGTGTAAGTCAATTTCCAAAAACAAAATTGATGAGTATACAAATAAATGAATTTTTTTAATTTTGTCTTGTAACTGTATTTTACTAGAGGCGGTAATTTCCCAAAAATAGTAGGTAGGGATAGGAAGGACACAACCGAAACCACCCAAAATCCAAACAGAGCCTAGCAGCTTCAGAAATACATAATTATCAGTTGAGTGACAAAATTTGGGGCAACCAAAACTGGACGCGCCTCAAGGGTTTTGCTGTAAACACAACACAAACTCTGCTTCTTCTTCTTCGACTCATGGGAAGCGCCGCAGTTGAGAAAACAGAGGAGGAGCTCCGTAAGGAGATCGATGAACTCCAAAGGCAACAGCGCGAGGTCTGCTTTTCTCCTGTCTACAATTCTCTCTCTATATGTAAGCATATATATATATATATATAAATTACTGTTTTCACTTTGATGGCTATGTGATTGTTTCAAAATCTTCAGATTACGGAACGGCTTCGAGACCCTAGGGGACTTCGCAAGGGAGGCTTGGCGGCTGCTGGTCCTCGCAATTTTGCCGCCAATGGTGCTCGTCCGCGAGGCTTTACTCGACCCGTAATTTACCGACCTGCTTATTTCAATTTCAATTTCGTTTGTTCTCTCTGTTTCCATGGGAACTAGTTACTGTGAAATTTTGCATTTTGTCTCAATAAAGTTAGGTTCATATAACGTTTATAATCATTATTTTTAATCTAGAGTTGTTAATTGGGCTTTGTGTTTTGTCTCTTAATTTATTTAAATTGACTTTTCAGGCAGATAGGCCTGATGAGGATCAACCTCCTGCAAAACGCCGGCTTTCATCAGCTGTTGTCAAGGTAAGGCCCCTTGCATGGTGATTAATCCAGTTATGTTCTTTTGGTAGTTGTAGTTTATATTCCCTCGAGCTAATCTCATTGAGTCCTAATCTTACTCTCTGTTAGAATTTTGGGAAATTAGAAAAAATCATGGTTGTATGAAATAAAGGGTTTGTTCGTTCGTCTTCCTAACATTCTTTAAAAATCCTGATTTGGAAATAAGGTGGAGGATGGAGAAATCACTGAAATTGCTGAAGAGGCCAAGGATGGGAAGAAGAATGATACAAATGAGGAAGCTAAAGCTGATCAGAGTGATAGGAAGTTGTCCAATTCCCAACAAAGTGGCTGGTCAAGGAGGGATGGAAATCACGGAGCAGCAAAGAAGGTAACTTTCAAGTCTTTTTCATCTCCCTGATTAGTGTTGCTCTGGGACCATAAATCTTTATTTACTTTCATTGTTTTATTTTTTTTGTTAGGATTTTGAAATTCCAGCACCAGATCATGTTCCAAGAGTATTGCCGAAAGAACAGGATCCCAGCTTGGTTAACAGGAACAAAAGAATGCTAGGACAACTTTTGGGGACTCTAGAGGTATGTGTGCGTTAGTTTTATTGGTTTTGATCAGCATCCAGTGTTTGAACTAATTTGTTTAGTTACAGTGCAAACTTTTAATATGGTTTATAAGTAAGAACATCTTCATTTAGGCTTTTTGTTCTTAAAAGTTGTTATCAGGTTCTTACCAACATTGTCTGTGGTTTCCGTATAGTTGGGAGTCTATTTGACGCATAAAACAATTAGTCTCTCTCTCTCTGTTTTCATTTAGTTGTTATTTTATTCCTCTTGTTCATTCCTCAAGTCCCATAGGTTTAGTTCTGTCAAATCTAACCCATGTCCAGCAAAGAAAACAAAACAATTACATTACATCATATCTAAGCTATACAATATCTTTAGTGACATCAGCCCTCCAATCCCATAAAGAGGTATTGAATCTAACCCATGTCCGGTTGAAAAAAAAAAAAAAAAAAAAAAAAAAAATAACTAACCTTGAGTGACATCATCACCCTCAAATCCCCTAAAGAGGTAAAATACAGGAGAAACCAAAGCCCATAAAGAGGTAATCAAACTTTGGTCTGCAAAACATCCATTCCAGACCATACTTTTCAAAGATCCTTCTATGTCTCATCCTTTAAATAGATTTATTAAAAAGAAGGTATTGCTCTCATGAGCTATAATTCCTGCAAGAGTTCATGCCTTCGCAGGTACTTCAGCCTTTCAAGTGATAGAAGAGGGACTGAAAAAGGAAAGAAATGGCTCTTCAATGAACCTTCTGAGAGAAGACTTGCACAAAAATAAACCTAAGAACTCATAATTCCAACTATGCGGTCTATATGAATTTAAAGTTACACTTTCTAACAAATCATGCATATTTCCACAGAGATCAAAATTCCAACTCAATGGAAAGGAATTATAAACATATTGGCAATGGAGACAATATACCAGTTCAAGATCTTTCACCACCAGATTCTCCAGTCTAAACTTTAACCACACGTGGATTTACTACCTAGTGGAATACCTAAATAATATTTAGGTTAGCTACCCCTCTTCCAATTTACTTGTGAATTTATTCCCTCCCGACGCCTCCTTGGCCACCAATGTGAATGAGAAAGGGAAGATTGGAGAGGAAGCCACTAGTTGGTCTTTTTAATTTACAAACCATCAGTTTTCATTGATCACGTATGTTTCCATTACTTGCTTTTATATGTTTATTATTATATAGGCATTCCATATATGGTAGATGCAGGGTGTCGTTTGCAATGATGTGGTGTCCAATGAAATAACGTACACCAATTACGCATTTAAGCGTTCACATGTTTAGGTCTTCCTTAAGACTTCACAGTGCGCATAAGGGATGTTCTTCAACACTTTACAGTCACCATATATTGAACAGAGGAAGTGAGGAAGCCACCAATTTGTCTGTTATTTAAAAACCATCATTTTTCTGACAGATTTTTTTTTTTCCATAACCAGTTATCAAAAGTAAATTTTGTTTGGCTTTTATTGAAATTGCATATACTTATATATTTTCCCTGCATGTGAAACTGTTGCAGAAATTCAGGAAAGAGGACATGCAACTTTCAGGAACAGAGGCATTCATGCGGAGATCAAATTCATTACAAAGAGTGAGTATATAATTAATTTCTATTATACTTTGTTCTATTTGACTGTGTTTTGGTTTGAAAACATCAAATTGTTTTCAAATTGTGAGTATGAAAATGGTTTGTTGTAACTATATATCTATGATCCGTAAAAATAACTTTTCTTTATGAATATTGGCATGTTGGGTGTTAGGTTGACATTCCATTCACCTGCGAGTACCCAACACTCATTTAACACTTACAAACTATTGATCCTCCCTTTTTATTTTCGCAAATTAGTAATGGTGGCCAAGATTATGGTGGGAAAGCCTTTTCCTCTCTCTATATTTTTTTTAATCTCGTGTGTGTTGAAGACAAGGCCTTGGAGAGAAAGATGCTCAACTAAAGCTGTGAGAGCTATGGGGCAATATGAAAAAAAAAAGTGTTAACCTCCATTGTTTCAATTTTTTTTCTTAAAAGGACTATGAGCTATTGTGCATTTTTGTTATTATGTATTCAGGTTTCTCTTATCTGGATATCTATTATGTTATGCAAGTCTGAATGTGCACATTCACTCCTGCCCACTCTTAAAACATAAACAATGTGTACACTTGTGAGTAGCAATTTATGAAGGCCGTATGTATCTAGCTTGATTCTTGTCTCTAGGATTTTTGGGGAGTTACCAAGTCGATAAACCTGTTTGAATATAGTTAAAGAAAGGTGATTGTACACGTGGGAATTTGATAAACATGAAATGGATATTTTGAAATCAGAAATAGTGTGTACTTTCTGGCCTAGCAAGGGTTGTAGAGTTAGCTGGGTGTTTAGAAATTGCTGGCGTGGGATTCTGTTCTTGTCCTTTTTTTTTTTGGGGTACTTCTTCTTTCTCTATAAACTTATTTTGTTTCATATCTGAACAAAAAAAAAAAGAACTATGGTGGTCCCTGTTGGGGGTACTTATGCATTCCATTTTATGCACCCTGTCAGCTCACAGGGATCATTTCTTTTGATTCCTTATTGGAGTTTCAGAACAGTCTTGAATGTACAGGACACACCTGATTTTCTGATCTCCTTGGAACTTAACCTATAGTTTTGTTTTTCTCTTTCTTTTGTGAATAGCTGACTTTAAAATGAAAATTTGCTATAGTTTAATTGCATATGATATGGATTTTATGGTACATTATCCGTTTTATATAGATGTGCTTGTATATCTAGACCTGTCGTTGGTGCGTTTCGTTTCAAGCTATTTTTCTTAATTTTCCTCTTTCCTTTTATTTAGCAAGTATTTTCAGTTTAATGATGAAACTTGTCATACTTGTCTTACTTTATTCAGGCTGAGCAAAGGGCTCGTGAAGAGAGTGAAAGACTTAGGCAACAGGAGCGTGAACAAATTGCGGAAAAGCGGAGGAGAGATCTGGTTTGTTTACAATTTCTGATACTTTGATCTCTACTAGTCGAACTGAAAATGAATGTCTGTTTGAAGAACGAACCTTATTCTCTAATGCCTGTGTTTATTTTTGGCTAGACTCTGCGGGCACGTGTTAATGCCAAGACGGAAGAAAAGAGATTGGAACTGCTTTTTCTTCAGTGGAGTGAGCATAATAAAAAACTTTGCAATTTTATAAGGTAAAAAGGTTTCCAATATCAATTTACATTGCTGCTGTTTTCCTTGATGTGTCATATCTTTGCTTACCATCTTTGACAAGTGAGAGTTTCATGTTCTTATAAAAAAGAAGAATTTAAATTCTAATGTAATTCTCTCACTATTTTATTTTTCTTTTGCAGGTTATTTTTAATTTTGGTCCAAAAAGTGTCCATATTCACATTTTATTGGGACAAAGATAAGTTTCTATTCATGTGAATAGTCGTGTTGAAGCAACCTGATGGGTGGTGTTTCCTGCCATTATTGTGGGTTGTTAGGTAGAATTAATTAGAACTTTCCTCTATAATAATTTCTTACTCAATTTTGATTGATATGTGTTCTTTTTCAGGACTAAGGCAGAGCCTCCAATTTATTATCTGCCCAAGAAACCATTGGATGAGGATCCTACGTTAGCTGAGCAGCGAAAAGAAAAGGTGAGTTTCTTGTGACATGGATAATGTCAGGTCGTTTTTTACAATTTTCAGGAACTGGCTTATTAATAGTTTTCTGATTTCTCACGCAAAATGAAATTGTGTGACTCTGGCACGAAATTTTAATATCCGCCCTTAAATGTAAGAATTCAGCAAGTGAATTCAATTTTGTGCTTGAGTTATGAGAAGTTCATGAAGGGTGGCCCTAGTGCGATCCTGATTTACAGTCTAATAAGATAACAATGGAAATTTTTGGCCAGAAATTTTTTCTATATATATAGGGACTTTCTAGAATGGAAAGCTGCACAAATGGTTTCGCTTAGAGTTTTCACTTGATTATTCTCATTCAAAACTGCATATCAGGAGTTTCTGGAATGGAAAGCTGCACGAAGAGAGGAACTGACTGAGTACCAGAAGCAGATTGGGGAGCAGTGTATTGCGAATGCTGAAAAGGAGTTGGAGAGGTGGCAAAATGCAAGGAAACCAAGGAAAGCAAACAATGATGTGATGAACTTACAGGAAACAATGGACAAAGAATTGGACACACATAGGCTTGAGCATGGCCCCAAGAAAAGAAAGATCCCTGACGGAAGCAACAACGATGAAGATGAGGATGATGTGGAAGATATCAATGTAGCAGAGGACTACATGATTGATGATGTGCTAGATGTTGATGATAACAGCCGGAGGATTGATGAAATAGTTAAACCAGAAGCAGGTAATACCAGTCCAAATGCGGATGCTGTTGAGTAGACCAACCATCGAACCTCTTTTTGTAAGTCAAGTCTCCTAGGAATATTTTATTTCTGTAGTTCATTTACTTGCCTCCTGTCAGGCAGTTTCTCTATTGGTGTGTCTTTATGTATTGTGCTTTAGAGTTAACTTATATTTCATTCTTCCCTTTCGCATGCATGTGTATTTCGGAAGGGAAAAATTTGGTCTTATAGATTTTAGTGTAGTTGTTGCTTGCGACTGGGGATGGATTATTTGTTTTTGTTAGTGCATATTTTGCATGGGAATGAAGTGCACTCGGAATTTTGCCACAATTTAAAGCTCAATTTGTATAATGTTTATACATCTGACAAATTTTTTTTCTTCTTCTTTCAACATTCTATTTGAACTCAAAAACTTGCTCTCCATACCAATCTATACAATCGTTTTATCTCAAATTTGTAAAGAAATAAACTTTTTTCATGCTACAGTTTGCCACCCCACCAGCACAATGGTGGCATTTTGGACAGTGCAAGAAGAGATGGAGGCTGAACCGGGAGGAGGGTTGGGTGGTGTAAGGTCATGTCTGCATAAAAACACTTCCTTTTCCATTACTTCTAATTCACACCAAAAGTTAAAACTATAATAGTTCCTTAGTTACAGAAGTTGGATTGCGCATAATCTTTCCTAAAGTACCACATTTTAGGTCTTCTAATGGCAGCCATATTTTCTATAGCACAACCAAAACGTCAAAAGTGAGTCAACTTCTAGTCCGATCTAATATGAAATGAAATGGAAAAGGGTGAGCTACAAGGCTTAGCAAACAACTATTTATGGTCAGAGGTGAGAACGAGGATCACAACTGTACAATATTTGAAATGAAGTGTAGAGAGTACACAAATCATAAAAGAACAATTACCATTAATAGTTATGCAACAACAACACAATAGCTTTTATAATCCTCACCAGAGTTTCTAACGATGCTTTACTGCCATGGTGGTCGCATGGGCCTTATTGCCAGTTGGCCGGAGGTCCTAACTACTTCAATGTATGAAGGCACAAACACCGTAATTCAGAGTGTCATAAATTAACCACAATTTTGATTGTTATTTGATATTCAATTTTAAATTTCTTTAACAATGAAAAAAAATAAAAAAAAAAATATATCTGAATTTGAATTTTTTTTTTTTTTTTTTTTTTTTTTTTTTTTTTTAATAAGGGGAAGAACAACCCAAAAAGAAACGACAACTAACTAGTACAAATCAAGCGAGACCTAACAACTCTTAAAAAATATATTTGAATTCTTCGATACAATAAGAAGCAATAGAAACCCACCTGCATCAAATGTCTAAAACTATGATTTCCATAACACTTGTATAGTAATGAGAAAATTCTAATATATTTTAGTACCATCCAATCCAAGTGCGTTCTTAGTAAAGCTTAGAGCTACTTTCCTTGTGTTTTTCTTTCTCAAAATAAGCTTAAAGTTATGGTTTCTCCAAGTTATATAGTTTGCTGAGAGAAGCATGACTTGGAGGTTGCACGACTCATCTTGTTCTTATTCAGACACTGAGGTGGCACACGAATAGTAAACATCAAATCCAAATTGATTTATGAAGGTTGAGATAAGCAATTCACTCCAGCATGAGGTGTTAATTAAAAGCACAAAGACTTAGTCTATAAAAGCATGATGTGTCGACTTATTTAAGTGCTAATCTACTCAAGCAGGAGGTGTCAAGTTGGAGGGAGACTTTAATACAACACGGATAACACTTTTTGTTATTCCTAATTAAGAGCGCAATGACACACGGGATAATTTTTTGAAGTATAATTGCATTATTGCTACCCCCGTTACAAGATATTTTTTCTGCTCAAGTTGCTGTAACTAAAGTATAATATTGCAATTTGATCGTTAAATACTTTTTCAAATTGCATAAGAGCCCTAAACATATTGTAAACATCTCCCCAAATTTTGACTAATTATAGAACTCGTAAACTCCAGAAGTTTAATATCTTTAAATGTGAGCTGAGAAACAACTAAGCCACAATATGTATTTAATGAAGTACTTAACATGCATACTTAACTGTAGACGTTCTTGAATTGTAAAAAATATTTTTGTTTTTTGATATATTCTTTTTTAGAGTTAAATCTGGAAAGGATTTTCTTTGCAAATATTTTTTTGGACAGACAATGCAAAAATAAATCAATAGAATAAAATAAAAAACAAAAGGTGTAGTACCTCCTGCAACAGTAATCCCCATCATCAAAGTAAATTATGTGCGCCTTTTTATTTCTCTCTCAAGCAAAGTCACCAAAAGCGCCCCTCTCTCTCTCCTCTCTCTCTCCTCTCTCTCCTCTCTCTCTTCAATATCAAGCAAACACACACTGTACAAGAAGAAGAAACAGAGGCCACACAGAGAGTGGGAGGAGGGGAGAGTGAGTGAGTGACCGACTAAGCAAAAAACCCTCCAAAAACCCACCAAACAAAATGACATCAAGAGCCAACCCGAACCCGACCCCCAATGGAACCGCAAACGGCGAGCACAGACAGCGGGGTACACCGCCACGACCACCGCCGTCGTCGTCAAACCCCCATAACAGCAACCACCACCCCTACTACCCAACGACGTCATCTTCCTCCTCCAACTCAGCCTCCTTCAAAGGCTGCTGTTGCTGCCTCTTCCTACTCTTCTCATTCCTCGCCCTCCTGGTCCTCGCCGTCGTACTCGTCATTGTCCTCGCCGTCAAGCCCAAGAAGCCGCAGTTCGATCTCCAGCAAGTCGGTGTACAGTACATGGGCATCAACTCACCCAATCCCACCCCCGCCGCCGCCGCAACCGCCGACCCCAACCAAAACCCTACATCCGCCTCCCTCTCGCTCAGCATCCGCATGCTCTTCTCCGCCGTGAACCCTAACAAGGTCGGGATCAGGTACGGCGAGTCCAGGTTCACCGTCATGTACCGCGGGATCCCATTGGGCAAGGCCTCCGTGCCCGGGTTCTTCCAGGACGCGCACACTGTACGGCAAGTCGTCGCCACCATCTCCGTCGATCGAGTCAATTTGCTTCAGGCCGACGCCGCCGATTTGATCCGAGACGCTTCGCTCAACGACCGCGTCGAGCTCAGGGTCTTGGGTGACGTTGGCGCCAAGATCCGCGTCTTGAACTTCGATTCCCCTGGCGTTCAGGTCAGTCTCTCCCTCCCTCACCATCTGTCGTCTCTGAAATTTCTAATAATGGTGCTTAGATTAATACATAATGCCCCAATTTTCGCTTTAAATTCTGTTTGGCTGGAGAGAAAATATGGGGCTTTGGGTTTTTCACTCCTCTCTCTCTAAGTTGAAAAAATCACTGAGAAGCCCACTATCTCCTGTCCCATTCACTCTGCCTTTTCTTTTTCCTTTTTTTTTTCTTCTAAATTGGGTTGGTTTTATTAATTTTTTGTTTTGGCTAACGTGCAAATGCAATTTGATATTGTTTGTGAAGCGGATATTCTTTCCGTTTTTGCATCAATGCCCTTTCACTTGTCTGTATTTTTAACTGTTTCCTTCCTACCTTCTTTGTTCTTTTTGTTCCAAATCATCACTTTCATTTTTGTTGGCTTTGTAGTTTTGGTAATTTTCTTAGATGGGTTTCTGTGTTTTTGCGTGAAGTTTCCAGAATTTCTGTTTTTTTCTTCTTTCTTCTTCTGCAAAATATAGTAACTCTGGGATGTGGGTTGTTTTTGGAAAAGCATATTGAAAAGGGGGGCTAGAGAGAGGAATGAGTATGAAAGAAAGCTGGGCTTTTATAATAACGGCCGTGGTAATTGCGTTCTTTTTAAGCACCATTTTTTGGGACGCACCAATTATATGAGAGCTACATGATGCCATGAGCCTTTTCTTATTGTAGATTTATTTGACCATAAGTTTTGTTTGAGAGTTATGAATGGTCACATGCATCTTCGGATCAACACGAGAAAAACTTACCTATACCGGGGATATCATTGCCTATATTATTATAAGTAATTAGTATAAATTTTGTGAGAATTGGCAATGTGTCCATGTGATTAAGACTTTAAGGCGTGGTTAAGGCGTGCCATTTGGTTCAAGTTTGAGTGAAGCATGTTCCTGGATATTTGGGTCGGTGTTCTTTTTATATTTTTTTTGTTTTCATTGTTTTCTGGTTGGTTTCTTTTTATTTAATTCCCGATTTTTTTTATGGGAATTTTATTGTGATTTTTATATGGGGATGAAAGAGATGTTTAAAGAGTAAAAAAGGAATAATATTGTGGTTAAAAAAAAAAAGGTCCCACCGGGACTCGAACCCAGGTCGCTGGATTCAAAGTCCAGAGTGCTAACCACTACACCATGGAACCCTTCGTTGTTCTGTTGCCTTGCTTTGAGCTTTTTGTTTTGTGTTTTTATGGTCATCTTTGTGCTTCAAAAGTAATTTTTTTCTTGCCCTTCATTTTCCATGACATTTGTGTATGTTTTGTTGGTATTTATTTCATGTTCCATGTTTGGGTATTTATTTCAGTGACTTGTATATTTAATTTCTGTATGATTTTGTTTATTGTTATCAGCATATGTGCATGATTGACTAGGGACAAAAATTCAGAACGTATAAATATGCTTGCAGGATTTTTTACATAATTGTTTTACATTAACTTTATGACTCTGTCTTTTGACTCTGTGTGAACATTGGAAATTTCGAATAGTAATTAAAATCCAAACGGGGAACAGAAAAGAGGAAAGAAAATGGTTAATTTTGCAGAGCCAAAGAAAAAGGCAAAGATTAATTGGCCTTTCTGGGGAGCAAAAAAGCTTTGCGGCCCCACCATGTGACTTTGGCTTGTGTGGGAGCCTCATGGGTGGGCCCACATGGTGAGCTCATTTTCAACGGCGTGGATAATAATGGATGCACAATAGGACAATTGGAAGCTGATCTAGATATCTAGAATTATCTTTGAACTTTTTGGGGTTTTCGTTCGGTGGGGTGGTCTTTAGGCTCTTTAATTTCATTTGAAATTTTAGCTGCGTGACAGGTCAGGTCAGGTCAGATAGGATCCAGCCTTGTCTCTTTTGGGTCTGAGCCTGAGGTAGAATTGAGCCTTTACATATCACTATTTGTGCTTGCCAGTGGCATGCATTAAGCAAACTTAAGCAAGAAGAAATCTTAACATGCTGCTTCTCCAATCTGAGTTGATATTTAGGTTTTTTATATTTAGTATAAAGTCATGTTTGGTGAAATTTCAATCAAATGATGTCGGCGTTCATTGTGCATTGTGAGTTTAACGCGATATCAAGCGTTCATTGTGCATTGTGAGTTTACGTTGATCCTATGTTTGTGATTAAGCATTGGCGTTATGGTGAAATGAACACGATCGAGAACACACGGTGTGACTTTGTGTGACGAACTCTAGTGTAAATCATAAAATAGAATAAGTGTATAGGGAAAGAAGGTTTATATTTAACTAAACAACATGAATGTTTAAGGATGTTTTTAAGCTGGGTTCCATTATATGTGATTTGGTGGTGCATGATGGTCCAGTCACAACGCTGGCATTATTTGCTTGTGCAGACAGTCTTTTTCTTTATGCTTGTTTTCTTGTCCTTTTCTTTTCTTTTTTCTTGTGTTTTGTTTTTGGGGCTAATATAATTTTCGGTGGATCTAAAACTTTTGAGTTGATGTGCAGGTGTCCGTGGATTGTGCAATTGTTATAAGTCCAAGGAAGCAGTCTCTTACTTACAAGCAGTGTGGATTTGATGGATTGAGTGTCTAGCCCTTCCTCTCACTTCACTTAACAGTAACAAATTCCCACTCTCCCAAGTTTTACAGTTTTTTTCTTTCTTCTTGTAATTTTCACTCTTCAAATTGGGAGAGAAATGAAAAGGTAAAAAGGTAAAAAAAAGAAAGAAAAAAAAAGAGGGGTAAACAAAAGCCCCCAAGTGAATGGAGTTGTAGAGTTGTAGCAAAGAGGGAAGGAAAAGTTTATAAATTTTGGGTTCCAAGATTTTGCACAAGTTTTAGATGATGATGCTGGTTTTGGTTTCTTCACTTGGTGGAAACTTGGAGAGGGCAAAGCTGCTAACTGCGTGTAAAGTGTAAAAACTGCCGCTTTCTTTCTATAATGCATTTTCACGCCCCATTTGGCTATAATCCTCTCTTCCCTCGTGGTGTTTCCTTTGCTTTGATTCTTCTCCTTGACTTTTTCTTTTCTTTTTTCTTTTTTATTGTTCAGTTTATACAAATAATATTTGAGTCTAGGGTTTGGCTAATCTCTTCTTGGTCGTGGTCGTGGTCGTGGTTTCATAAATTGTTTGTCTTATAGAAATAGAAAGAAACTTTCTTAAATTTTATATAAAGAAAGAAAAATTGGGAAGGAAAAGTGTGGCTCATTCTTGTTATATTACTTTGCTTGCATGGGATGGCTACACCTTGATATAATCAAAATTAGACCTGGGAATATTGTGCAGTACGCAATATACTAGAAGCATATTGCACTTCCAAATGTCCTTTCTAGAAGTACATACATTATTTAAAAATACGCTTCTAATAAAACTTTTTTTTCCTTCTAAAAGCGCTAATGAGAAGAAGTGCTGCCTATAAAAGAACTTCCAAACACCTATATTCTAAACTTAAAAAAATCGAGGTTGTACATCGAAATTATAAATATTAAAAACAAGTTAACTCCATATTCATGAGGAATGTTCAACATGACGCAAATTTGTCACAGCTTCACCAATCACATGGTGAAATTGAGAACTAGTCAACTATTCCAAATGATAGTACAAATTCGTAATACAAATATATGAATGAGCAATTTAGACTCCTCTCCATGGATGACATGAGAGAGACAAACCTTGATTAAGCCCATGAATCCCCCTTTAAACTCATCAAAGTTAAAAAGCAGAAAACACACTGCACGAAAAACGGATAGTTCCAAATATGAAATGAACAATCATAATGACCCAAATCCACCATAGCATAATCTAAAAAGTTAGACCCACACCTTTAGAATCTTTTTTTATGAATGCAAACTATAGGTTGGGGAAATTGACACACATAAATACAATTATGATGTTGTGGGATTCAAACCTGAGACATTTAGTCTGCAAGTCAAAATTATTGACTCTTTGTTCATCGGGTTAGACCCCGTGTGCACACCTTATCCAACATTTTCCAACATTTAAAAGAAACATTTTTGTTATCAAATTGACTTAACATGAGCCCCAAAAATACTTTCAAGTATGCATGGACTTGGCCCTCAGAACAACCGCCATTGACAAAGGCATTGGTCCAATAAGCTCTTATGGGCCCAAATAGGTGAGGGTTAAAATAGTAATTTCGGATTGAGGACCAGCAGCATGGTTTCCTTTTCTCTTTTCTTCTCTTTTTGTTTTCGTTGGAAAGTAAGTAGGGTTTCTTTGTCTTGTTTGTGCAGCAAGTAGGGTTTCTTTGCTGCTGCCTGCTTAGTAAGTACCAAATCCTAATCCAACTGCAAATGGGAAAACAAATTAAAACAGGAAATAAATCAATTATATCCGTGTGTGTGTCTATATAAAGCAAAGGGCACCTGCAACCTCTTCTCGTGGCTCGTCGTCGATTTTCAGAAGACTTATATTTGTTATTGATTGTTGTTATAATTAAATGGAGAAATTAAAAACAAGAAGAGCAGCAGCAGGCAGCAGCAGAGAGAAGCCATTGATGAAGATCCCGAATTCAATTTGTTTCTTCTCAGAGTTGGATCATAAAATAAACGCAACGGAGCTTCTCGTCCAACTAAGCAATGGAGAAAGCAACGGCAGCAACAGCACAGAAGAAAGCCATGGAAAAAGCAGAGCAGCTTCTCCTCCTCCGTCCGAAGATGAAGATGAAGAAGGTAGAATGCGTTTGTGGCGGAGGAAGAAAAGATTTCGGTCAATCTCGGATCTCTACAAGTCGACCGAGCCTCTTATTGCAGAAAAGGAAACAAAAAGGAAGAGGAGGAGGAAGACGAGCAGGAGTGTGCAGAAGAATTAATGTCTTGTATTTTTTTTGTTGTTGCTAAAACAAACATAAAAAATAAAACCAAGTAGTTGCTTGAATTAACCTCAACGAGAGAATCGATAAGAAGTTTAAAGTTTCCTTCACTTCAATTATGTTTTGAGAAGAACGTTCATCAAAAGCATGAATGAGCTCCTCTTTAGAGTTTAATCTTCGACGCATGATCTTTTCTTACAAGTATGTAATATATTTACAGGCTAACATTTTTTTCTAGCAATTTTTTGGACTTTAAATGAACTTTTTTCAAGATTTAAGAACATAGTCATTCAAGGCTCCCTTAAAGCCTTTTACAAGTACCCGAAGTTGTGCTCCCCTTGAGTGGTTAAAATTCTAGAAATCCAAAAAATTGGGTTGAAAGCCTTAGCTTGCCAAAATTTCTCCCTTCTTCTTGGTTTTCCTTCCCTGCAACCCCTCAACCCCGGGAACCAACCCCTACTGCTAATAAACCGGGTTTTGTGCTGGGTTTTGTTTCTCCCCAATTCTTTTGAACAGGTTTTTTTTAGGATCATTTATGTTGTAGAGTTGGAATTACTAGATCTAAATGGATCTTTAATTACTGGTTGCTGTGAGATCATGTGGGATACTGGAGGTGTCGTGGCCTTCTTTAGCCAGGTGAATGTTAGAGCAGTAAGGCCCTTTCAATTTTGGCGCTTTCGGCTCCCTGTTCACACAAAATATTTTGTTCTCATGATCTCTCTGATATACTGGTTCTGCACGGACTCTTCTTGATCCTCTATATGGTACCGTTGAGTGAGCTAGGCTTCATTTTGTACTATTTATCCCTCACTATCTTGTTGAATTTAGTTCTCTAAATTTATTGTATGCAAGAACCTTCATTTGAGGTTTGTTCTTCTTGTACCTTCTTATATTTGCCCCTATATTAAAGAATTATACTTGTTCTATATATATAAAAATAATAATAATATATATATATATTAAGATTTTGTTGTTGGGATGGTAAGTGGGCCACAGAACAAGGCCTTGGTCCAGTAAGCTCTTATGGGCCGTAATGGATGAGGGTCAAAATGATAATTAAGCATTGAGGACCAGCCGGGTCCCACCTTCCAGCATATTTCCTTGTGCAAGTAGGAAAGGTAATGAAAAGTAAAGAACTTGTAATCCAAGCAGGAAAACAAATTCAAACACATAAATAAATAAATAATAAATATCAGAAACCGACTCTGCCTGCGTCTATATAAAGCAAACGGACCTGCAACTTCTTCTCATTGCTCGTCGCTCGTTGAGTATCAACTAAGTTATTATTACCGTTGACCCAAAAACAAAAAAAAAGTTATTATTACCAACACCATAACAAATTATAAAAACACAAACATTTGTCATTGATTCTTAAAAATGGCGAAATCAAGAACAACAGCAGGAGGAGCAAGCTGCAGCAGCATGAGCAGAGAGAAGCCATTGATGACGATCCCAAATTCAGTTAATTTATTATCGGAGTTGGAAGTAAATGCAATAGAGCTTCTCGTACAACTCAGCGGATCATCGTGCTGCAACGGCGGCAGCACTGAAGAAGAAAGCGAAAGCAAAAGCAGAGCAGCTCCTCCTCATCATGATGATGATCAGTTGTCGTCGTCGTTCTCCAAATACGAAACATTAGTGTCTGAAGAAGATGAAGATGAAGAGAGGTTCGAACCGAGGAAGAGAAGATTTCGGTCGATTTCGGAACTTTACGAGTTGACAGAGCCTCTTAATCTTTTTATTGTTGCAAAGGAAACACAAAGGAAGAGGAGGAAGATCATGTCAAATTAATTCCACTTCCAAGTGGTTGTTTTTGTAATTAGACTAATTATTTTATTTATTTCATATCTCTCCTAAAAAAGCACAAAACGCGTTATACTTCCAATAAGCTCCGGATATGGTTGTTGATCTGGTTTCTGGATTCGAGAGATATGTGAAACTACTTGGTTTGCTTTGTTCTCTTTTGAAACCAACCCAAGTTTACACATTGAAAACTCAAAACGGATTCAACCAAAAATACAGCATACAATTAGAAACCTCTCGAAACTTGGAAAACAATAGAAGCCTTAAGCAAAATAAAGGTTCTAAAAGAAAATAATACAAAGAGCAACACCAAAGGATTGGTTGTTACATTGACAACACAAGATGCATATATGCAATACATGGATTCTCTTCTTCTAATGAGAACCTGACATTCGAAATGTGTCTGACTCTTCTAAAGCAGTTTTAAAATGAACCTTTTCCTGTCTGGAGAGGAGAGGAGAGGACTGATGAGAGCGATTTTGTAGAAACCCGATAAATATCATATCATCTTACCTTGGACCTCCGTCAGTGCTCACTGCGTTGTTCGTTATTGGCACCAAGCAAAATGAAAACTTCTCTACGTTTTATTAGGGTTGAATATGGTGAGTATGGTGTAATGTACTTATTAAAATTATATTTGTTTCCCAATTCCATATATCCTTTTGGTCATTTTATATTATGGTAAATTATTAATTCAACAAATACTTTATTAATAGAGAGTATTCAGTTAATTTTAGGGTTTGTTTAATAGCACTCTTAACCTAACGTGAAACTTAATGGCGTTAATCTCCCTTCCAAGAGGTTAAGTTTCATGGTTAGGTTTATTATTTTTTTTTTTCTTCTTTTTTTTTTTTTTTTTTTTTTTTTTTTTTTTTTATTCTTGAGCATTAGGTTTTTGCTTAAGGATGATGTTTCATATTTAAATTCCCTTTGATAATTAGATTAAATTTTATTGAGATGGCATCTTGAAGAAAGAAGTCAAACAATCATAACAGAGAAATCTAAGAAGATGATCCGGATCCAAATTTTCCATCGCTCGAGTGGTTAAAATTCTAAAGTCAAAAAAATTGGGCTGAAGGTCTTTAAGCTTGCTCACAATTTGGCTACTTTCCAAAACTTGACAGACAAGGCATTAGTCCGGTAAGCACTTATGTGCAGAAATAACTGAGGGTCAACATGGTAATTAACGAAAAGAAAAGGAAAGAACTAAATCCTAACCCAAGCAAGAAAACAAATTCAAACCGACCGTGTCTCTCTCTGTCTCTATAAAAGAAAGGGCACCTGCTGCAACTTCTTCTCGTCGCTCGTCGCTCGTTGATTATCAACTAAGTTATTATCACGAACAACATAATAAAATTACAAAAACACAAATATTTGTCATTGATCGTTAAACATGGCGAAATCAAAAACAAGAGAAGCAGGAGGAGCAAGCTCCAGCAGCAAGAGCAGAGAGAAGCCATTGATGATCCCGAATTCAATTAATTTCTTCTCAGAGTTGGAAGTAAATGCAATAGAGCTTCTCGTGCAACTCGGCGGATCATCGTGCTACAACGGCCGCAGCACTGAAGAAGAAAGCGATGGCAAAAGCAGAGCACCTCCTCCTCCCGGCCACGGCCTTCGTCGTCGTCCTTCAAATACGAAACATTATCTGAAGATGGAGACGAAGAGGAAGATGTATTGAGTTTCGGACAGAGGAAGAAAAAGTTTCGGTCAATTTCGGATCTGTACAAACAAGTTGACAGAGCCTCTTAATCTTGTTATTGTTGCGTAGGAAACATAAAGGAAGAGGAGGAAGATGATGTCAAATTAATTCAACTTCCAACTGGTTTTTGTTTTTGTAATTAGACTAATTATTTGATTAACCGAATGATATCTATTTATTATATTTATATAAATTTATTTATATCATACATCTCTCAACGGTCACTATTTCAGCAGGCAACTTCTTTCTTGGGGAGCAATTAAACCTTTTTTTAACCAATAATTACTGAAAATGCCCCAATAGAGGTCACCTCGATTCCAACGAACTACCAAAAAAACAAAACGCGTTATATTTTCATTAAGCTCTGGGCCGTTGTGTGCGAATATATTTGAATTCTATTTGGGATCGTAAAAATCCTATAAGGTCTCGAACCCTAACGAGGAGATTTCAAGGGAAAATCAAGGACAAATGCGGAGATCATCGAATTTTAAAAATTGATGATTGGCAACAAACGAGAGATTGTATTGTTATTTCCGTCTTCGGATTCGAGCGATAAGTGATATTTATTTTAAATTGATAAATATTTTAAATAACACTTTTCTCTTTACACATGTTAAGTAGAGTCGCTCTTCATTGCTACATGGCTACACCATAACTCCTTCAACACTCCTCATTCCTCCTCCTTCACGCTCGTCTTCCTTTTTTGATTATCTCTTGTTTCTTGGCGAGTTAGCGACTAAAAGGAAAAAGTTCTCTCTTGTTTCTTTTATATGTTGAGAAATTTGGAGAACTAACCTTTTCTCTATAACACCTTCAAGACTTTTAACCAACTTTTTTCAAGATTTAGAGATATAGTTACTCGAGGCAGGCTTCCTTGAACCTTCTTGAGGGGTTTCGATTGCTCGAAGCCCTAAAAAAAGAAAGTTTGAAGTCCCCTCAAGATGTTAAAAATATGAAAAATTGGACAAAAACTCTTTTAACATTAAATTGGGTACTTTCCAAAATTTCCCCATTATGTTGTCTATCTCCTAAATAACAGAAATATTTTGTTGTCCCGCATCATCTGGTAAGAATTGACCCAACATTACCCAAAAAACATTTTCTCGTCTCCTAACCGACGTACTTGGCCTTGAGACAAACCACCACCTTTGATTGAACAAGGCATTTTTGGTCTAATATAGGGATCATCATCGGGCCGGCCCAAAATGTTTGGGTTTGGGTTTGGGCTGGGCCTCATGAATTTTTTTATTTTTTGTGCCGGACCGGGCCGAAGTTTCAAAGGTTTCAAATTTAACTAAGTATGAAAAATTAATTCTTGAAATACTAATGTTTTCAATGATATTTTTGGCGTTTATATTTTCTTACATCTTGAATAATTAAACACGATGTTATGAGATTTTAATATAAAGTATACATTGACTTATTGAGGTATCAATATTGGTATAAATTGTATCATATAGTAAAACTGGATTCGGAATTTGATTTTCTTGTATTTTTAATTGAATCCAAATGGGAGTACTTCCATATTTACATGTAAACTTAAGTAAATGGAGTAATATAAAAATAAATTAAAGTAAAAAGACAAGATGTTTACTTAAATAGTTGGAATGGAAATAAGGTAATATGAGGCAATGAGCGTGCCGGACCAGGCCGAAAGTTTTAAATCCTAAGCCCAAGTCCTACCCAACCTTAGAACAGGCTGAGTCGAGCAGACCTAATCATCAAATTGGGCCGGACTTTATCAAGTCTTGGACTACTCACTTCGGCCTACGGGCCACGGGCCAAATTATGATCCTTCCCTCCAATAAGTGTTATGAACCGAAATAGCCCAGGGCCAACATGGTCATTTCACATTTTTCCTTGTGCAAGTAGGAAATCCTAATTCAAACGGTACAAATAAACGCGAACCGACTCTGCCTCTGCGTGTGTGCGTCTATATAAAGCAAATGGCACCTGCAACTTCTTCTCATCGCTCATCGATCGTTGATTATCAACTAATTTATTATTATTATTAAGAAGACAAATTATAAAAACAAATATTAATATTTGGTATTGATTGTTAAAAATGGCAACAGCAGCAGCAGGAGCAGAGAGAAGCCATTGATGATCCCAAATTCAATTAATTTCTTCTCAGAGTTCGAAGTGAACGCAATAGAGCTTCTCGTACAACTCAGCGGATCATCGTCCTGCAATGGCGGCAGCACTGAAGAAGAAAGCGATGTCATACATTATTCGCTGAAGACGAAGACGAAAACGAAGTGAGTTTCGGACCGAGGAAGAAAGGGTTTCGGTCAATTTCGGAACTGTACAGGTTGACAGAGCCTGTTAATCTTGTTATGGTTGCAGCAAAGGAAAATAAGAGAAAGAGGAAGAGGAACGAGCATCCTGTTAATCAATTTAACTTCCTGTTGTTGTTATACTAATTAATTATTATTCTAATTAACCTCAGCTGTTAAGTTAAAGCTCCGGGGCATTGTAGTGATATGTTCTCCAGTTAAAACATACCCCGTGGCATCCTGAGTGATATTTTATCCAGTTAAAACATGCCATGTGGCAGACTCATATCAAACCGTGTTAGAAAGAATTGTAAATCTCCCCAAGCAAGCAGGCAGGCGTGTTGAATCGAAAGGCAATATAATAGCGTAAAGGATGAACCAATCCATTTTATTACCAAGCTGTGAATTCGGCTTTTGTTAAATTTTACATAACAATGGTAATGCTCGCATCGCATTTTCCTCCTCAAAGAATTCCAACTTCTTTTACGGCATAACACCGTGCAAGTTAGCCATTCGGTACCAATCCCAGGTATCCGAGTAATCGGTGAACTCAGTCTCCGTCGTGCAAAATCAAAGATAACATGTCTAAAAAGTAGTAAATTTGAGGGCAGGTGAAAGCATACTACACGAAAACAAGGCAATTAGAAGAACATATCTTTACTTGCTAAAACAGGTTTCCTCCCCTCTAGACTACAATAAGACTTGAACTTGTAAGGGATGCATGCAATCAGGGTTTGGCTACACAAAGATAACATGACGATGTTCTCAACTTGTTTGTGAAATTTACTTTTTCGGAACCAAGTGTCTTGCGTAAATACAAAATCTGAGATCCTGTTTACTCTTCTAAACCATGATCTAAGTATGCAGCTGATTAAAAAGACAATTCACAGCTTCAGGTTCTCGAAAGCTCCTTCAATGCTCTAGATGGAATACATATTCTGTCAAGTTCTGCAATTTTCTGGCATCCAGTTTCTGCTCTGTAACAATGGGCTGCTTCTTCACAGTAAGCATTTGAGATGCAGGGTCCACAGCCCAACCTTGCTGTTGTACAACTGCATATGACAACCAAATCTCAAGAATTTGCAACATAAATGATAACATGCCTAAAAGCATATGTATGCAATTAATGGAAAAAATCATAAAATATTATCCTCTTTTATATTAAGGAAATAAGTCGTTATTTATGATAAGCAGTGTCATCGAAGACTTGGCAGCCTTTAAAGCAAAAAGAACTGTTTTGAAAGGGAATATAAGAAAAAGCAATGAAAAACTGTAGTTAATCAAGGTTCTTAAAGTTCTTCTCCCATATTTTACATCCAAAATTCTCCAAAATGTAGGCAGGTACGCCTTTCTTCTTATATTTTAATTTGATCAACAGTATGGACAGAACACCCAAATCCACCATAACATAGACATTTACTTGCCACTCTAATATGACAGCTCGGGCTCATTCAAGACAATATGATTAGGTATGAACAAAATTACACCAAAGCCAACTCTGCCACTGTGTTGAATCTTTTTCCGATCATCCATTGAGGCTTCTTAGTGACTTTTCAACTGGTTTATCATTCTTGATATATATATATATATATATTCCTATGTTTGTAAATCTCAAAAATTACCCCTCCTAAACCAGCGGAACCTTTTTACAGAGAATCTACTTATTCAGGACGAATATGCTTCAAAAAGGTCATACCTCCAACTGTTACATGGTTAATTTCCCAATGATATATCTACTATCTTTTCTCATAGACAAAAACGATTTTGGTTTTTCGATTTTTTTGGCGATTCCGTATGTTCTTAATGTGCAGCAACGAAATAGGGTTACTATCTGGACAAAGCATTAAGATGTTTGTTTTTCATTTTTTCAGAAAATAAACTTAACCCTGGGAGCAATTTGGAACATATACATTTGTGAAAACAGAAGCTTACAAGTTGTGGCATCATCCTCGCTCATTCCAAGGAAGAGAGCTGTATCTTGGATGCTTATTGTAGAATAGGCAGACTGCAGGAGCTGAAACATATTCTTTGTGTAAAGATCTGAAAGAAGTTCAGAAGACAATTAATTATGGCATGAAGTGCATAAAACATAAGAATTAGTACTCTACAAGCTCCCTTAAACACCAGAAAAATAATGAAACAGAGTTAAACCGTCATCAACAATTATCACAAAACTATAGAGATGTTTATATTTTCAATTCAGCTAAATATTCAAGTGTAAATTATGTTATGCAAGTCATCTGCATAGAACTTATAAGCACAACATGATATATTGAACTGGACAATTGTGTCCAGATTGGAAAGTACTTAAGACATCTTTCTCCACTGAAACAAGAGTAAATATCGTCGCTTCCCACTCCAAGATCAATAAAGGAATTGTAAGAAGACACAATGTAATAAACCTCATCCTGACTGTCAGATGGCTAGAACAGCTAAATCATCATCCCAAAGACATAATTAAAAATACTGAAGAGAGCATCAAGGTCTTCGTCTTGGAAGACAGCACTATATTAAGCATCAACAATGTTGTGCTTTGGAAAGAACCTTACAGAAGGAACTAGAACAGGCAACAATGATATCAACTAACTAATTCTAGTAACATTGATAACAAGAAAGGCTTGGCATATGACAATTCAATTAACTAAGTGTTAGATAATGGATAAAAGGAACTAAATAATGTTAGCGAGTTGAACAATATTACTCTTTTGACATGAGTGGATAAATTTGTCATAAATCTAAAAAACCATATTATCATACATGTACAAAACATAGACAATACTGTTTTGTGATCTAGAAAAACTTGCCTGAAAAGGCTGCAACTAGACCTTGAGCTTCCTGACTCCAGTCATATCCACGAATAGCTTCATACACACCCCCATAGTCTCGCACCCACAATTTCTGGCCAATTTTCCAAGCAGCAATGACTTCTGGATTGCCCTCTTTGACTGTGGCAGGCATTGATTTCCAAAGAAACCGCATGCTATTACTGCATATTCACCACCCGACAGATCAAATTCTAAATAAATGTAGAACAAAAATAACAAAATCAGATTTAAGTTTAACACAGGATACCCCAAATAGCCGAACAAACATTAACAATAAAATGCAAAATTGCAATACAACATGCAATCAAAACCCAGAATGGCAATATATGCCAGATTAAGCTAAAATAGAGGTATAGGGTTTGGGAGCAAGAAGAATTAAAAAAGAGTAAATCCTAAATTTAAAATTAAAGAAAACTGAAACAAAAAAAAACATACATATCACCAGCGTAAATGTGACCGAGAAGATGAATGGCGTAGGGCCAGTCGTCCTGAAAAGCAACGCCCTCGGCTGCGACCTGTACGATCAGAGAGAGAGGGAGAGAGAGAGCAGCGAATGAGAAACTAACTGAAAACTTTGAACTTTTTCTTTATGGATTGAAACCCAAATCAAACCTGAAGCATGTGTTCGTCACAGATATCGGCGACCTTTTCATACGATTTGGAGTTCAAGGTCTCTGATAAGAGAGAGAAATCCATGGCTGCTCTCTTTTCTTTGCTCTCTGTATTTTGTTACAGTGTCTATTATTTTTCTGATGAAATGTTAAAGCCCTGTTCCAGTAGGAACTCAAAAACGATGATTTTTCATAAAAACAAGAAGGAACTCAAAAATGGTGATTCTTAAAAACAGGAGTTCTTTAATCCATTTTTTAAGATTATCTTAAAAAATTGTTTGTTATATAACTTGAAAAGTGTTTTTGAATCTTCAAATTTTGAAAACTTGTTTGGTTGAATTCTTGAAAATAATTTTTTTTCTTCATTTTTTTATAATTAAGATATGTTGATAATCATTATCAAAATTATATTAAACATATTATTTAACATTCACATTTTAATACCATTAATATATGATCTACAAGTTCAATTCTTCTTTAAGTCTTAAATAATACATATTAAATTAAAATATTTTAGACTAAATAAATTCGAGATTTTCTATTTAAACTCCACACTTCTCTTTGTTCACCCCAATACTTAAATCATTAAGCTGTAAGTTGTATTATTGTGTAAAAAGACAAAAAAGGTCATCCAACTTAATAATTAACCCTAATACATCTATACACCCCACACATCCCACAACTCTTCATATTAAGTTTTAGAAACCTCATTCCAACTTCTTGTTTACAAACTCTCTCTCTCTCTCTCTCTCTCTCTCTCTCTCTCTCTCAACAACACTCAAGTGTTAGAATTCCAATTACAATTCTTGGAGAGAGGTAAAACTGTTTTCTTTCTCTAGAAAGTATTAAATTTCTGATTTGCGGTTTCATTTGTTTGTGTTTTTTTTTGCTAGGAACAAAGAAAATTGTGGGGTTTAAATAGAAAATCTATTTTAGTTCTTATTTTTTCAGTTTGGGGTGTATTTAAGGGTAGTTTGGGAAGATAGTGGGGTTTTCTTAGAAATTGTGAAAATTTAAGTTAAAAGTTGGAGTGAACTTAGAACATGTGGTGAATTAAGAGAAGTGTGAGGTTTAAATAGAAAATCTCATAAATTCTAAGTCTAATGATTCTGAATATAATCCATCTGCATTGCTCTACTTTTCAGTCACTTGAGAGTATGTCTGTTTCCTAAGGGCCCGTTCCATGGTGTTTTTCGGAGGCCATTTTCCGTTTTCATTCTTAGAAAACACTGAGATTTCTGAAATCATTTTCAACCTTTTAGTTATATTTCACTGAAAACGCAGAAAACATCAAAAGGATGTTTTCATTTTCAGAGAATATGGATTCACTGGGAAAAAAAAACAGTGCAGAAGCCACCATCGTCAAACACCACCCAACAGCCACTACAGGCCAATCGAACCACAATCACCACAACAGACCAGCCACCTGCTAATCGCTTCACCACCCAGTCGAACCCAATCAACACTAACCATCAATACCACCTGTACCAAATCAAAGTACCACCACCTACTCAGCAAACTGCCAAGGAAAGAGAGAGAGAGAGAGGAGGAAGAAAGAAAGGAGAAAAAAGAAAAAGGTGAAAGACTGCTTTCAAGATTTTTTATTTTTTTTTGTATTTGTTCAAAAATATATATATATTTATGATAATTTCAGTCTTTAAACAATATTAGAGTTTATTTTATTGTTAAATTATACAATTTTCATTATTTATGTTACTAGACGCGTTTTCACCATTTTTATTTTCTGAATATGTTTATCAATTAATCTATCAAACGCATTTTGGACCGTGAAAATGAAAATTTGTTTTCTCGTTTTCATTCTCTGAAAATATTCTTTAAAAATATTCTTTGAAAACGTTACCAAACGGGCCTTTCGTGATCTAACCACTTCTTTTGTCTTTCTACCGTCTAGCAAAGCCTTTAGCCATTATTTGCATTTTTTATATTGGTGTATATGCCTGTCTCCATCTTTTTCTTGTTTTCCAAGTGCCATAGCGAAAATTCTGCACTAGTAGTTCTCCTATCTTCACTTTCTGGAAATGATTATTAAAGGTTTTCTCTTTCTTGGGAGGCCGGGCCGCTAATCATAAATGTATTTAACCCTGGCCTCTGTTATCACTTTACCACCAGGATATGCTTTTTGTGCATCATTGCAATCTTCTTTTCATGCCCTATTTTCACAAGCAACCAAGGGTTCTGCAGGTGATTAAATACATAATGATACTTCAGTGATGAATCCTGTTATTAGTGAAAGAAAATGGTCATAAGAACAGTTGATGTAAAAGATTTCAGTTTTATAATGATGCAGAAGACCAAATCCCAGATGCAATTCCACAAGGGTAAATGACCTAGGCCATTTTTTCTTATAAATAAAATTCATTTTTTATTCTCGCGCAATGGGCTAATAGCCGGAAATAATTAGAATGAGAGGTATCGGAAAGAATTTAAATTCTCATTCCCCAACATCACTTGTATAAATAAAATAATTGAAGAAATAACTCTAGCCCAATTAGCTGAACTGGTATTTTAGCTCTAAACCGTAAAATAATATGACAAAATTGTATATTTAAAGCGTATAGCCGTTCGGCTATACTATCAAATGTCGTTCAGCAATTGAAATCTCCACTGTGATGACAACTCTGATGCTATAAAATCTTAAAATCCTTAGAAGAAACTCTGTTGGAATTTTAAAAGGTTTTAAAAATTTAACCATTTTGTTTATTTAATTATTTTGGCTGTTTTATTTTATTTATTGTGGGGGTTATGAATATTTAATATTCAGGCTTTATTTCTGGTTGGTGAATGCCTTAATTTTTTGGTTGGTGAACTTTTATGGTTGGTGAAGGTTACATGTTTTGGATGCCTATAAAAGGCTACTCCTCCTTCACATTTGATATACATGCAGGAACACACAATACACTATCAGAATATCACATACACATTCTAATTCTCTCTTTTTCTATTTTTACATATATTCTCTACTTTATATTATTATTATTTTGGGCAATGGTTATGTGACTTGGATACCTATATCTGTCTATGAACGTGCTCATAGCGGATCTTGAGTTTGTGTATAAGGGGTCGTATCTTGGAGTCTTGTAGACCGTCAATACCTGCACGTAGGGAGGCTACAAAGGCTTTAGGACAACGTCTTTGACGTGCTTCACCGTACCAAACTCACCTTCTTACCTATTACTTATTTTCCTTTTATTTCCCTATTATTTTGTTTTCTTCAATTTCATTATACCTTCAAAGCTTTTCAATTTGTTTATATGTTATTTATAATATAAATATTTTGTATTTGGCTTTACGGAAAGAGGAAAACTATTATTTTTCACAACAACTCTGTGATAATCGTTTTTCCATTTAAACAAACAAAAATAATTGCAAAATCAGAAACATACGTAAATTGCACGCCATGGCAGCCACGGATAGAGACTCGAACTCGTAGTTAGGCGGTCTGGGCGGAGCTAGGCGGCCCCTAGGAGGTCTGGGCAGATCTAGGCGGCCCCTAGGGGGTTTGGGCGGAGCTAGGCGGCCCCTAGGCGGTATGGGCCGAGCTAGGCGGCCGCTAGGTGGTCTGGGCGGATCTAGGCGGCCTGAGCAGGTCTAGGCGGGTCTGCGTTGGTGTTGAGGTCTGCTGCTCTCATAAACCAGAAGTTCCATGTGAAGAACAAGGATATTAGGAAGTTTCTTGATGGGATTTTTGTGAGTGAGAAGAAGAGTGCTTTTTCTGATTTTGATTTTGAGTTTTTCATCTGTACTCTTCTTCTTTTTTTCTTGTTTTTTTAAATCTTGCATGGAAATTTTGATGAGTAAGTTTTACTATATTTTGATGAGAAAAGTTCAAAAATAAATCACCCAAACAAAATCTATATTCAATTTCTCAGCAAACATGCAAGTCATTGTGGAAATGTGGAAATAAAGCCATAAACCTCACAAATTGCAGAAGCTGTGAGAGACACAGAGAGAGATGGTTGTGTTTGTGGTTTTTGGAAATTCTGGTTCCAAGTCCATGGAGCCCAGAGCTGCTCTCAGCAAAGCCGTCGACGAGGCTTCAAAATTGGCGGGAAAACAGCAGTACGAGAAACGTGCACAAAATGTAGGTGAGCCCAAATGGGGGAACTTTTTCTGACTTCTCACAGAGAGTCGGACAGAGAGAGGGTTTATTGGGGGTTTTCAAGTTTTTTTTTCTTTTTTGTTGAAAGGGTTTTTCAAGTAATTGTAACATTAATTTCTCTATGCAACCGTCACACCACACTAACATATTTTCCATGTCACTTGTTACATGTTTGACATGTCGCTTGTTATTGTTATAATTTGGATGGATTAATGAATGACATATAAAATTTGTCATAACACAACCTTTTTTATTTTAATAATGATAAGTTGCAACAACGGTCACCTCACAATTATATACTGTGTTCGATTTCAATTTCGCTCGTTTGTAAAAAGAAAAACGGCACGAAGATGTATGGTCTTCGAGATCACTTACCTTCAATATCAACTATATGAATATAAAATACACTTAAATGAAGCACTCGGTTATAGGACTCCATTGCTCCACCACTAAAGACAGTTAAACAAAGCTAGCCAACCAAAAAAAGCACAAAGATAGCGAACGAGCTAAACTTGAGGAGGAGGAGAAGCGAAACTGCAGAACCTTCATATTTTCCCTTCCGTCCGTCCATAGCGATTTCGTGATAGCTAGCTAACCATTACGACTGATCCCCAACAACGTTCTAAACAAACTTAGGAGCAGTACGAATATTAAATCCGGCTATAAATATCTCTCTCCATTCTCGTTCTTTCATATCTGTAAAGAGTTGAAGAGAAAAACCTTGCTGTAGCTATTTCTGTGCATGAGCGAGTTGGAAAGTACATATAATATATAATGGCTTGTCATGGATGCCCCAATGGCAATGCCAATGTCTGGCGCTTTGTTCTGTGCCTTTTGATTGCCATTGCCGGCTTCGCTCCAAACCCGAGTTTCGCTAAGAAAACAAAAGTTGATGGCTTGAAATTGAACGTGATCGATGGTTGCTGGAGATGGAACTCGGATTGGAGAAGTAACCGGCAGGAACTTGCATTATGCTCAGTGGGATTTTCTGGGAAGATGAGCAACAACATAGGAAGAGATGTCATATACTATCAAGTCACGGACCCAAGTGACAATGCGTTGGACCCCAAACCGGGAACTTTGAGATATGGGGTTACCATGATAAAAGGGAAAAAGTGGATCACCTTCCAGAGGGAGATGCACATTAGGCTTGACAAACCACTTCTCATTAGTAGCTTCACTGCCATTGATGGAAGAGGTGCTAATGTTCACATTGCTGGTAATGCATGCTTGCTGGTCTTTCAGGTACGTATATTAATTACATTTATACACACACACATACGTATTTAATTGGCTAGTTAGTGTTCAAACCTAAGACCACTAGTATGTAAGTCAAAACTCTTTTTCAATGGACTAGATGCTGTTGACATTCATAAGTATATTTAAGATAATGTAGTAAGTACCAAATTTATATACTTATAATATATTCCTAAGTATATTCAAATTTCAATCTAACACTCGGAGTTTATTGAAAAAGTAATCTTCTGTTCTTATTTAAGGCTGAAAATCTAACCGGCCTATATTGTAACCAAAAAAGAATCTAATTAGCATGTATGGGGTAGTTTGATAACCTAAACCCTTGATTTTCTTTTTCTAAGTGAGGGATAGTTGGGACAGTTTTGAGTGGTATGGTCAAACCGCCACGTGCTATATATTATCTACTGTTATAATATGGGTGAACAACACGTATTATATATATATATATATATATCTCATGGAACTAGCTAGGGAATAGTTTTTATTGATAATAATACATGCATTAATTATAAGTAAATTTGTAACACCACATGACAGTCTTGCTATGATTTTTTGGAGATTGAATATAGTAAAGATATCTTGTGTACATTTTCATGCATGTAAACTAATTATATTATTATTTTAAACGTTATCAGGCAAGCAATATAATCATCCATGGCCTTCGAATCCATCATTGCCGACCCCAACCACCAAGCTCAGTTATGGGTCCAGAAGGAAAGATAATACCAATAGGGCAGGTTGATGGAGATGCAATAAGGTTGGTAACAGCATAAGGTTTGGATAGACCACAATACACTCTACGAGTGCCAGGACGGTCTTCTCGATGTTACTCGCGGATCTACCCATATCACCATCTCCAACAATTGGTTCAGAGACCAGGACAAGGTTATGCTTCTCGGCCATGATGATGGCTACTTTCGGGACAAGAACATGAGGGTGACCGTTGTGTACAACCATTTTGGACCCAACTGCAACCAAAGAATGCCAAGGTAAAGGCCCCTGGGCTAGCTATATCCATATATTAATTGAGATCGCTGGCTACCTTTACTTTCAACTCCTCTATTTATTAATATTAGCAAAGTGTGTAGGTAATATAAGTGTGGGACATTTTCACCTTCGTATTCTCAACAGAGAGTGAGTATTATATTACTTACTATTGCATGCATGCAGGATTCGCTATGGATATGCACATGTCGTGAATAATCTTTACAGAGAATGGTCGCAGTATGCCATTGGGGGAAGCATGAACCCTAGTGTTAAGAGTGAAGCCAACCTCTTCATTGCACCAAAATCGGGAAACAAGAAAGAGGTAATTATTAACTCAAATGTATATATATTCAAGTTCAAATGCAATGCCCTTAATTAATTACTTAATGATTTTCCATGTACGCACAGATCACTTGGAGGAAGGACAGCATTGGAGACAAAGAATCCTGGAAGTTTTACTCTGTAGGAGATATCTTCGAAAATGGGGCTTCTTTCGTCGAAACAGGTGCCGGAAGAGCAAAGCCAAACTATAACGGAGAACAAACTTTCCCAGTTGTTAATGCCAAATCTGTCCGCTCATTGACAAGGTCATCTGGTGCTTTGATATGCATCAAAAGATCCAGATGCTAATTAATTACGGCATAGGCTCATGCGATGCAATGTGGAGATGATATAATTGCATGTCATATATATATATATATATATATACATGCATAGGAAAATCAATTGTATGTCAGCTGAAAAAAGGTGAACAATTGTATAGTGGATATATAAATCTCATCTCCCTCCTATAGTAATGCAAGATATATATATTATATATGACAAGGAAATGGAACATATGACAACTTGTAAGTAATTAGTTTATTTATGCTAATGTTATTTATGCTTCTTCTTTATAATAAAATGTACTAAACTATGTTGGTTTATTCTAGATAGCATTAGTGCTCAAACAACACAACGGGGTTCTTCAAATCCACTCACCACCAACACTTGAGTTTGTAACTTTAGTTTGTAACATTGGTGCATTGCATTTTCCTTTTAGTTTGTAACTTTAATTAACTTTGAATTGGATTTTTCTTTTTGGTTGTAACTTTAATTCATTTTGCTTTGCATTTTGCTTTTGGTTTGTAACTTTAAAGGATTTGAAATTAGAATGCTTGAGAAGTTTAACTTTAATTGGAATGCTTGGAATTGTAACTTTAATTTTCTTTAGGTTGTGAATTTATAATATGCTTGAGGAGATGTGAATTTATAATATGCTTGAGAAGTTGAGGTTGTGTATTTATTTATTTAGGTCGTGAATTTATATTTTTGTGAATGCTTGAGAACTTGCGGTTTTAAACCGCTAATTCGCGGTAACCGACCGCTTTTTGTGGTTTACCGCAATGCGGTTTACCGCAAATTGCGGTCGGTTTGCGGTTTGGAAAATCACCATACCGCAAATAGTCGGTCGGTTCGCGGTTTGAGTAAAAATTCGCGGTTACCGAACCGCAACCACCCCTATATATATAATCGATTATATATAATGCCATTGTTCACCTTTTTTACGATTATATATATATAATGCCATTACCCAAGACTATACTTATTTTACGATTTATTTTTATTAGTGATCAGGACTGGCACTGAAAATGGTCATAAGAACAGTTGATGTAAAAGATTTCAGTTTTATAATGATGCAGAAGACCAAATCCCAGATGCAATTCCACAAGGGTAAATGACCTAGGCCATTTTTTCTCATAAATAAAATTCATTTTTTATTATCGCGCAATGGGCTAATAGCCGGAAATCATTAGAATGGGAGGTATCGGAAAGAATTTAAATTCTCATTCCCCAACATCACTTGTATAAATAAAATAATTGAAGAAATAACTCTAGCCCAATTAGCTGAATGGTATTTTAGCTCTAAACGTAAATAATATGACAAAATTGTATATTTAAAGCGTATAGCCGTTCGGCTATACTATCAAATGTTGTTCAGCAATTGAAATCTCCACTGTGATAATCGTTTTCCATTTAAACAAACAAAAAAAAATTGCAAAATCAGAAACATACGTAAATTGCACGCCATGGCAGCCACGGATAGAGACTCGAACTCGTAGTTAGGCGGTCTGGGCGGAGCTAGGCGGCACCCTAGGCGGTCTGGGCGGAGATAGGCGGCCCCTAGGCGGTCTGGGCGGATCTAGGCGGCCCCTAGGCGGTCTGGGCGGATCTAGGCGGCCCCTAGGCGGTTTGGGCGGAGCTAGGCGGCCCCTAGGCGGTATGGGAGGATCTAGGCGGCCCCTAGGCGGTGTGGGCGGAGCTAGGCGGCCGCTAGGCGGTCTGGGCGGATCTAGGCGGCCGCTAGGCGGTCTGGGCGGATCTAGGCGGCCTGCGCAGGTCTGCGTTGGTGTTGAGGTCTGCTGCCAGAAGTGCCATGTGAAGAACAAGGATATTAGGAAGTTTCTTGATGGGATTTTTGTGAGTGAGAAGAAGAGTGCTTTTTCTGATTTTGATTTTGAGTTTTTCATCTGTACTCTTCTTCTTTTTTTAAATCTTGCATGGAAATTTTGATGAGTAAGTTTTACTATATTTTGGGTTTCTGTTGCCAAACATAAATTGTGGAATTCTGGGATTATTTTATGCAGGTTATTGATTTTTAAAGTGAGAAATGTGATGGCCAATCTTTCATTTGCACAATCTTCAGTTTTTAAATGTTTGTCTTTGAGCCAAAATGGGGAAGAACACTTAAAATAATTTCCACTAATAAAAATGCCCCAAAAATGGTTCTTTATAGTTGCACCATCAAGTAAGTTAAACCCTGGAAAAACGTAAGGTGTCATGCCTTTTTAGAATTGCTAAACTGATTGTGAATTCCGCTAAAAAACCAACCCATTAAAACTTGATTCAGTGATCCCAATTAGTCCAAGAAAGTTTCATATCCGTATCAATGGAGGGTTGCTCTTATTACTTGGCAATGGTACTGGTTCAGCTCATATATGGTGGATCAAACATCCTCATAAAATTCTCCCTTGCAGAAGGACTCAATCCAATTGTCTTCGTCGTTTACCGCGGCATGTTATGGCCATGGTTTTGGTAGGACCATTTGCTTATGTACTTGAAAGGTAAGCTATCGATTCTTGCATCTCTTCATATTTCCAGGCAGTAAAAACAGAGAAAACTAATTCTTGAATGGATTTGTAAAGGAGGAAACAAAGGCCTTCACTCTCATTTTCTGTAGCTGCCAAAATTTTTGTGCTTGCCTTGTTTGGAACCACCATCTATCTGAATGTGTACTATGCTGGTTTAGCATACACTTCTCCAACAGTTGCATGTGCCTTGAGTAATGTTATTCCCAGCTTGACATTTCTAATGGCAGTTCTACTTGGGTATATTCTCTGTCCTTTCCTTTCCCTTGCTTAATTAGAAAGGGGAATATAAATGTTCTTTTTTCCTGTTCTGCAATTTGCTTGTTCTTACACAGGTTGGAGAAGTTGAAGATTAGAACTGCTAGAGGTCAAGCTAAGGTGGCTGGCACACTTTTCTGCATTGGTGGTTCTCTTGTTTTCACTTTCTGGAAAGGAGGATACCTATTTAAAGGTTTCGTAAATATATCTGTTGGTGAGATGAGGCATGAGAAGGAAAACTGGATCAAGGGGCTTTTCTTATTCTGACGAGTCACATTGCATGGAGTGCATGGCTAATCGTCCAGGTGATTTTATAATTGAATTAAGATGACACCCTTTTATGTCACGTAATGGCCAAGTTTAGTTCTTTGTCCAACTTTGGCTCTCTGGTCTCACAGGCTGTGGTCTCCAAAGTCTACACTGCTCGATTATCGCTAACCACGATGATATGCTTTTTCGCGTCGTTGCAATCTTCTTTTCTTGATCTGTTTTTTGCAAGAAATCCAATTTCATGGAGACTGGAGTGGAACCTGCAACTTTCAACCATCGCCTACTGCGTGAGTGTTCTCTTTCTCATATCTTATTATTAGGTTCACAACGTTGATTTCAACAATTGATCATGCAAATTCTTATCTGAATCTGTAGTTCGATTTAAAAACCTCACAGCAGAACATGTAGAAGAGAACATTGTCTTGTGTGTGTGTGTGTATAAAGTAAATAAATGGGACATCCTATTTTGTTGTGTCTTATTGGGTAGTTTTCTCCTTGTTGGTATAAGATATATTTGAATCTGTCACAAGTTCTGTTCTTCATCCACTCCTTACTTTTGCAATAGGGAGTTGCAATCTCAGCATTAGCCTACTACCTGCAAACATGGTGCATCAGTTACAAGGGACCAGTCTTTGCAGCTATGTTTATTCCACTTCAAGTCATTATAGTGGCATTGTTCTCGGCAATTTCTTTCGCAGAATGACTTCACTTTGGCAGGTAATAACCTGAAGAACACAGACACCTTCTTCCTATTCCATCTTACTACTTCCACATTTGATGGTTTCACTTATCCATTCTATCACGGTAGTTTGTTTGTCATGAAAATTAGTCACAAATTTAATGTGGATTTTGTGTAAGTGGTGATGTGCAGCTTGATCGGAGCGTTTCTCATTATTGTGGGCCTTTACTGTGTGCTGTGGGGAAAGAAGGAAAGACACTCTTGTTGCTGAAGAGACAGAGAATGGAAACAGGGTACTTGAAGACATTAAAGTGCTGGAGAATGATATTTCAGTCATAAATCCAGTCACTAGAGAAAGGACATGATCATAAGAGTTCAGTTTCTTTTTACACATTATACAGAAGATCAATCCCAGATAAAATTTCACAGAGGTAAATGCACACCACCTAACTATAAATGATTGCCAAATTGATAATGGTTTGAGCCCTACAATCCAATCCATATGAACTTATTAATACAAATCAACAAGAGAAATCCTTGTTCTCTTTCATGGTGTCATTTCAGGGAGTTTTCAATATCAATCACAAACCGGTATATCACAACACTTTTTAGTAGCCTCTCAATAGCTTCATTTGCAGATTGAATTGGAATTTTTCAATCATTGGATGAATTCCATTTGAAGCAAAGAAATCTATCATTTCTTGGATATCCTTTGTTCCACCTGTTACACTACCAGAAAAGGTTTTCATACCTGCCAAAAGGCCAATGCATGGAGTTCATTATATATACTTGCAATTGCAATACCAGTTGGATATATAAAACTGTCATTTCAATCATTTGAAACATGCCAGTGTACCGATATGAAGGTTGGCAGGACTGATTTTGACTTCACTGGGGAATCCCACCATAAGACCAGAACTCCACCAGTTTCAATAGTTCTGCGTATGGATCAAAAGGGTGATCACCAGATGCTATATCAATTATAAAGTCTACTGACTTCACCAGGGCCTACATAGCAAACAATAACCGATAAATACTAAACCTATAGGATGAGCCATCATTTCCACTATTTTTTCTATTGTTCGTGTGATGAGGTAAGAAACTATATGTATTTTTACCTTCATCTGATTTCTGTCAGATGAGACAACAAAGTTATCTGCACCCAGCTGACTTAAAGTTTCCTCTTTCTTGGATATGCTAGTGCTGAAAATTGTTACATTCAAACCAAATGCCTTGCCAAACTTCACTCCCATGTGACCTAGGCCACCAAGGCCAATCACCCCTAGAGATTTACCAGGTTGGTTCATCTTATGGCGTACCATCGAAGCATAAACAGTAATTCCAGCACAAAGTAGAGGGGCTGCCGAATCCAATGGATAGTTTGCCGGTATTAATGTATGATTGGATGCAGCTTGCTTCTTTATCAAACCAGCGTCCTCATCATGAAAGGTTGGATCTCCTACTCTTGCGAGATACAAGAGAGGTATTGCACTTTTCTCCCCTTTTAACATTGGGAATTTCAGGTGCACGTGGATATGGTATATGTAAGAATGCGATGCTACTTCTCATCTAACACGTTGTTTGAAATCTCATTTAGAATAGTTTGTATATATATATATATATATCAACGCCATATGACCTCTGATACCTTCAATTTATTTCAAAACTCTTCTCTTCGTTGTCTCATTAAAATGTTTTGTATCCAATTTTTCATGTGTAGAGATTATATTGATGCATCTCAAAGCAGAAGAGTAGGTTGTCAAGTGCAATGAGAAAAATTTTGTCATTTGGTTTAGTTTATAATTACCATGGATACATTTTAGAAAGTAAATTCTTACACTAGTAATTTTATGCTCTGAAATTCAAGATTCTTTTATCCCCAAAATGTTGGTGGATCCCTATTTTTTGTTGTTGTATTTATGAGTACCCGTAATATTTCTCATAAATAAAATCCATTTTTTATTCTTGCCTAATGGACTAATAGTTGGAAATCATTAGAATGGGAGGTACCGGAAAGAATTTAAATTCTCATTCCCCAATATCACTCGTATAAATAAAAAAATTGAAGAAATATCTCTATCCTAATTAGCTAAAGTGGTATTTTAGCCCTGAACCCTAAAATAACATGACAAAATTGTATATTCAAAGAGTATAGCCGGGCGGCTATACGGGTAAAATATATTATTTTAAAGGTATGGCCGGTCGGCTCTACGGTTTGAACATATTCGAATATTTTAAATGTATAGCCGTGCGGCGATACTCTTTAAATTTATTTCCAAACAAACACGAAGCTTGCACTCACAGTGACAGCCATTTCGTTTCTCTATAAGCGCTTCCAAGCTTCAAAGACTCGATATTGAGTCTCTCTCTCTCTCAACTAAAGCTTCGAAATTTTTTCTTTCGTTTCGGCTGCGGTGTTGATTGGATTGGATTGGACACTCTCTATGAAAACCATCAAATGTCGTTCAGCTATTGAAATCTCCACTAAGATAACAACTCTGATGCTATAAGTAGTTAGGCAGCGTCTAGGCGGCGCCTAGGCGGATCTAGGCGGCGGCCTGGGCGGGTCTGAGAATCCTTTTTTTTCCAAATGCAGACAGACGAAGCTTGCACTCGCAGAGGAATCTGGTGCACGAGTGAAATGAAGAGACAGAGAAACGAACACGAAGCTTGCACTCGCAGTCCAATCTTCAAAATTCAAATACTCGGTCTTGAGCCTCTCTCTCAACTCAAGCTTGGATTTTTTTTCTTCGGTTTCGGCTGCTGCATTGATTCGATTTTTTGTGTGCTTTTCTGTTATTGAAGTTGGCAACGTCAGATGAACATCCAAGGCAGTTTCTTAGTATACCAAAAGAAGCCCAGCAGATGGTTCTTTAACCTGAGGCACACCTTGCAGTTTGTCATTGGATTACACCATGCCGGTCTGAATGACAAAGATAGATCTCTGGTTGAGGAACAAGATTCAGGCATTTCTGTTTTACCTCAATAAGCATGAGTCTTTCCTGAAAAACACATTAGGAAAAGAGAATATAAAAAGATCATTTTCTTAATCAATATACTGATTAGGCATATGTATTAAATTATAGGTATTGGTTTGTACCAGCACGTTGGAATGGGGTGTAAACCTTCTAGGTCATCATCTGGTCATTATTAAGGTAAGGCAAAATTTGTGCGCTACCTTTTCATTTGGTTCCTATATTCACAAAGGTTTCTAGCAGGAGTCACTACTACGTTTCACTATTTGCGCGACGAAATATTGCGCGACGAAGAATAACTCGTCGCGCAAACCATACTTGCGCGACAAAAACAACTATTCGTCGCGCAATCCACTGAAAATTTGCGCCACCAAACTTTTTCGTTGCGCAAAATGTATATGCGCGACAAAACAATTTTTCGTCGCGCAAACAGAGTTAAAAAAAGTGGGGGGAATTTTTTTAGCGCGAAACATTTGCGCGACGAGAAATATCGTCGCTAAAGGCAACATTGCGCGACGAACACATTCTCCGTCGCGCAAAAAGGACAGTCCCCTTATTTAGCGCGACGGAAAGACATTTCGTCGCGTAAGAGAACAAGAGATATTTTATTTTTTGGCGCCAAAAATGACCTGGGTGGGATATTTTTTTTGCGCGACGTAATTACATTTCGTCGCGTAAAGTTCAACGTTTACGCGACGAATATCTTGTTTTGCGCGACGGAATTTGTTTTTGCGCGACAATTTGCGCGACGAAAGTTGGCGCGACGGAAAAGTACCAGCGTCGCGCAAAAGTTAGATGTCGGCAGGTGTTTGCGCGACGAAAAAAATGGGTTTGCGCGACGAATGATTTGGTTTTTTGCGACGGGAGTTTGCGCGACGAATAAGTATGTTCGTCGCGCAAAGTCCTTCTTCTTCATATTAGAATTCTGCCATTGCAGAGGCAGAATGCAAAAACAAAGCATTCTGCCTCTGCCTCTCTCTCAACCTCTCTGCCGCTGCTGGGATTTCAATACATTGATTGGGTAAGTATTTTTCGTCATTAGTTTAAAAGTATTAATTTAAGTTCGTACTAAGGTTTTTTAATTTGTTTTCGTTAGGGATATTTGTAATTAGCGATTGGTGGAGAACGATTGAGAAGGTATTTTATTTGTTTTATATATGTTTAAAATGTTCTTGTGAAGTTATATTTATATTATGTTGTGCGTAACGTAGTACAATCTGTTGTGATGTACGAAGTTAATTGAAATTAACTTCGTGCTTTTATTTTTATGTTTAGTAACACTTAGTTTCCCGTTCGAGATTAGTTGGATTTCGTGCATGGATGCGTAATGCATGACTGCGGTCCAATTAATTCTTGAATTGTCCCATTATTTGGACAGTTTGGTAATGCATAGTGTTGTCACGTAATCTATGGCTACAGGATTAGGTTTCGATTGTGGATATTTCGTTGTCATCTCGGTACGTTCTTCGGGTGGTACATAGGTATTTATACCTATGGCCACCTCAAGAACTGTAGCGAGATGCTGGCGAAATTCATCCACGTCGAAATCTAATCTCATGTAGTCGTAGGTTACGTGGCAGGAGTATGCATTCCCGAATGGGATAGGACCCTTACCGGAGGCATAAGGTGACATTATAACTTCGTATGAAGTTGTTGTGATTGTTGTGTTGTGATTCTGGTTTCAGGAATTATGGACAGAAGGTGGATACAAAACCCGAACAGATGCGCAGACGAATACTTGGATGGAATCGAGGATTTTATTGAGTTTGCACGTAGACACAACCCGGGTGCAACTAGAATCCGTTGTCCTTGTAGGAGGTGCAACAACACGTTATGGGAGACAATTGAAAATGTTGGATTTCATTTAGTAAGGAATGGAATGATTGAGACATATAGCATTTGGAACCTTCACGGGGAACAATTAGAGCATGCTTCGTCTTCAAATGCCACAAGAGTGGACAATGTTCAACCTATTGTGGATGCTAATGATGAAGTCATGGATATTATACAGGATGTTTTTCCATTTGCATCGACCAACATGAATCAAGAAGAGCAAGATGATGTGCCTACACCAATAGACAGTGCGGAGTTTGAACAATATGAGAAATTGTTAAAAAATGCCAACCAAGAGTTATACCCGGGGTGCGAGAGCTTTTCCGTTCTCACGGCCATTGTGGAGCTAATGCACGGAAAAATAAAGTATCGTATGTCGAACCTGTGTTTCGATTACTTTTTGGGGGTTTTCAAGAGAATGCTTCCGACGGACAATTGTTTGCCGAAAGACCATAAACAGGCGCAGAAGGTGTTGAATGGTCTTGGATTGGGTTATGAAAAAATCCATGCTTGCAAAAACAATTGCATGTTATTCTACAAAGAGCATGAATCGTTGGATACATGTCCTATATGCAATGAGTCGAGGTTCAAGATGACATCTCAGAATAGGACGACTAAGATCCCACAAAAAGTCATGCGTTATTTGCCCCTGAAACCTAGGTTGCAGCGATTGTATATGTCGACGCATACTGCCACAGACATGAGATGGCATCAGGAAAAACGGGTAGACGATGATGTGATGCGGCATCCTGCAGATGGGGAGGCATGGAAAGAGTTCGATCGAACGTTCCCCGAGTTTGCTGCTGATCCCCGAAATGTTAGATTGGGACTTGCCACTGACGGATTCAATCCGTATGGGGTTCTAAACCAACACCACAGCACTTGGCCGATTTTCGTATTCCCATATAATTTGCCGCCTTGGAAATGCATGAAAAAAGAATACATGATGATGACTGTTTTGATAACTGAGGATCCTGGGAGGTCAATCGATGTTTACTTAAGGCCGCTGGTTGATGAGCTGAAGGATTTGTGGACAAACGGTGTTCGCACGTACGATAAATCAACTGGGAAGATGTTCACTTTGCGGGCAGCAGTTATGTGGACTGTGAATGATTTCCCAGCATATGCAATGGTTTCTGGGTGGAGCACAAAAGGTTATATGGCATGTCCTGTATGCAAGGAAGATGTAACTTCTGGTTGGCATGCTGGAAAAGTTTGTTACCTTGGTCATCGGAGATGGTTGCCATGGGACCATGAGTGGAGGGAAAAAGATAAAGAGTTCGACGGGAACACTGAGCGTCGCCTTAGACCCAGAGAATGGTCCGGTGATGAGATATTGGACCAGCTTAACCGGTTGGATTTTGCTCCCTTCGGGGAAAACAGTTAGTCGTATCAGACCTTCTACACATATGAACTGGACGCACAAGCCTATGTTTTTTGAGCTCCCATATTGGTCGAAACTAAAATTGAGGCACAATCTAGATGTGATGCATGTTGAGAAAAATGTATTCGACACATTGGTGGGCACGATTCTAGATATCGAGGGGAAGACAAAGGACACGATCAAAGCTCGTCTTGATTTGGAAAGAATGGGCATACGAAGGGGTTTATGGATGAATAGGGACAATGATAAAGCTAGAAGGGATCTTGCATTCTTTTCTATGAAACCGAATGACAAGAAAGAGTTTCTAAAGTTTGTATCGTCAGTAAAGTTTCCCGATGGGTATGCTTCTAATATCGCACGTTGTGTGAATGTTGACGGGGGTAAATTTACTGGTTTTTTTTTTTTTTTTTTTTTTTTTTTTTTTTTTTTTTTTTTTTTTTTTTTTTTTTTTTTTTTTTTTTTTTTTTTTTTTTTTTTTTTTTTTTTTTTTTTTTTTTTTTTTTTTTTTTTTTTTTTTTTTTTTTTTTTTTTTTTTTTTTTTTTTTTTTTTTTTTTTTTTTTTTTTTTTTTTTTTTTTTTTTTTTTTTTTTTTTTTTTTTTTTTTTTTTTTTTTTTTTTTTTTTTTTTTTTTTTTTTTTTTTTTTTTTTTTTTTTTTTTTTTTTTTTTTTTTTTTTTTTTTTTTTTTTTTTTTTTTTTTTTTTTTTTTTTTTTTTTTTTTTTTTTTTTTTTTTTTTTTTTTTTTTTTTTTTTTTTTTTTTTTTTTTTTTTTTTTGGAGGAGGTTTTTGGCTCAAAAATTACTGTTGAAATGTGGTCAAGATCATGAGATGATGGTAGAGTGTCCATGTGAAAAGTTTGACACAACAAGTTCCTTATGCAACAACACATATAAAAGCGATTCAGGAGATGATTGCAGGTCAAAGCCAAAAAGGTGGCAGGCCTATCATCTCTGTTTTACATTTGTGATGTTGTAACTACCGGAAGGTCATTCCAAAGGGAAAACCTCCTAGAGATAGTGTGACCAGTTGAAGAATACTTAGCTTGCAGAATTTTCAAAAAGAACCTTATCTCTTTTAGCATTTGCAATGCAAGGCAAAGTAAAAATTTATACACAATTTGTATAGGTTAGTATCATATACTTGTGAAGGGGCGATGACTACATCTTTGTATGAAAAAAAAAAAATTCATGGTGAATCATTGAGTGGCCTGATCCCTTTTTGGGTGCCTTTTGTTTTTAATCCTGAAGTGAAGAATTAAAAAGCCAAATGGTTCCTCAAAGAGGCCTTGGTATGCCCTGACCTTGGGATGGGGTAGCCTCCCCTCCTCCTAAACACATGCTAGAGCTTTCACTTCATATACTGCAAGGTGATTCTTGTTTATGGCAAGGAGGTGCAGCTCATTCTGGTGAATTTGGATGTAAGTATCTGACAATGATCTCAACTCCTTCCCATCTGGAATCTGCAACAATTTGCTTCTCTGTTTTTCCCACACAAAAATCTGCAGGGCCAAAACGACGTCGTTAAATAACAGAAGTCACATTAGAGTAGAAGCCATGTCTGAAAGTAATATTGTAGTTTCCAATATGCATCAGCACCAGAAGAAACTAGTACATTCAGAGTGTTCGAGAAGGCAAGGCTAGTGACTCTTTTGGAGTGACCCTCAAGCTTCCTTGTAACCTGCAAAATATTTAAATCAAGGCAATGACAAACTTTTCGGGTTTGCTTCATCACAACATCGAGCATGATTTGTTTTTTTACAAGAACAAACAAATTTCCTTGTCTGAGTGGAGATTGTATATTACAATGGTGGAATTGTCCATGCCAATAGCAACTATACCATCATCTCGGGAGTGAAAAGCAAGACATGTTGCCGCAGGTGGCGGTGGCCTGACTTTCTTCATCGTATGCGTTTTTACGCAACAGATTTTTATGAGTACAATGAGTTAGAGCATGAGAAATTTGCAAACAGAACCTAAGCATATTGACAAACAAGATTTGGGAAGTTTTGGCTGGGAAAAGAAAATTTCAAGATTTAGAATCAAATGACTGTCGCTTCGGTTTCAATTCGAAAGGAAAGAGAGGAGAACTCTAATAGGAAAGAATTATAAAGCATGTCATTCTTTACCACTCCACTAGAATTAAGGTCCTGTGGCCATTTCCAGAGAAAATGAATGCCATTTGATGCTAACACCAAATGGCATCACCTCCATTTGTGTAGAACAGCCTTGATATAATGAGAACCTACCAAAACATTTTAATGGCGAAATTTGAAACTTAAATATTAGATATCAAGGAGTGCCCTCTGGTGTGCTTTCAGTTTGCAGTGTTTCCATATTCCAGACAACAACCTACTGACCATTCCTTAATTTAACATATCACACATGCATTAGGGTTTTCTTCTGCACTTTGCACACAGTAGTACTTGGTCATGCAAGGATTGTAGGCTTTGACAAGCTCAGCAACTGGGTCTTTCTTCTTATCATCCTCCTTCTTGCCTTCATCTTTTTCCTTCTCATCTTTCTTTTCTTCTTTTGCTGGTCCAACTGTTATTATGTCTGTGTGCCAACATTTTCTCAATTTGGCTACCACATCGACCGGGTCTATGTCGCCGATCACGGTTAGTTTCCTCTCCTTCATGTCCATAGCAATAGAGTCAATGCCTGCAAAAGTCACAGAACAGAGGAAAACAGAGTCCATTAAGTGCATGAAATATTAAATTTCAATAAAGTATATATGACTGAAAATTATCGAGTCCAGTCACAATCTGCTACATGGATGCTCCAATATGTACTCAAAATTAAAATAATTGAAAGCTTTTGACGCACGTTATATTCAAAAAACGAAAGAAAATTCTTCACATCATTCCTTTTCTCATTAATATTGAAATTTGGATAACTTAGGATTATCTAGTTGTTTGAATCAATTGAAGTCACTAATTTGTTGAATTCCAAAGTTAAAGTTTCAGACCATCTCAAAATAGCGTTAGAGTTTATAAGAAATTATGATTCTTTGCTGTGTCAATAAAATATTAAGCATCTTTATTCAAAATTTTGTCTTTTGGCAATATAGGTTTTTCTTAATTGAAAATAGGTCCCTCTGTAGTTGAGGTGTTGGTAGTCAGTTTATGTGACTTCTGATCTCATGAGTTTGATAAGAGTAGAAATTGCCCCGCTTTACTAATGCCAGTTACGAGAAGTTAATCCTATAGACCAAAGAAATACTGTTTGAGGTTTAGCAAGATTTAATTTTGAATCTGGTTATTTCTTCTAAATCCTTTGATTGGCTTTTCAATGCAATTAGTCGTATGGCATACAGTTCATATTCAAATATTTGAAGCAGATTTTGGGATCCTTTTGGATAAACAATATACAAACTGATAGTTGGTGCAACCTTAATGGAGACTTTGAGAATAAACTTTGAGTTAAAACTGGTGGGGACTAATGTGATATGATGATGAACTGAAATCAGTAATGGAATTTTAATACTGACCTGATCTGTAAAGAGCCAAATGTATGTAATAACTTAGGAATACTGCAGCCATTTGACAACCAAAACAAATAAGCTAATGTTTTGTTAGATGCATCCATGGACATTGTCTTTTGCTGATTTCATTTACTTTTTGCCTTGCTTTGCATGCCAAATTGTTTGATATCTACATCTGATATGCAAGTATTAATCACATGATGTTTGCATTTTGCAGCTTCAGCAGTAGGACCTTTCTACAAGGAGATCCGTTTCTTGGAATTTTCAGGACTCTTGATCTTTTATCCTCTCTGTTGGTTACGTTCATGGTTCGTTTTCTCTATGCAAAGGAGAATTTGCAAGGCACACAAAAACACCACAGCACAATGATGTGCCATGCTTAGTTTTGTTTTGGCGAGGATGGTAGAGTGTCCATGTGAAAAGTTTGACACAACAGGTTCCTTATGCAACAACACATATAAAAGCGAAAAAGGTGGCAGGTCAGAGCCAAAAAGGTGGCAGGCCTATCATCTCTGTTTTACATTTGTGATGTTTCAACTACCGGAAGGTCATTCCAAAGGGAAAACCTCCTAGAGATAGTGTGACCAGTTGAAGAACCTTATCTTTCTTGAAATCAATTGTAAAATATGCTGGCTCTTTTTGAGCATTTGCAATGCAAGGCAAAGTAAAAATTGATACACAATTTGTATAGGTTAGTATCATATACTTGTGATGGGGCGGTGACTACATCTTTGTATGAAAAAAAAAAAATTCATGGTGAATCATTGAGTGGCCTGATCCCTTTTTGGGTGCCTTTTGTTTTTAATCCCGATGTGAAGAATTAAAAAGCCAAATGGTTCCTCAAAGAGGCCTTGGTATGCCTTGACCTTGGGATGGGGTAGCCTCCCCTCCTCCTAAACACATGCTAGAGCTTTCACTTCATATACTGCAAGGTGAGTCTTGTTTATGGCAAGGAGATGCAGCTCATTCTGGTGAATTTGGATGTAAGTATCTGACAATGATCTCAACTCCTTCCCATCTGGAATCTGCAACAATTTGCTTCTCTGTTTTTCCCACACAAAAATCTGCAGGGCCAAAACGACGTCGTTAAATAACAGAAGTCACATTAGAGTAGAAGCCATGTCTGAAAGTAATATTGTAGTTTCCAATATGCATCAGCACCAGAAGAAACTAGTACATTCAGAGTGTTCAAGAAGGCAAGGCTAGTGACTCTTTTGGAGTGACCCTCAAGCTTCCTTGTAACCTGCAAAATATTTAAATCAAGGCAATGACAAACTTTTCGGGTTTGCTTCATCACAACATCGAGCATGATTTGTTTTTTTACAAGAACAAACAAATTTCCTTGTCTGAGTGGAGATTGTATATTACAATGGTGGAATTGTCCATGCCAATAGCAACTATACCATCATCTCGGGAGTGAAAAGCAAGACATGTTGCCGCAGGTGGCGGTGGCCTGACTTTTAGAATACTAAAATAATTTTCTAGGATTTTTAAATAATTGAAACTATTTTTAAAATATAGAAGGAAATTAAAAATAATTTTTAAGTTCACAAAATTATTTAACATAAGTAAATATAACAGCAAATGTTACAATAGTCAAGTGGCCACACCCAAAAAGTTTTCGTTTGCAGCAGGATTGTGTGACTTAGAACGTGGATGCTCTGCCTAATTTGAGGTGAACTTTTAAATTTACAACACCTTAACTTAAAAAAAGAGGCCAAAGTAATTTAAATCTTCTTTATAGTGAGAAACAACATTACACTTGGATGATACAGCCTACCAAAGTAAATTAGGGCTAAGGGCTCTGCTTCCCTACAAAGTCTGCTGATCACAAAAACTTTAGGGAAGGCAATATGCTTCCATAGGAATAAAAAGTCTAGGATCTCTTCTTTGCGTTGATGAGGTAGAAAATAGGAGCCTTGTCAGAAAAGATTCTTCGACCATCACTGGAGGGAGATTCGTACTTCCATGCAGGACCTAGAAGCCATGATGTGGCAACTCCACCAAGCAAGCCTCCAAACTGAGATTCAAATGTCACGCTCAAAACAAAGATGAGGATAACACAAACAAGAAGGAATTTTAGTGCAGACATGGAAGGAACCATATGCAAGCTCGTGTGTTTCAATTCGTCTAACAGATCCAGATAGGTTGCCTCAAATGATTATTTCACCAATACAACGCTATCCATAGAGACTCTTCACATTTGTTATAGTTTTATGGCTAATCTAAAAAAGGCAGAAAAGAAGTAATCAAGAAACTCAATCCTTGGCACGAAAATTAATGATTGTGCTTTACCATGGGACTCAGAATTCAAATGCAACTGAAAGTTGAAAGAGAGAAAAATGAGGTCCAAATGTTCCACAACCCTAATTAGCCACATGTGCATGTATAGTGTGGGTGACGTGTGGGAGCGGGGATAGGGAAGAGAGAGATACACACACGCACACTCACACACTAATTAGCCACTTTCCTTTGTCTATTGTCAAAAATTAATCAAGGGATACACAGTGAAGGAGGTTCATTGAAATTCAACGCTCCTAATTTCTAAACAAAGCATTAATTAGGAGTGAAAAAGAGAGCAAGCATTCTTGTTCTACTTACATGTCCCCAGTTATCAATGCCTTTGAAGAAAAACCCCATAGCCTGCAAAAACAAAAACAAAAACAAAAAGTTATGTTTATTTATCCATTTATCCAGCCAACATAAATTGGAAGGGGAGATGATTAAGTTATTAAGATAGATAAAGGACTGAGTTGGGCAAAACTTAAAGACATAGTAACCAGAGAAGGAACATACCATATTTACGGTAATTACATGTGCTATGTGCTGTAGATCTTCTATGCCTCATGACGAAGACAGCAAGAGATCCAACCTAAATCAAAGATCAGAGCCAGCGGTTTGATTAATTATAGCTTGAAAGAAGATTCACTTGGCATTCCATAACACTGAGTAGGTACATAGGCAGATTTTTAAATTTCAACATATAAAGATATGAACTAATCTTCCTTTTCTCAAAGCAGCGTGACACTCACAGAAATGTTTCTTTTTCATTTATACTTATTGTTTCTCTTTTGGGCGGAGGAAATCCTGTAAAATGATATTCAGAAGTTGCAGAGGTTTATTTTGAAACAAATTTAATAAGTTTGGAGCTGACAAATTTCATGAAAACTGTAAAAGAGGAAGCTATATATTAAATGGTGAAATACAGGAAAAGGAAAACATTAAATCTTCTGAAGACAGATGAATAAGAAATGGGGAAAAAATAAACAAGAAGGAAATAATTGCAGGAACATCAACTTTGCTTGTGTGACTGCATGACAATGAACCTGATTTTACTGGATTCCTCTACTCTATTGCCATAAATGAATTAAACCAAGATTATCTGGCAGGTTATATGGTGCATCTAGGAAATCCAGAAAAAGAGTCCGGCTAAGGAAAAACAATAAAATGTCTTACTAATCCAAAGACTGCCCCTGATGCACCAACTGCAGGTGCCTCACTGAACCAATAACTCATCGCTGAACCTGATTTTCTCGAAACCACTGAATCAGAATACTAGTCGCTAAGCAATTTTTATTGGCTATTGTAGATAGATCATAAAGCTGTTACTTGCAATTGCAGAGGCGAAGTAGAGTGCAAGATATCTATTAGGACCACTGATCTTCTCCATGGTAGGACCAACTGAATTTAAAGAATAACAATTAACCTGAAAACATACGCAGAAACAGACAAAATCAGATTGAAATGCAGACATTAGAATGCCAAGCCGTAAGATTCAAAGCATACCATTAGGTGCCCAACATTTGCATGTAAAAAGGAAGATGTGACCAGCCTCCACACTTGCCCTTTGTCGATGAGCCTATTTATCCATGGACATTGTCTTTTGCTGATTTCATTTACTTTTTGCCTTACTTTGCATGCCAAATTATTTGATATTTACATCTGATATGCAAGTTAATCACATGATGTATGCATTTTGCAGCTTCAGCAGTAGGACCTTTCTACAAGGAGATCCGTTTCTTGGAATTTTCAGGATTCTTGGTCTTTTATCCCCTCTGTTGGTTACGTTCATGGTTCGTTTTCTCTATGCAAAGGAAAATTTTCAAGGCACACAAAAACACCACGGCACAATGATGTGCCATGCTTCGTTTTGTTTTGGCGAGGATGGTAGAGTGTCCATGTCAAAAGTTTGACACAACAGGTTCCTTATGCAACAACACATATAAAAGCGATTCAGGAGATGATTGCAGGTCAAAGCCAAAAAGGTGGCAGGCCTATCATCTCTGTTTTACATTTGTGATGTTGTAACTACCGGAAGGTCATTCCAAAGGGAAAACCTCCTAGAGATAGTGTGACCAGTTGAAGAATACTTAGCTTGCAGAATTTTCAAAAAGAACCTTATCTTTTTGAGCATTTGCAATGCAAGGCAAAGTAAAAATTGATACACAATTTGTATAGGTTAGTATCATATACTTGTGAAGGGGCGATGACTACATCTTTGTATGAAAAAAAAAATTCATGGTGAATCATTGAGTGGCCTGATCCCTTTTTGGGTGCCTTTTGTTTTTAATCCTGAAGTGAAGAATTAAAAAGCCAAATGGTTCCTCAAAGAGGCCTTGGTATGCCCTGACCTTGGGATGGGGTAGCCTCCCCTCCTCCTAAACACATGCTAGAGCTTTCACTTCATATACTGCAAGGTGATTCTTGTTTATGGCAAGGAGGTGCAGCTCATTCTGGTGAATTTGGATGTAAGTATCTGACAATGATCTCAACTCCTTCCCATCTGGAATCTGCAACAATTTGCTTCTCTGTTTTTCCCACACAAAAATCTGCAGGGCCAAAACGACGTCGTTAAATAACAGAAGTCACATTAGAGTAGAAGCCATGTCTGAAAGTAATATTTTAGTTTCCAATATGCATCAGCACCAGAAGAAACTAGTACATTCAGAGTGTTCGGGAAGGCAAGGCTAGTGACTCTTTTGGAGTGACCCTCAAGCTTCCTTGTAACCTGCAAAATATTTAAATCAAGGCAATGACAAACTTTTCGGGTTTGCTTCATCACAACATCGAGCATGATTTGTTTTTTTACAAGAACAAACAAATTTCCTTGTCTGAGTGGAGATTGTATATTACAATGGTGGAATTGTCCATGCCAATAGCAACTATACCATCATCTCGGGAGTGAAAAGCAAGACATGTTGCTGCAGGGAAAAGAAAATTTCAAGATTTAGAATCAAATGACTGTCGCTTCGGTTTCAATTCGAAAGGAAAGAGAGGAGAAATCTAATAGGAAAGAACTTAAATATATTATAGCCGCGCGGCTATACTATTTATTTATTTATTTTTAAAAAGAACCGCCTAGCCCGCCTAGGCGGCCGATTTTTCAAAAACTTGAATGGAGTTTTTTTTTCTTCAGATTTCTTTATTCATGGAGGGTCTAGCATCTCTGCAAGTACATTTTGGCAATTCTCAGTACCATAAGATGGGCAATAAGAGTAAATCAAAAACTCCCAGAGAGATGCAAGATAATATAGCTGTTGGTATCGGTGGCAGCTTCTCAGGTCCTCTTCAAACAGGTTTAGATGATTCTTTCCATGCATATATTTTGCAGTCTTGTTTACTATTTAGTGTGAGTTTCCTTGTGAAAATGATTAAGCTTTCTTTGGAACACTGGTTTGATTACATTTTGCAGATCCAGAGGCTATCGAAACAGCAAGGGGAAGGCAACTGCATTTGTAAGAACTTACGTATCAATTTTTAAGTGATTATTTTCCGGTTCTCTATATCAATGAATTAAGAGCCGGTAAGATGCTAATGGTATGAATCCATGTCTTGAGGCTTTTGAAGTGATTTCCCACTACTGCTGTCAAACATTGCGGATTAGCTTTCTTTTAGCTCCTTCATTTGAGGACCTACCTGATTGAAACAATGAGATTGTCTGTGTTCATGAGTTTATTTCAGTGGCATGGTTCTTGAAGAAGGTATGCATTCATCTGTTAAAGACAGGTAGAGAAGCATTTTGTATTTGATACAGCACATAGGATTTTAGGACATGGCATGCTTTTGCTTATGCTTTCAAATTTTCTTTGTGTTTATTTTTTAAAGCAATCTGTATTCTGTGTGTTGGTTGGAGTTATGGTGGTTGAAGAAACATAGCCCATATTCAGGGGACTATGTTAGATGCATTCTCTGTGTAAATATTGGTAATGGCCTAATAATAGTAATGGATAATGCTCTAAACTACTCTCGTTAACAAAGGAAAATCTGGGGATTTTTTTTTTTTTTTTTTTTTTTATAGCCGTATAGCCGGCTATACTCTTTCAATATTCTATATTCTAATCACTGCTATGGCCGCACGGCTATACCTTTAAATATTCTATTTACTATTCTATACCTTTAAATAGTATAGCCGCGCGGCGATACACCTTAAATATAATATTTTAACCGTACAGCCGAACGACAGTACCCCAAAAAAGAATATTTCAAAGTATAGTCGCCCGGCTATACCCTGTAAATAAAAAATTGAGAAAACACATCTCCCGACGAAATTTCGTTGGCATAGGTCAACACCGGCAAATATTTTTCAGATTAGACCTCTCCCGACTAAAGTTACCTCTGCTGACGACATTTCGTCAGGAGAGGTAATATGGCAAATTTCGTTGGGATAGATATTTGCCGACGACATTTCGTCGGGAGGGGTGTTTTTGTTTTTGTTTAGTTTCTTTACTTTTGTTTGTTGGCCAACTTCTTTAATTTAATACATGTGGTTAAGTAATATCTTAGCCTTTTTTTAATTAGTAACTATGTATTAATTATTATTTCTTTAGTGAATATTTAAATATATTACTATAAAGGTCTTTGTAGTAATTCAATTTTTGGGAGATTCATATTATGCTACTTAAAGGGTATAGCCGCGCGGTTGGACTTTTAAAATATTCTATTTTGGGAGTATAGTCGTGCGGCTAAATTGTGAAGCAACAGCTCAGGCCACTAAGCTTCCTCTATGCAAGAATAAATCGAATGGCTACCTTGCTAGTTTGAGACCACTGAAGGGAATGCAAAGCCTAAGTCAACTCCCTTTAATTCCTCTCCCATTGAAATCACTGGAAAATAGACTACCACTAATTAAAATAATTTAAAAAAAAACTAAGATTTTACTTAATAACATAAACTAAATTAAAGAAGGTCGCCAAAAAACAAAAGTAAATAAACTAATTTTATACTTTTAAATAATTAATTACTATTTATTAACTAATTTATTAAATCAGTAAAATATTTAAATATTCACTAAAAGAAACAATAATTAAAATGTAATACCTAATTAAAGTAATTAAAAAAGACTAACATTTTATTTAAGAATAATGCTACTCTTACCACATTTGTATACCACATCTTTATACCATCTTATGTGGCGGCTGAGGTGGATAGCCACATCAATTAAAATTATTTAATATTTTCTTTTCTTTTATGATTTATTCAAGTATTTTTTTCTAATTGCCTTAATTAAAATACATCATTGATTTAATTGATGTGGCATATAATATGGACGTGCCACATCATATGGTATAGAAATGTGGAATAAACATGTGGTATGTGTAGCATTACTCTTGATTTAATTACATAAATTAAATTAAAGAAGGTTGCCATAAAACAAAAGTAAAGAAACTAATTTTATACTTTTGAAGCGTATAGCTGCACGGCTATAAGTTCAGAATATTCTTTTAAATACTATAGCATGCGCTAGACCTTTAAAATAGAATATTTATAATGTATAATTGTGTGGCTATACTCTTTTTATATCACCAACAATAAAAATTTTTTTTTTTTTTTTTTTTTTTTTTTTTTTTTTTTTTTTTTTTTTTTTTTTTTTTTTTTTTTTTTTTTTTTTTTTTTTTTTTTTTTTTTTTTTTTTTTTTTTTTTTTTTTTTTTTTTTTTTTTTTTTTTTTTTTTTTTTTTTTTTTTTTTTTTTTTTTTTTTTTTTTTTTTTTTTTTTTTTTTTTTTTTTTTTTTTTTTTTTTTTTTTTTTTTTTTTTTTTTTTTTTTTTTTTTTTTTTTTTTTTTTTTTTTTTTTTTTTTTTTTTTTTTTTTTTTTTTTTTTTTTTTTTTTTTTTTTTTTTTTTTTTTTTTTTTTTTTTTTTTTTTTTTTTTTTTTTTTTTTTTTTTTTTTTTTTTTTTTTTTTTTTTTTTTTTTTTTTTTTTTTTAAAAAGGTTAGCGCACAAATTTTGCCTTACCTTAATAATGACCAGATGATGACCTAGAAGGTTTACACCCCATGCCAACGTGCTGGTACAAACCAATACCTATAATTTAATACATATGCCTAATCAGTATATTGATTAAGAAAATGATATTTTTATATTCTCTTTTCCTAATGTGTTTTTCAGGAAAGACTCATGCTTATTGAGGTAAAACAGAAATGCCTGAATCTTGTTCCTCAACCAGAGATCTATCTTTGTCATTCAGACCGGCATGGTGTAATCCAATGAAACAAACTAAGAACCATCTGCTGGGCTTCTTTTGGTATACTAAGAAACTGCCTTGGATGTCCATCTGACGTTGCCAACTTCAATAACAGAAAAGCACACAAAAAATCGAATCAATGCAGCAGCCGAAACCGAAGAAAAAAAATCCAAGCTTGAGTTGAGAGAGAGGCTCAAGACCGAGTATTTGAATTTTGAAGATTGGACTGCGAGTGCAAGCTTCGTGTTCGTTTCTCTGTCTCTTCATTTCCCTCGTGCACCAGATTCCTCTGCGAGTGCAAGCTTCGTCTGTCTGCATTTGGAAAAAAAAGGATTCTCAGACCCGCCCAGGCCGCCTAGACCGCCTAGACGCTGCCTAACTACTTATAGCATCAGAGTTGTTATCTTAGTGGAGATTTCAATAGCTGAACGACATTTGATGGTTTTCATAGAGAGTGTCCAATCCAATCCAATCAACACCGCAGCCGAAACGAAAGAAAAAATTTCGAAGCTTTAGTTGAGAGAGAGAGAGACTCAATATCGAGTCTTTGAAGCTTGGAAGCGCTTATAGAGAAACGAAATGGCTGTCACTGTGAGTGCAAGCTTCGTGTTTGTTTGGAAATAAATTTAAAGAGTATAGCCGCTCGGCTATACATTTAAAATATTCCAATATATTCAAACCGTAGAGCCGACCGGCCATACCTTTAAAATAATATATTTTACCCGTATAGCCGCCCGGCTATACTCTTTGAATATACAATTTTTTCATGTTATTTTAGGGTTCAGGGCTAAAATACCACTTTAGCTAATTAGGATAGAGATATTTCTTCAATTTTTTTATTTATACGAGTGATATTGGGGAGTGAGAATTTAAATTCTTTCCGGTACCTCCCATTCTAATGATTTCCAACTATTAGTCCATTAGGCAAGAATAAAAAATGTATTTTATTTATGACAAATATTGCGGGTACTCATAAATACAACAACAAAAAATAGGGATCCACCAACATTTTGGGGATAAAAGAATCTTGAATTTCAGAGCATAAAATTACTAGTGTAAGAATTTACTTTCTAAAATGTATCCATGGTAATTATAAACTAAACCAAATGACAAAATTTTTCTCATTGCACTTGACAACCACTCTTCTGCTTTGAGATGCATCAATATAATCTCTACACATGAAAAATTGGATACAAAACATTTTAATGAGACAACGAAGAGAAGAGTTTTGAAATAAATTGAAGGTATCAGAGGTCATATGGCGTTGATATATATATATATACAAACTATTCTAAATGAGATTTCAAACAACGTGTTAGATGAGAAGTAGCATCGCATTCTTACATATACCATATCCACGTGCACCTGAAATTCCCAATGTTAAAAGGGGAGAAAAGTGCAATACCTCTCTTGTATCTCGCAAGAGTAGGAGATCCAACCTTTCATGATGAGGACGCTGGTTTGATAAAGAAGCAAGCTGCATCCAATCATACATTAATACCGGCAAACTATCCATTGGATTCGGCAGCCCCTCTACTTTGTGCTGGAATTACTGTTTATGCTTCGATGGTACGCCATAAGATGAACCAACCTGGTAAATCTCTAGGGGTGATTGGCCTTGGTGGCCTAGGTCACATGGGAGTGAAGTTTGGCAAGGCATTTGGTTTGAATGTAACAATTTTCAGCACTAGCATATCCAAGAAAGAGGAAACTTTAAGTCAGCTGGGTGCAGATAACTTTGTTGTCTCATCTGACAGAAATCAGATGAAGGTAAAAATACATATAGTTTCTTACCTCATCACACGAACAATAGAAAAAATAGTGGAAATGATGGCTCATCCTATAGGTTTAGTATTTATCGGTTATTGTTTGCTATGTAGGCCCTGGTGAAGTCAGTAGACTTTATAATTGATATAGCATCTGGTGATCACCCTTTTGATCCATACGCAGAACTATTGAAACTGGTGGAGTTCTGGTCTTATGGTGGGATTCCCCAGTGAAGTCAAAATCAGTCCTGCCAACCTTCATATCGGTACACTGGCATGTTTCAAATGATTGAAATGACAGTTTTATATATCCAACTGGTATTGCAATTGCAAGTATATATAATGAACTCCATGCATTGGCCTTTTGGCAGGTATGAAAACCTTTTCTGGTAGTGTAACAGGTGGAACAAAGGATATCCAAGAAATGATAGATTTCTTTGCTTCAAATGGAATTCATCCAATGATTGAAAAATTCCAATTCAATCTGCAAATGAAGCTATTGAGAGGCTACTAAAAAGTGTTGTGATATACCGGTTTGTGATTGATATTGAAAACTCCCTGAAATGACACCATGAAAGAGAACAAGGATTTCTCTTGTTGATTTGTATTAATAAGTTCATATGGATTGGATTGTAGGGCTCAAACCATTATCAATTTGGCAATCATTTATAGTTAGGTGGTGTGCATTTACCTCTGTGAAATTTTATCTGGGATTGATCTTCTGTATAATGTGTAAAAAGAAACTGAACTCTTATGATCATGTCCTTTCTCTAGTGACTGGATTTATGACTGAAATATCATTCTCCAGCACTTTAATGTCTTCAAGTACCCTGTTTCCATTCTCTGTCTGTTCAGCAACAAGAGTGTCTTTCCTTCTTTCCCCACAGCACACAGTAAAGGCCCACAATAATGAGAAACGCTCCGATCAAGCTGCACATCACCACTTACACAAAATCCACATTAAATTTGTGACTAATTTTCATGACAAACAAACTACCGTGATAGAATGGATAAGTGAAACCATCAAATGTGGAAGTTGTAAGATGGAATAGGAAGAAGGTGTCTGTGTTCTTCAGGTTATTACCTGCCAAAGTGAAGTCATTCTGCGAAATAAATTGCCGAGAACAATGCCACTATAATGACTTGAAGTGGAATAAACATAGCTGCAAAGACTGGTCCCTTGTAACTGATGCACCATGTTTGCAGGTAGTAGGCTAATGCTGAGAATGCAACTCCCTATTGCAAAAGTAAGGAGTGGATGAAGAACAGAACTTGTGACAGATTCAAATATATCTTATACCAACAAGGAGAAAACTACCCAATAAGACATAACAAAATAGGATGTCCCATTTATTTACTTTATACACACACACACACACACAAGACAATGTTCTCTTCTACATGTTCTGCTGTGAGGTTTTTAAATCGAACTACAGATTCAGATAAGAATTTGCATGATCAATTGTTGAAATCAACGTTGTGAACCTAATAATAAGATATGAGAAAGAGAAAACTCACGCAATAGGCGATGGTTGAAAGTTGCAGGTTCCACTCCAGTCTCCATGAAATTGGATTTCTTGCAAAAAACAGATCAAGAAAAGAAGATTGCAACGACGCGAAAAAGCATATCATCGTGGTTAGCGATAATCGAGCAGTGTAGACTTTGGAGACCACAGCCTGTGAGACCAGAGAGCCAAAGTTGGACAAAGAACTAAACTTGGCCATTACGTGACATAAAAGGGTGTCATCTTAATTCAATTATAAAATCACCTGGACGATTAGCCATGCACTCCATGCAATGTGACTCGTCAGAATAAGAAATGCCCCTTGATCCAGTTTTCCTTCTCATGCCTCATCTCACCAACAGATATATTTACGAAACCTTTAAATAGGTATCCTCCTTTCCAGAAAGTGAAAACAAGAGAACCACCAATGCAGAAAAGTGTGCCAGCCACCTTAGCTTGACCTCTAGCAGTTCTAATCTTCAACTTCTCCAACCTGTGTAAGAACAAGCAAATTGCAGAACAGGAAAAAAGAACATTTATATTCCCCTTTCTAATTAAGCAAGGGAAAGGAAAGGACAGAGAATATACCCAAGTAGAACTGCCATTAGAAATGTCAAGCTGGGAATAACATTACTCAAGGCACATGCAACTGTTGGAGAAGTGTATGCTAAACCAGCATAGTACACATTCAGATAGATGGTGGTTCCAAACAAGGCAAGCACAAAAATTTTGGCAGCTACAGAAAATGAGAGTGAAGGCCTTTGTTTCCTCCTTTACAAATCCATTCAAGAATTAGTTTTCTCTGTTTTTACTGCCTGGAAATATGAAGTGATGCAAGAATCAATAGCTTACCTTTCAAGTACATAAGCAAATGGTCCTACCAAAACCATGGCCATAACATGCGGTAAACGACGAAGACAATTGGATTGAGTCCTTCTGCAAGGGAGAATTTTCTGAGGATGTTTGATCCACCATATATGAGCTGAACCAGTACCATTGCCAAGTAATAAGAGCAACCCTCCATTTATACGGATATGAAACTTTCTTGGACTAATTGGGATCACTGAATCAAGTTTTAATGGGTTGGTTTTTTAGCGGAATTCACAATCAGTTTAGCAATTCTAAAAGGCATGACACCTTACGTTTTTCCAGGGTTTAACTTACTTGATGGTGCAACTATAAAGAACCATTTTTGGGGCATTTTTATTAGTGGAAATTATTTTAAGTGTTCTTCCCCATTTTGGCTCAAAGACAAACATTTAAAAACTGAAGATTGTGCAAATGAAAGATTGGCCATCACATTTCTCACTTTAAAAATCAATAACCTGCATAAAATAATCCCAGAATTCCACAATTTATGTTTGGCAACAGAAACCCAAAATATAGTAAAACTTACTCATCAAAATTTCCATGCAAGATTTAAAAAAAGAAGAAGAGTACAGATGAAAAACTCAAAATCAAAATCAGAAAAAGCACTCTTCTTCTCACTCACAAAAATCCCATCAAGAAACTTCCTAATATCCTTGTTCTTCACATGGCACTTCTGGTTTATGAGAGCAGCAGACCTCAACACCAACGCAGACCCGCCTAGACCTGCGCAGGCCGCCTAGATCCGCCCAGACCGCCTAGCCGCCTAGGGGCCGCCTAGATCCGCCCACACCGCCTAGGGGCCGCCTAGCTCCGCCCAAACCGCCTAGGGGCCGCCTAGATCCGCCCAGACCGCCTAGGGGCCGCCTAGATCCGCCCAGACCGCCTAGGGGCCGCCTAGATCCGCCCAGACCGCCTAGGTGCCGCCTAGCTCCGCCCAGACCGCCTAACTACGAGTTCGAGTCTCTATCCGTGGCTGCCATGGCGTGCAATTTACGTATGTTTCTGATTTTGCAATTTTTTTTTGTTTGTTTAAATGGAATACGATTATCACAGTGGAGATTTCAATTGCCGAACAACATTTGATAGTATAGCCGAACGGCTATACACTTTAAATATACAATTTTGTCATATTATTTTACGGTTTAGAGCTAAAATACCAATTCAGCTTATTAGGCTAGAGTTATTTCTTCAATTATTTTATTTATACAAGTGATGTTGGGGAATGAGAATTTAAATTCTTTCCGATACCTCCCATTCTAATAATTTCCGGCTATTAGCCCATTGCGCGATAATAAAAAATGAATTTTATTTATGAGAAAAAATGGCCTAGGTCATTTACCCTTGTGGAATTGCATCTGGGATTTGGTCTTCTGCATCATTATAAAACTGAAATCTTTTACATCAACTGTTCTTATGACCATTTTCAGTGCCAGTCCTGATCACTAATAAAAATAAATCGTAAAATAAGTATAGTCTTGGGTAATGGCATTATATATATATATAATCATAAAAAAGGTGAACAATGGCATTATATATAATCGATTATATATATATATATATATATCTTGCATTACTATAGGAGGGAGATGAGATATATATATCCACTATACAATTGTTCACCTTTTTTCAGCTGACATACAATTGATTTTCCTATGCATGTATATATATATATATATATGACATGCAATTATATCATCTCCACATTGCATCGCATGAGCCTACGCCGTAATTAATTAGCATCTGGATCTTTTGATGCATATCAAAACACCAATGACCTTGTCAATGAGCGGACATATTTGGCATTAACAACTGGGAAAGTTTGTTCTCCGTTATAGTTTGGCTTTGCTCTTCCGGCACCTGTTTCGACGAAAGAAGCCCCATTTTCGAAGATATCTCCTACAGAGCAAAACTTCCAGGATTCTTTGTCTCCAATGCTGTCCTTCCTCCAAGTGATCTGTGCGTACATGGAAAATCATTAAGTAATTAATTAAGGGCATTGCATTTGAACTTGAATATATATACATTTGAGTTAATAATTACCTCTTTCTTGTTTCCCGATTTTGGTGCAATGAAGAGGTTGGCTTCACTCTTAACACTAGGGTTCATGCTTCCCCCAATGGCATACTGCGACCATTCTCTGTAAAGATTATTCACGACATGTGCATATCCATAGCGAATCCTGCATGCATGCAATAGTAAGTAATATAATACTCACTCTCTGTTGAGAATACGAAGGTGAAAATGTCCCACACTTATATTACCTACACACTTTGCTAATATTAATAAATAGAGGAGTTGAAAGTGAAGGTAGCCAGCGATCTCAATTAATATATGGACATAGCTAGCCCAGGGGCCTTTACCTTGGCATTCTTTGGTTGCAGTTGGGTCCAAAATGGTTGTACACAACGGTCACCCTCATGTTCTTGTCCCGAAAGTAGCCATCATCCTGGCCAAGAAGCATAACCTTGTCCTGGTCTCTGAACCAATTGTTGGAGATGGTGATATGGGTAGATCCGCGAGTAACATCGAGAAGACCGTCCTGGCACTCGTAAAGTGTATTGTGGTCTATCCAAACCTTATGCTGTTACCAACCTTATTGCATCTCCATCAACCTGCCCTATTGGTATTATCTTTCCTTCTGGACCCATAACTGAGCTTGGTGGTTGGGGTCGGCAATGATGGATTCGAAGGCCATGGATGATTATATTGCTTGCCTGATAACGTTTAAAATAATAATATAATTAGTTTACATGCATGAAAATGTACACAAGATATCTTTACTATATTCAATCTCCAAAAAATCATAGCAAGACTGTCATGTGGTGTTACAAATTTACTTATAATTAATGCATGTATTATTATCAATAAAAACTATTCCCTAGCTAGTTCCATGAGATATATATATATATATAATACGTGTCGTTCACCCATATTATAACAGTAGATAATATATAGCACGTGCAGTGGCGGATCTGTGCAGGCGCAAGGCGGTGCGCCTGCACCTCCGGTAGCCGGAAATAGCCATTACAGACGCTGGAGTTGCACCTTTGCTTCAGACCAGCGATGCACACAATGTGCTCGATGAAATGCGCAAACCACTGGGCTGGGGAGCTGCTGCCTACTGGTGCTGCGTGCAGCGCGTACGCGAGGGCTCCTGTTTTTTTTTAACGAAGCCTGGCCAAAATGACGTCGTTTTGGACCAGGCTGTTTAATATGCGCTGCTTTTTTTTTTTTTTTTTTTTTTTGTTTAAAAACCTGGCCAAAACGACGTCGTTTTGGACCAGGGTTTTGAAATTAAAAAGAAAAAGAAAAAAAGGGAAACTGACGTGGGCTTTTTGTGGGCTTTTGAAAAAGGGCTTCTATTTCCTTACTTAATTGGGTTTTAATTAAAAGTTCTCTTTATTCAATTGGGTTTTGAGAATTCCTTAATTAAATAGAGTTGAGAATTCCTTAATTAAGTAGAATTGAGAATTCGCTTTATAAAAGATCAATAGCATCACCCAATTTCATCAAAGTGTGTGTGCATCCTAAGAATCCTGCATTTTTTTCTTCTTCTTGAGTACGCCAATCCAAAGTAAGTCGAATGCTTTTTTTTTTCTTGAGCAAACACCAATTTTGTTTATTCTTTTTTTAATAATTTTTTTTTCTTATTTAACTCTCTCTATATTAGTAAGATCAGTAGCAAACTCGAGGAGAAATAGGCTACGTGACACGTTATTCGAGGTATAATTAATTTTTATTTATTTATTTAATTGATAATTTGATAATTATTTATTTGATAAATTATAGTCAATTAGTCATAATAATAGATATAAAACCCTTATTTTGTTTCAATTGTACAGTTATGGAACAGTACTTTCAGAGAAAGAGTTTAAATCTTCCTTCAAATAATCTGGGTAGTTCAAATCCTCCTTCGAATCATCTGTCTAGTTCCAACCCTCCTTCAAATAATCCGGCTAGTTCCAACCCTCCTTCAAATAATCTGGCTAGTTCAAATCAACCTTCAAATAATCCGCCTACTGAGTTGGATGAAATATTAGCTAATCTTCCTGCAGACCCTGGCCTTAGACCTCCAATGACTTATTATAATCCCAATTTTCGAGAACAAATCCGAAGAGCCTATCTGCAAAGGGGTCCTTGTCAGCCTACAAGCCAAAACGATATGCCTCAAACACTTATGGGGGAGAGTAATCGACGTTTTCTTGTGAAATCCTCAGGCATATTATGTCCATTGTTTTGCACATCAACTACAACTAGCTCTTGTAGCCGTGGCAAAGGGTAATGAAAACATTGCTACTTTCTTCACAACGGCTAGTAGTGTTGTTAACATTATTGGAGCATCGTGTAAGCGTCGTGATGCACTTAGAGAGCAACAACAAAAAGATATTATGAAAGCTCTTGAAATTGATGATCTTGAAACAGGGCAAGGGTTAAATCAAGAGACTACTCTCAAACGTCCTTGTGATACACGTTGGAACTCACATTATGATACTTTACTGAGTATTAATACTATGTTTCATCCCGTGGTGAAGGTGCTTGAATGGATTGTTGATGATGTCAACCAAGATAATTTAGGTGAAGCAAATAGGTTATTGAAAGAAATACAAACTTTTGACTTTGTGTTTCACCTATATTTGATGAGATTTATATTGGGAATCACAAATGATTTGTCAAAGGCATTACAAAAGAAAGATCAAGATATTGTGAATGCAATGATGTTGGTCCAAAGATGTAAGCAAAAGCTACAATCCATGAGGGATGATGACTTTGATGATCTGCTTGGCAAAGTATCAATATTTTGTGGCAACAATGATATTGATGTTCCTAACATGGATGATTTATTTGTACCACAAGGGAGATCACGTCGTAAAGCTCAGAAAATCACAAACCGCCATTATTATCATGTGGACCTATTTCTTACTATCATTGATAAGAAACTAGTGGAATTGAATAATCGCTTCACTGAGGTAAATACTGAATTGCTTCTTTGTATGGCATGTTTGAGTCCAGCTTATAATTTTGCAGCTTTTGACAAACAACAAATACTTCGTTTTGCTCAATTTTACCCTCAAGAATTTAATGACCGAGACCTCATGAAGCTTGAAGATCAACTTGGGCTTTATATTGTTGATATGCAGAGCAGCACTGAGTTTTCATCATTGAAAGGAATTACTGATCTGGCAGAAAAATTGGTGAATACAGGAAGGAGTAGAATATACAACTATGTATATTTACTTCTTACATTGGCTTTAGTTTTACCCGTTGCAACAGCTTCAGTTGAGAGAGCTTTTTCAGCTATGAATATTGTGAAAACACCATTGCGTAACAAAATAGGGAATCAATGGTTGAGTGATAGCTTGGTTGTTTACATTGAGAAAGATGTTTTTTCTTGTATTAGTAATATAAATATAATGCGACGTTTTCAAGATATGAAATCTCGTCGGCAACAATTGTAGGGTAATTGTAATGATATTTTTTTAATGTATTATGAATAACATTAGTATTGTTTAAATTATAAGGATGTTTAGTTTTTTTTTTTTTTTTTTGGGGCTCTTAGCTTTTGAAAATTGCATCTCAAAGCAGAGAGGTATTGCACTTTTCTCCCCTCTTAACATTGGGAATTTTAGGTGCACGTGGATATGGTATATGTAAGAATGAGATGCTACTTCTCATCTAACACGTTGTTTGAAATCTCATTTATAATAGTTTGTATATATATATATATATATATCTTCGTTGTCTCATTAGAATGTTTTGTATCCAATTTTTCATGTGCAGAGATTATATTGATGCATCTCAAAGCAGAAGAGCAGGTTGTCAAGTGCAATGAGAAAAAGTTTGTCATTGGGTTTAGTTCATAATTACCATGGATACATTTTAGAAAGTAAATTCTTACACTAGCAATTTTATGCTCTGAAATTCAAGATTCTTTTATCCCCAAAATGTTGGTGGATCCCTATTTTTTGTTGTTGTATTTATGGGTACCCGTAATATTTCTCATAAATAAAATCCATTTTTTATTCTTGCCTAATGGACTAATAGTTGGAAATCATTAGAATGGGAGGTACCGGAAAGAATTTAAATTCTCATTCCCCAATATCACTCGTATAAATAAAAAAAATTGAAGAAATATCTCTATCCTAATTAGCTAAGTGGTATTTTAGCCCTAAACCCTAAAATAAAATGACAAAATTGTATATTCAAAGAGTGTAGCCGGGCGGCTATACGGGTAAAATATATTATTTTAAAGGTATGGCCGGTCGGCTCTACGGTTTGAATATATTGGAATATTTTAAATGTATAGCCGCGCGGCTATACGCTTTAAATTTATTTCCGAACAAACACGAAGCTTGCACTCACAGTGACAGCCATTTCGTTTCTCTATAAGCGCTTCCAAGCTTCAAAGACTCGGCAACTAAAGCTTCGAAATTTTTTCTTTCGTTTCAGCTGCTGTGTTGATTGGATTGGATTGGACACTCTCTATGAAAACCATCAAATGTCGTTCAGCTATTGAAATCTCCACTAAGATAACAACTCTGATGCTATAAGTAGTTAGGCGGCGTCTAGGTGGCCTGGGCTGATCTAGGCGGCGCCTAGTCGGATCTAGGGGGCCTGGGCGGGTCTGAGAATCCTTTTTTTTCCAAATGAAGACAGACGAAGCTTGCACTCGCAGAGGAATCTGGTGCGTGAGTGAAATGAAGAGACAGAGAAACGAACACGATACTTGCACTCGCAGTCCAATCTTCAAAATTCAAATACTCGGTCTTGAGCCTCTCTCTCAACTCAAGCTTGGATTTTTTTTCTTCGGTTTCGGCTGCTGCGTTGATTCAATTTTTTGTGTGCTTTTCTGTTATTGAAGTTGGCAACGTCAGATGAACATCCAAGGCAGTTTCTTAGTATACCAAAAGAAGCCCAGCATATGGTTCTTTAACCTGAGGCACACCTTGCAGTTTGTCATTGGATTACACCATGCCAGTCTGAATGACAAAGATAGATCTCTGGTTGAGGAACAAGTTCAGGCATTTCTATTTTACCTCAATAAGCATGAGTCTTTCCTGATAAACACATTAGGAAAAGAGAATATAAAAAGATCATTTTCTTAATCAATATACTGATTAGGCATATGTATTAAATTATAGGTATTGGTTTGTACCAGCACATTGGCATGGGGTGTAAACCTTCTAGGTCATCATCTGTTCATTATTAAGGGAAGGCAAAATTTGTGCGCTATCTTTTTCATTTGGTTCCTATATTCACAAAGGTTTCTAGCAGGAGTATATTGCAGCAGCTGTTCTTCAGAACAAATTTACGTCGGTGTTGATTCTCTTGCTGTTGCAGGGAACAGAATATTATGATGGGAAAACAAAGAGATATGTTGATTTTCCAATATCAATCACAGATATATTGCAAATGATGGGTTTGGTCACACGTGACTATATAGAATAAAAAAGGGAAAGAAATAAATATGTGAATCAGGTTACATGTTTTTCTCCCTTTATAATCAACAGTTGCTCAGATTCTACAAGAAAGATGGGAGTATATGTCCATCACAATCCGATCACGCCTAAAGATCAACAAAAACACGAATCATATTACTCTCTGAATCCGGAATTCCACAATTTATGTTTGGCAATAGAAACCCAAAATATAGTAACACTTGCTCATCAAAATTTCCATCCAAGATTAAAAAAACAGAGTAAAGATGAAAAACTCAAAATCAGAAAAAACACTCTAACAAGCACAAATCCCAAAAATCTAATCACTCTGACGAGAGTCAATCAGCCCAAATCACAACCTCACATCTCTCCCCCCGGCTACTATGATTGCTCAATCCTCTGCAAATCAGGATTCATGATGTCGTGCCACAATCTCTCCCTCAATATTAGTATTAGTTTAAATCTATGATTGTGTAAATCTTGAATTACCTTATTAACCTTAGCTTTCCATATATACTTAGGCCAACGTCAACTGTAATATCATATAAAGATGAATGAATACAGGCATCACAATTAGTGAGCCATTCCCTAATTTTCTATTCCTTCCTAAATTTCTACACACTCCTCTTCAGCTATCGTCCTCTTCTCACTCACAAAAATCCCATCAAGAAACTTCCTAATATCCTTGTTCTTCACATGGCACTTCTGGTTTATGAGAGCAGCATACCTCAACACCAACGCAGACCCGCCTAGACCTGCGCAGGCCGCCTAGATCCGCCCAGACCGCCTAGCGGCCGCCTAGATCAGCCCAGACCGCCTAGCGGCCGCCTAGCTCCGCCCAGACCGCCTAGGGGCCGCCTAGATCCTCCCATACCGCCTAGGGGCCGCCTAGCTCCGCCCAAACCGCCTAGGGGCCGCCTAGATCCGCCCAGACCGCCTAGGGGCCGCCTAGCTCCGCCCAGACCGCCTAACTACGAGTTTGAGTCTCTATCCGTGGCTGCCATGGCGTGCAATTTACGTATGTTTCTGATTTTGCAATTTTTTTTTGTTTGTTTAAATGGAAGAAACGATTATCACAGAGTTTCTTCTAAGGATTTTAAGATTTTATAGCATTAGAGTTGTTATCATAGTGGAGATTTCAATAGTTGAATGACATTTGATAGTATAGCCGAACGGCTATACTCTTTAAATATACAATTGTGTCATATTATTTTAGGGTTGAGGGCTAAAATACCACTTTAGCTAATTGGGCTAGAGTTATTTCTTCAATTATTTTATTTATACAACCGATATTTGGGGAATGAGAATTTAAATTCTTTCCGATACCTCCCATTCTAATGATTTCCGGCTATTAGTCCCTTGTGCAAACGGATTTTATTTATGAGAAATAATACCGGTTTAACCCATAAATACAACAACCAAAATAGGGATCCACCAACGTCTTGTGAATCAAAGAATGTTGAATTTCATAGTATAAAATTGCTTGTATAAGAATTTACTTTCTACAATGTATCCATCGTAATTATGAATTGAACCCAATTACAACTTTTTTCTCATTGCACTTGACAACCCTGCTCCTACTTTGAGATACATCAGTATATTCTCTGCATATGAAAAATTGGATACAAAACATTCTAATGAGACAACGAAGAGGAGTTTTGAAATAAATTGAAGTTATCAAAGGTCATATGGCATTGATATATATATATATATATATACGAACTATTCTAAATGAGATTTCAAACAACGTGTTAGATGAGAAGAAGCATCTCATTAAATATACCATACCCAGAAGCTGAAGGTTTGAGTCCTGCTGAAATGGCCCTATATTTTTTTAGGGTAATGTACTGTGGAAAGGAAAAACACAAAAGAAGAGCTTCTCTTGGAGGACAAAGGAAAAAACAAAACAAAACAAGGTAAACAATACAGGAAAGAGGCATGGACTAACAACATTCAAGGGTGCTCAGCATCCCCGATTAACATCTCTAACTAATCAACTGATATGCTAGCTGTCGAATGTAATAATATAAACAAGGCAGAATGCCCAATTCACACTAGCACTCTTTTATTCTAGGCAAGTACTACTACTAAGAAGTCAGAATTGTAACTACTAAGAAGAATACCTGCACACTAAGGGCACATTTAAAGGCTTTTAACTTGTGTCTTCACCACATTTAAGTACAAGAGGATCATTGTCACAGCAGCGATGCAAATGATGGGCGTTCTGAACTTTAACAGCAAAAAAAGATAGGTGTAGAGTATTGAAAAAATAAAAAGGAAAATGGTTTATTGATTAGATTTAGGACTGCAAGACTTCATCCATTGACTTTATTTGATTTTCTGATATTCAAAACCCCAAACAACCTGATTCCTAGTATTTGAGGCAAATATTCAAATTCAGAGAGTAATATGATTCGTGTTTTTGTTGATCTTTAGGCGCGGGCGGATTGTGATGGACATATACTCCCATCTTTCTTGTAGAATCTGAGCAACTGTTGAATATAAAGGGAGAAAAACATGTAACCTGATTCACATATATATTTATTTCTTTCCCTTTTTTATTCTATATAGTCACGTGTGACCAAAACCATCATTTGCAATATATCTGTGATTGATATTGGAAAATCAACATATCTCTTTGTTTTCCCATCATAATATTCTGTTCCCTGCAACTGCAAGAGAATCAACACCGATGTAAATTTGTTCTGAAGAACAGCTGCTGCAATATACTCCTGCTAGAAACCTTTGTGAATATAGGAACCAAATGAAAAAGGTAGCGCACAAATTTTGCCTTACCTTAATAATGACCAGATGATGACCTAGAAGGTTTACACCCCATGCCAACGTGCTGGTACAAACCAATACCTATAATTTAATACATATGCCTAATCAGTATATTGATTAAGAAAATGATATTTTTATATTCTCTTTTCCTAATGTGTTTTTCAGGAAAGACTCATGCTTATTGAGGTAAAACAGAAATGCCTGAATCTTGTTCCTCAACCAGAGATCTATCTTTGTCATTCAGACCGGCATGGTGTAATCCAATGACAAACTAAGAACCATCTGCTGGGCTTCTTTTTTTTTTTTTTTTTTTTTTTTTTTTTTTTTTTTTTTTTTTTTTTTTTTTTTTTTTTTTTTTTTTTTTTTTTTTTTTTTTTTTTTTTTTTTTTTTTTTTTTTTTTTTTTTTTTTTTTTTTTTTTTTTTTTTTTTTTTTTTTTTTTTTTTTTTTTTTTTTTTTTTTTTTTTTTTTTTTTTTTTTTTTTTTTTTTTTTTTTTTTTTTTTTTTTTTTTTTTTTTTTTTTTTTTTTTTTTTTTTTTTTTTTTTTTTTTTTTTTTTTTTTTTTTTTTTTTTTTTTTTTTTTTTTTTTTTTTTTTTTTTTTTTTTTTTTTTTTTTTTTTTTTTTTTTTTTTTTTTTTTTTTTTTTTTTTTTTTTTTTTTTTTTTTTTTTTTTTTTTTTTTTTTTTTTTATTTGCATCTTGCAGACACCTGTCCAACTCAGTTTCTTTTCAAGCAAGCCGCAGAGTACAGTTTTGGGAAGCATCAATGCAACACTGTCCCCCCACTTTACAGGGGTCATGGAAGACCTGAAAAACTGTCAAGGATGCATATGAATGGCTAACCAGTCATGATAACACTCCAAGGCATTGGTCCAAGTCACACTTCAACCACTCATTTGAAGTGTGACATGTTGTTGAATAATCTTTGCGAGTCTTTCAATGCTACCATATTGGAATGTAAGGATAGACCAATTCTGTCATGTTGTATTAGTATATATGTAAGTTGATGAGGAGAATACAAGAAGAAGGGACAAAATGCTGAAATGAAACAAGCCTATCTGCCCAAGGATATTTAAGAAGGTGGAGGGAAATAAAGCCAAGGCGGTGCTTGTGTGGCAATGTGGTCAGGTGGAGGTTAAATTCCAAGTGTCAGTTGGTTGCCATGCACAATATATTGTGGACTTGGAATTGAGACCTGTTCTTGTAGAGCTTGGGATTTGCAGGGATGGGCCTTGTGTTCATGGTATTGCAGCCATAATTATAAAGTGGTCTTAATGTCATGGATTTTGTGGATGCCTGTTTATTTGAAAACAACTTACTTGAAGACATATGAGAATCTCATACTGCCTATGAATGGATGGATGTGTGGATATGAATGACTTTCCTCCATGTCTTCCTCCTTCTTACTCTAAACAGCCTAATGCCAAGAAAATGTAGAACAAAGAACATGAAGAGTACAAGGGCAAGATGAGATGAGAGCATCAAGCAACAAATCTGAAACTACATTGTCTCACATTCCCACACACAAGACTCTCTCAAATGTGGCCAATGTGGAAAAAAAGGCACAATAGAGGACTTGCCATAGGACATCTTCCCCCAAAAGCCAAATCTCAACTAAGAGGAAGAGGGTACTGAAATACCCAAGTATAGCAACTCAATCTTGTTCAATTCTATCCCTTAATAACCTTAAGCTTTGTTGCAACTGATGTAGTTTTTATGTTTGTAGACCACTCCATCTGACACATCCACTCTAGTGGTGGTCCAAGCACCCTAAAACAAAGATCCAGCCTCCAAGGCGTGTGCAAAAAAGGGAAGCCAAGTAAGAAATGACATGCCCCTTCTGCAGCAACACCACCTTCCCTTCATGTCCTTATGCATCAACTTCTGTTTCAACTGCAGGATCAATGTTGTGCATTGAAGCTGACTGAAAGAGCTATTTGATGATTTTGGTTTGATTTGTTAGACTAGCAGTTTGTGATTATGAGGTTTTTGTTTTGATAAATAGGTCCTGTATAACTTTAAGTGTTGACTTTTTTTATGGATGTAATGGCATTCACATAAGCCTCAACCACTGTGAATGCAATATATCCACTGAAGATGATTTTTGAATGGACATGAAATATGTACGATATGCAATGTTATTATGGGCTATTTTGAGCCCATTTTGAATGCATAATTTTCTGAGTTTTTGGGTTGCCACTTTGCTTCATTATTTTGGTCATTCAAGCAGGCTGTTCCAGGTGCATCCATTTTCTAAGCCATTTTATAACTTCCCATTCACTTCATCAACTTACAACTTACAAAAGTCTTTCCATTCACTTACAACTTCCCTAAACCATTTCTACACTTACAACTTACAACTTCCCTAAACCATTTTCTCTACAAATTTTGGCCATTCCATTCACTTCATCAACTTACAAAAAGTCAACAATTAAGCCCTTAAGCCTTACCTCTAAAACCTATAACCCTAAACCCTTACCTAACAATTAAACCATTACAAAATGCTACTACAACCAACACTTACTAAATCACAGAAAATACCCTAACCAACCCACAAGCAATACATTCATTCATGGCAAAGCTAATTCCCAAGCTCCTCTTTTGTTCACTCCCACATCCAACAACATCCCTCCCAAAATGATGCTTGCAAATAGAACCCACGAAGCCACCAACAACACCAAACGACCTTTTCTCTTTGTCTTCGCCTTTGCCACTGACTTCTCCAGCTTATTCCGTGATTTTAGAAGCCCAGGAATCACTGCCTTCGACCGTTCACACATGGCCAGATCAAACCATGCCCAGAATTAACAGCCCTTAAAACCCTTCTTAGTCTCACATACCTTTGCTGCACACATGGAAAATCGCCTCCTAGGATTCGAATCTGTCCAAGAGGTTCGAATTGTAGCAGCCCTTTCCGCACCAACACATCGGCGCCTCTTCATTCATTTCGCCCAGCCAATCGGATCCTCTTCGTCAGTTTCCCTCCAATTTGTTCCTCGCTCCTTTGCTCCCGAAAACACGAATCCCAATCAATCTGATTTTGTTCGATTTTTCAAAAACCTGGTAATCGAAGCCAGATTGTGGTTTGTTTGTTTTTTGCCCATCGTCTCTCCCTTTCTAACTGCTATTTGGTTATGAGGTGGGTCCCACGACTGCCACATCAGCATTTAACGACTGACTTTGACGGTCAATGTAACGGCTGGTGTCAATTGGTAATATTTCGAAATGTTGGGTACCAAATTGATGAAATTGAAACCTTGGGGCCCATTTCGATACTGACACTAAACCTCCAGGCACTAAGTGTAGTTAATCCTATTTTATAAACAGAGGGATTACCCTCCCACAACCACCACACACACACTCTCTCTTTACGTGTGACCCAATACCCATTTGTGCCTCCCCAGCCAGATCCACCCTCGTTAGCTCTTCGCACCCACCAAACCTACGACCCTGCAACCCATTGGTGCAATTTTCTTGGGTCTGTTTGAGAGAGAGAGGGGTTTGAGGAAGGGGCTCTAGGTTTCAAACAACCCAGATTTAAAGTGGGGCGTGGAGGTTGGTCTGAGATCAAGAGAGAGGGTGTTGATGGTGGACATTGGGTTGCGTTGTTGGTAGGGTTCGGATCTAGGGCGGGGAATGGGGTTGTCACTGCCTGCTAGGATTTCAATCGAGAATTTGGGTGATGCTTTGTTTTATTGGTTGTTGTTGAAGCTGGGTAGAGCTAGAAGGTCCAACAAAAAAAACTGAACATGTTTGCAGAGAGAGAGCATTGGAATCGTTGAGCGGGGGATGGGGAGTTATTGTTCTGGGTCAATGAGATGAGGGGTTGGCTGTGGTGATTGGGTGTGTAGGTTTAGGAAGAAGAAAGAACGATAGCATATAGCGAGTAAGAGAATCATTTCAGCTCTTCTAGGTGGTCAAGTTGTCCTCGCAGATCTTCCTGATAGACTCAGACTACTGAGAAAGAATATTGAAGTCAATCTGAGACATGAAGATATGCGAGGTTCAGCAAAAATGATGGAATTCATATGGGGAGATGATCCTGACCTGGAACTGACAGAACCTCCACCTGGGTGTTGGTAATATGTTTGTTCTCTCCTTTAGAGCAGCAACAATTGTTAATGGTTAATTGTTAATCAAATCTCAGTTACGGCTGTGGGGAGGAGTTTTTATATATATATATTTCTCTTTTCTTTAATTTTTTTTTCAGTGATTTAATGGCAAATTAGATGAAATGTTGATAATTTAGACAGCAGGGAAACATTGAGAATAAAAGTTAATTCGAGTCCTTAATTTTTTTATTATTATTTAAAAGTCATGAGGTAAATTAATAATTAGGTACAAATTGAGGGTAATTTGATGAAATACCCTTTTATGTACGATATGTTTTGTTTATTGCCTCAATAAGTCATGCGAACTGTCTCTAGGATGTTTTCACTTTTTACTGAAAGTCTCACTCTCTCAAAAGAGGCGTTGCATATATTTGTACTGGAGCCGTTGCTATTTTGATTAGATTGAATGAAGCTTATTTGTTTTTGCTCCAGTCTTCTTCCTTCTATTTCTCCTGTGTGTCTGTGCGAGATCATTGAGTGTGTGCTTTGAGGCTTGGTTGTCACTCTGACTTTGTTGATTCTGGTATTTGTTTCATTCTGTTTTCTACAAGATACACGGCAAGGAGCTTGCAAGGGGTAGGGAAAGGGAACAAGGCAGGAAAAAAGAGAAGAAACCAGCACAAAATTACAGAGGGGAAGATCAACCAATTAATGTGATGTGAAGTGTTCCTAAAGTGAAGAGTTGTGTCTCTTAGTTATATATGCAAATTTGTACTCTTTAGAAGTCAAGTGTTGTGTCTATATATCTCTTCTTTTTTTTTTGGACAATTCTATATCTCTTGGAATTAATTCAAGAGTTGCGTGTTGTTGTGTAGAAGTTCAATTCTAGTTATAAACAGCCAGTGTAGTGGGCGCTATATTGTTGTATCGAAAAGCTTAGACAATAAGTTGTTAATATTGTTGAAGAATACGCAGTGTCCCACATCGACTACTTAACAAAATAAAAAGTTCCATATAATAAATTAATGGCTCCACTCCTAATAACATCGAGACTTTTTTATAAAACCTCACACCTGCTATACATGTGGTTAAGTTGCAGATAATATCGACGTTGCTAGTAGTGGACCAGAATTCCGTCCCTATGAAATCTTAACAAATATCAGATTCTCTAATTCTTTATATTCACTGCATTACTTCATTTTCTGTAACATAATGATATATTCATATTTTGCGTATATAATCTATCTCTATTTGCACTATTTTCGTGTGAAATTAGTTAGTTTAATGTGCTTGGTGAAGATTTTGTAGGAAATCATACCTAGCAAGGCTTTGGAGCAAAAACTATAATTTTGGAAGCTTAAGGGATCAAAATGGGTGGAGTTATCATCTCAACAAAATCTCAAGAAGTCACTCTGTCATTTCATCAAACACCTGGGGTGCATCTGTGCAAGTGTCAATTTATATCCACAACTGGTCTCAGTGACCAGCGCCAGAGAGATTGAGTTAGAGAAGCTTACCATCACATTAATGCCTCTCTCATGAAGAAGAACCCAACGTAAATTGCTGATACTGTAGAAATGGTGGGTTGCATCATCTGAGCAATTGCAAGAGATGCTGGATGACAAAATAATGAGATGGTCAATATGAATGAATTGCACTATTGTCATCATTAAAAGCTGATTGGTTTAACAATTGTGAAACAATTGTTGGTTACCTTTTTGATTGAGCCACCATGGTCAGCTACTTTGGAGCAAAGCGTGGGTATCGGCTGGACCCTTGAGCATACTTTCCTATTTTTCCTTTAAAACCCCAAAGCCAATTCCCTCTTTGACTTGAAGCCGCATGTAACTTCCTTTTGAGAATAGGTATTGGTTTTTCTCATACATTCCTATTTTTCCTTTCCTTCCTAAATAAATATTATCTTCCTTATTTTTGGAGGAGTCCCTTGGCCTATAAATACAAAGCTTTAACCTAATAGCCAAATAATCTTTTTCCACCATCGTTTTCTCTACCATATTTTTCCACCAACTTTCATACAACCAGAGAAATACCAGAGGAAGCCAAGAATTTGCTGCTGCATTATTTGAGGAGCTTTTGAAGGTGTTCCTGTGAAGATTCTGAAGATCAAGTCCATCGGCCAAATTGGTTTTATGACAATAATTCTCTTGTTTATATTTTCTTCTGTCATGAACTAATTTCCCTTGCTAGGGCTACGATGTAGCCTAACCATGAATACTTAATTTTTATAGTTATATTAATTCCTTATTATTATCCCATGTTGAGTATTTGTTACTGTTCTTAATGATTTAAATATCTAGCTAATATTTAATTGATGATCCAAGCGGAGACCGAGAGGAGATGTTTGGTGTTTGCTTCTTGTAACAAATACCATGACTTGAATGAGTGCCCGAGAGGGACTAACATGACTCATGCAGTTTTCTTGTAGGTTCTCATAGAACTTAATGGGTTCTTGGTTTTCTAAATCCGTTGCTCGAGAGAGAATGGGTTGTTAATTGAGAATACTTTTGGTTGAGCCCGAGAGGGGATATCGAATGAATTAGGAGAAACCAACTGTCAACAGGGATAGTAATTAGGGTTAATTGGCTATAGGAATTAAGTAGAATTGGTTATGGTGAAATCGGATGCTCTAGTGTCTCATCATCTTAATTTTCTATCATTAATTAAATTGCTATTTTTCATAATTGTTTTAGTTTACTTAAATCAATCAATCTTCTTAATAACTGTTCAAATAAACTTCTAAATTAATCATAATTGGTAGTTAATAGGAAATTACAGTCTTCGTGGGAACGACACTCTACTTATTTCTATATTACTTGTACGAATTGTGCGCTTGCAATCATTTCACAACACATAATAATGAAGAAAAATGCACATTAAGAGAGATAGGGACAAGGCAAAAAGGACAAAGAGTAGGCAAGGGCAAGGGTATTGGGAGTCAAACGTAGTGGAAGTGTTGTGTCTTATATATCTCTTGGAATTACTTCAAGAGTTGTGTAGAAGTGCATTTCCAGTTAGAAATAGCCATTGTAGAATGGGCTATATTGTTGTATCGAAGCTTACGAGCAATCAGTTGTTTAATATCGATTCTCTGGTTCTCTACATTCATTGTCCTACTCCATTATTCTGCATATGTACATTTTATGATCTTTCCTCCAACAATGCCCAACTCATATTGGAGAAAATGCGTATTGAGAGAAACAGGGACAAGAGGAAACAGAAAAGACAAAAGAGTGGCCGAGGAAAGAGAATAGGAGTCAAAATGTCGGAATTTGACATAAATTGAAATGTGTCATTGAATACTAAATGTAAAACGATATGTAGGGCTCGTCAATGGGCCGGGCCGGGCTAGCCGGCCCAAATTGAACGGGCTTGGGCCGGGCCGGGCCGGGCTTTAAAGAGGAGAGAGAAAATATCTGGCCGGGCCCGGTTTTTTAGAAAATTCAAAGCCCAAGCCCGACTCATAAGTCGGGCTTGAGAAAGCCCATTGGGCCGGGCCCGAAACGGGCCTACTTCATTCGAAAAAAATCATAAACTTAATCATAAGGCATTTTAGTCTAAATTTGAGATTAAACTCACTTAATTCCAATATTTTCACATCAAACCAAATTCATAAAATACCCAATAAAGTCACACAACTTAATAAGATTTTCCACAAAAATAATAAAACAAAGTATTATTTTTTAGGTTATTACATAATTAGACCGTAATACGTTTTAAGAAATAATTTTAAAAAATAATAAGTATCAAAAAGATATTTTTTTTAAAGGATGGTATAAATAAATATGTAAATGTTTGGTGATGTGTTCAAGAAAAACATGATTATATTTGGTGGTAGTAGTACGATTATGTTTCGTGATATGATTATATTTAGTGATATGATATATTGTTCATCTTATTTATATATATATATAATTGTTGTATTAATAATTGACACAAATTAATGTGCTAATCATCCAATTATAAATTAGGAATGAGTAAAGAAAAGTAAATGAAATGAAACAAATTATATATATGATTTAAGTGATATAATCCTAATCCTAAACTCTTATTTATACATAATTATATATGTATGCGGGCCTAACGGGCCGGGCTTTTGTGGGTGGGCTGGCCAGGCTTTCTTGGGCTTAATCGGGCCGGGCTTCAGACACCCAAGCCCAAGTCTAGCCCGGCCCGCCTTGGGCCGGGCCATCTCAAAGCCCATAACGGGCCGGGCCGGGCTTTTTTCCAATGGGCCGGACGGGCCCCCATCGGCCCATGAGCCCGCGGGCCAAATGATGAGGCTATGGACAAAAATGGTAAATTAGCAAACTATAGGGACAAAAAAAAAGACTTTTTGCCCCAAAAAAGAAAACGAAAACAGATTTTGTTGTAGTAAAAACCACCGGTTAGAGGCCACCATCCTCTCCAGCTTAAATATTCCAAGTGCTAAAAATAAAAATTCTTCTTTTTTTAAATTTGACATTCGCATGAAGCTTTTGTACACATTATGGAAAATTAAAATTTTTTTTTTTTTTTTTTTACAATCATTAATCATCGGGAAAGGAAGCAACAACAAGGCAGAAGCCCAAAAACAAATACATATGAGACAGATTTAACTAAACACATAATAAAATCTCTTTGTTCATAAGAAGAAAAAAAGTGCATATGGAAAAACTTTATAAAATTAAGTTCCTTTTTGAAGGAAAAAGAAAAGTGTCATTTAAAACCATTAGAATTCATATTGCAGATATCACAACCATTAAACTAACATCAAAATATGATTGTGTTTTTTTTTCTTCAAATATCAATTAGGAGCAGATAAGAAACCATGGCCCCAATTGGAATAACCAGCCATTAGAAAGAAACCACTCCACCATGGCCCCAAGGAAGAGGAGTCGTTTCGTTTCCTAGCATACGTGGGTCATTGTCGGGATATTAGACAGCAACGGGTTAAAACATCTAAGCCAATCTCACCACACAATTTTATTAGGCCATCTCCAGCCATAGGGCTAAATGTAGTCCATGACTAAAAATTTAGCCCCCCAAAATATTAATTTTTTAAAGAATAGTGCATGGCTAAATTTTTCCATCTCCCAACCATGCATGGTTATATTTTAGGGTCCTTCATATTTTATTATTTTGAAAAAAAAAACTATAATACAGCACTCATACATTCCAAAACTATATATTGTTTAATTTAATTAAACTATTTTTTAATAGAGACAATATTCCATATATGACACGTAGTAAGAACAAGACTTTTTTATTATCTTTTTAAACAACACTTGAAAAGATGGCAAAAGCTGACCACATTATTTATTTATTTATTTTTAAAGGAGTGAGGAGTGCTTTAATAATTGGTTGTTGAAAAGCACATGGATGAGGCCCACTTTAAATTTGGCCTAGGCCAAAGCTGGGCTATATTTGGCCCGGTTGGAGAGCTAAAGGGCCAAATTTGGCCAAAATTTTATTTAGCCCATGGCTGTATATGAGTTTTGCATTAATTTAGGGCTATATTTGGGATATAGCCCATGGCTGGAGATGACCTTAAGACAGGTCCAATAGTTGAGCGCCCCATCCTTTAAATAATACTATTTAAGGAATCCCTCTGTTGAAGGAGTTAGGATTGTTTTGTTATAAACTTCATAACATGTTTTATTTTAGGGAAATCGTCAATATATTTGATGGAGTATAAAATCTTATCTATACATATAAAGCAAAAGGTAGACAATGGTAAAACATTCAAAAACCCCGAATATACCCTTGTTAACTAAAATCCTAAAGAACAGGATTTATATTAAATCTGGATAAAATGGTAAAGCAACACCCAATTAACAAAATTGAAAAAGAAGAAGACGTGCTTGGAGTTGAGAACCCACGCGTGCAAAGAGGAGAAAACCCCATCATGCGACTGAAAACCGCCAACCCACGTGTGCAATGTATATTTTTTTCTTCAGTTACAACTGCTCACTCAGCATACAAAAACGGAATGGATATCTGGGATCTCATTCCTATTTCCTATTTCAAATTTTCGGTTCCACTTTCCCCTCTCTTTTTTTTCCGTCGGTTGCTCAAAGATGATTGTGTTTGACACTAGATGTACAATTTTAGGTCAGTAATTTCCTGGAGGACGCAGGTGACAAAGGAAAAAAACAAAGTCGAAGAAAGAGGGCTTTGGCATTTAATTTTTATAGTAAATTTGGGTTTTCCCCTTTAAATTCATTTTTACTTACCTACAGTCCATCCTTTTATTTTTCTATAAATTAAACTCAATTTTTATAAGTAAAAACCCAGTGCCTAGGATCCACCTAAGCAAGTTACTTAATCAAGCTTAACATATTAAATGTTATATGTTTTCAATTCCTAAATTACCCTAATTGCATCTTAACCTTTTTTTCCAATAAATTGTTTGCTATGCTATTCAATGTCATAATGGTGTTTCAATTTTGCATAAGTTTTGTGGGTCAGTTTTATTTATTTATTTATATATAATTAAAACTTGGTGTGTAATTAGTGTCATATGTTTTTGAAATTGATTGGTTTTTTTTTTTTTTTTTTGGTTATATTTTGTAAATGAAAAAATATAATTAAAACTTGTTCTGTTTTTCCAAATCCGACAATCTGATCATATTTTGTTTCAATTTCATATTAATTGGTTAGTTATTTCCTTTTATTTATATCAAAATTTCAAATTTAATAATTGTTATGGATTTGAAATTAATTTGTTTTAGGAACATTAATTTACCTACAAATATTTTTTATACCTATTTTTTCTTATAAATAATGTATCTATTGTTATGGTTCAATAATGCACCATTTTTTTCTTATGAATAATGTATCTATATATATATATATTTTAAAGGGGGACAGCTGGTGGCAAGCCACGGCCATCCACCCCTTCCGGGACCCGGAGAGGCTATAGGGAATTTCACCCCGTCCCTGACCCTCACCGCTTGATTCACCAATGGCAGGAATCGAACCCAAGATCCGTTTACATAGGGCCTGGGAAACGCCCTTACCATATTCAATAATGTACCTATTTACATATATTTGCTTATAATGACCATATTCAATAATGAACCTATTTTTTCTTATAAATAATATACCTATATTTTTTTATATTAAATAATGTACCTATCTGCGTATATTGGAAAATTATAATGTACCTAGATATGTTGGATATGTTAAGTATACAAAAATTGTTACACATATGCTATGTCACAACTATCAAAGAGACCAATATATCATTTATGCTAACAAACTCCCCAATAGAAAAAAGAGAAATAGTCAACCATAATTGATGCACGGGTTCAAATTGTGACTCCTAGAGGAAATTGATGGATTAAAATATATATATATATTTATATTTATATATAGAAACCACGTTGAATGCCTAGTTAAAAACATTACGTACTTTCTAAATTTAAGGGATTTTTTGAAGGAGAAAAATGTTCAGCGACGAAGAGGGGTTTGATGGCATGATTTGTAAATATGTCATAATATATGCACACTTTGGCATCCAATTCAAAATTGGGTTGAATTTAAATGTAATAAAATAGGTGGGTTATTGTTTAGAGTATTTTAGTTGTATGGTCTATTTTGGTTAGACTTTGTGGTGTTTCTGACTGGAATGCAATGTTGGTTTTCATTTATTTTTAAGCTCCCTCATACTTCTCTAAATATGTTGGTATCAGCGCCCTCAGTGGTTTAAACATAATCAAACGATCCTATCCTCCTTCTCTTTAATTTTCTTCCCTTGTTCTATCTGTTTCTTGAAATGGACTCATCAGCTCCCATTTGTTTTCCAATCATACAAATGAGGATCCGGATTATCCATATTTTCCTTCATGACTTTGTCCCATTCTAGATGAATTCCTGTCTTCTTCACTCTCACAAAATCAACATCATCAGGCTTTACAAGAATGGAGACTCGGTCCCCGCCTTGCAAACAGAGCACATCGTTTGACAATTGTCCATGCCAAAGATAATCGTCTTCAGGTCCACTGCAAGTTCCTAGGGAGGCAAATGCTATTTTGGTGTGCAAAGCAGTTCGTTGGGTAAGATTTCTAACGATAATGCCAATAGGATCATAATACCAATGGGAACTTGTTGAGCATTTTGAGTAAACGAAGCATATAGTCAACCCTTTAAATCACGACCCATGATTGTTTGAGGAACTTCAAAGAAGACGATATTGTCCACATCACTGACGATTTCGAACCACTCAGGAATATCATAAATTCCATTCAAATAAATTCCACCATATCCGGAAGACGTCCATCCCTATATCATGTAGAGCAAGATTTGTATAAGCATTACATTCTTATTCAAGTGCATGTGCGTATATCACGTGCGTCTGTGTGTGATAGAGAGAGAAAGAGATTGACCTGTAGGATGTTGTTCCTAAAATCGGCAGTCAGATTGGTGCAGTCTTCCATATGAATCCTTGTCATGGAGTTTAATGACTTATCCAAGCCTGGAACCTCAGTGAGTTTGAATGAATCACTGAGATACAATTCTCTCATATTCCACATTTTTGAAAAATCTGGAATTGTTTCCAATTCTGGGCAGCCAACGGCTTTCAGAACATACAAATTGGTGGGTAAATCTGGGATTGCAACAAGTTTTCTGCATGCATTTAAACACAAGACCTTGAGCTCTAAAAGACCAGCGAGACTTGGTAGGCTACGAAAGTAATTGTTTGCAAGAAGCAGATGTTCTAAGTTCTTCAATTTTACTATGGAAGATGGAATTCGTCTGATGGATGTCTTATTTGCTCTCAAAATTTTCAATGATACCATGTCCCCTAAGCCATCGGCCAAGTCTTCAAATCTTGAACAACCATTCAGTATAAGAGTTTCAATAGACTTGGATTTATAGAAATTCAGTGGGAGATCCTTAGCATTTCGCAGCCTTCAAGATTTACCAAAGAAAGTCTTTCAAGATGCCCCGATGGATGAGTGAACCTTATAAAAGCACTTGCAACCTTTCAATATCAACTTTTCAAGATTTGGGAATTCTGAAAAGTCTGGTGATTTTGTTATGTGATTGTCATATTCGATATGAATGATGTCATCATCATTGACCAGATATGGGCGTCGTTCATACGCACAAAGATGGTAATCAATCATATTTTCGTTCATAATTTGTCCCATACCAGACTAACACCTGTTTTCTTCACCTTCCCCCGATAACCCTTTTCGGGTATTATTTCAATCAAGACTTTATCACCGTCTTGCAATTTGAGCTCGTCATTTGATAACTGTCCCTGCCAAAGATAATAACCCTCAGTTCGACAACTGGAAAGGGGTGTGATCCTGACGTCAAGCTCAGTACCCTCGGTCATGTTTTTAATGCTAATCCTCATGTGACTACTGTTGAACGAGTCTAGAGAGTAAACGGAGGACAAAGTTAACCCTTTCAGATTACGACCACCACTTTGAGGCACAGTGGAATACACAATATCATCGTCATGGACACAGTCAAACCAATCAGGAATATCATTTCCACTGATAGAAATGCCACCATATCCGCAAGAAGTCCATCCCTATACCATGTAGAGCCAAATTTCTATAAGAAATACATTCTTATGCATGCATGTGTTGTATGTGATAGAAAGAGAAAGATGCATGTGTGTGTTTGAGAGAGAGAGAGAGGACTGACCTGTAGGATGTTGTTCCTAAAATCGGCAGTGAGATTAGTGCAGTCCTCCATATGAATCCATGTCATGGAGTTTAATGACTTATCCAGGCCTGGAATCTCAGTGAGTTTGCCCGAATCACTTAGATGCAATTCTCTTATATTTGACATTTCTGAAAAATCTGGCATTTTTTCCAATGCAATGCAGCCATCTGCTTTTAAGACTTTCAAATTTGTTGGTAAATCTGGGATTGCACGAAGATTTTTGCACTTATTTAAAGACAAATCATGAAGCTTTGAAAGACGACTGAGGCTTGGTAGGCGGCAAAAATCATTTCCTGCAAGATCTAAATTTTCTAAGGAAATTAGGCTACCGAGATCCTTGGGGAATGCATCATCAGTTAAACTCCAGTCTATTCTCTTAAAGAGCTTAAACTTTGCAACGAAGGACGCAAAAGATTTGTTGATGGCGACCCTTTCACATTACATAATGATAAACTTTCAGTTTCTTCAATTTGAATATGGAAGATGGTACGGCTGTCTCATCCGCTTCCAGAGTTGTCAATGATACCATGTCCCCTAAGCCCTCAGCCAACTTTTCAAAACTTGAACAACCAGTAAGTAGAAGAGTTTCAATAGACTTGGATTTATAGAAATTCAGTGGGAGATCCTTTAGCATTCTGCAACTTCATATTTACCAAAGAAAGTCTTCCAAGATCCCCGATGGACGAGTGAACCTCAGACAAACTCACACAGTATTGCAATATCAATTCCTCGAGATTTGGGAGTTTTGAAAAGTCTGGTGATTTTGTTAGCCTACGGGAATGGCTGAGATTAAGGATTTTCAAATTCTGATGCAACTGTTACACAGAAACAAAATTAGAATGGAAATTAAAATCCAAAAGGAAGGTCTCTGATACAGAAATTAAACCAAAATGAAGAGAAGGTGAAGTATAATATATGTATAGAACAAGAAGGAAAGAACTACAACAACTAGTTTTGGTTGAGATTATTATACCTTGCAATCCTTCCAAACTATTTTGAGTTCGCTAAATTGCAGGTCTAAAGCAACTAGTTTTGGTTGCATAGGAAAGTCATCTGGTATGGACTCTAAAGGGAATCTATGCCAGCACAACCATATTAACTTTTTGGGAAAATCTTTGCACTCTCCAGTGAGCTCTACTCCGCTGATGTGGAGTAACCTCAGTTTTTTCATGTTGGTAAATGCTTGTGCACTGAAAGTTTTGTAATAGCAATCTAGAGCAACACCTTCAATTTTTTCAGTTCCCTGTTAACAAAAGATACCGAGTTAGAAAAATGATTTACAAACATGAAAATCCGTGTATTTATTAGCCAAAATGTATAATTAATAGTATTGGACCATGTTACGCCCTATAGTTTGTGTTTGCAATCAAAGCACATTTTTTTGTTGGTTATGCCTAATTGAGCTTTGATCATAATGGATATAATATAAGAAATGGCAATGGGCCTAGCAAAGTGAAAAATGATCTAAACTTGCAGACTATGATCTCAGGTTCAAATTCATATGGCACTTTGGTAGTGTGGATGTGTGAGAACCCCCCCTCTTTTACTTTGGTTTAGACTATCGTTTGTACTATACAAAACAAAAATAGAAGAGGACATTTAATTTATTATAGACATGGGATACACATGCTTCTCTTGCATGATGCATTCTAAAACTTTATGGGAAAGTACTTACAAATTCATTGCTCAATACATCTCTACGTCTTCATGTTTTCCACAATCTACTAAATTTTTCAGGGTGACCGTGGGCATTTTACGAACGATCTCTCTTCCCATGTCTCGAAGCAAATCATGCATTATCAGCTTGTTTTGCTTGCTAACAGTTACAAGGCACCGTTCGATGAGGACACTGATTCCTATCGTTGCATAAAAGCCACATCCATCTAATATTTGTGTTACATATTCCTTGTCCATTCCTATAAAGAAACAAGATATATCAAGGAATATGTCTCTTGTTGTATCATCAGGTAGGCTGTAAAAGTTTATTCTGAGTACTTTTTGAATATCTCCATCAGGATGGCTTTCCCACTCTGATGTGGTTCTTTCCTTCAGAAAAGACCCTAAAACTTCAAGTGCTAGTGGCAAACCTTGACAGTAACGAATTACACGTTTTGAGAGGTCAAGATATTCTTGATTAGGATAACAACTTTCGAAGGCATGCCAAAGCTCTAGAGCTTCTTTTTCATCCATTTCTTCAGCCATATATATGCTATCCACTCCAACTTGCTCTAGCAAATGTTTATTTCTTGTTGTTATAACAATTCTACTTCCAGGACCAAAACAATCACGAGCTTCAGCTATTACTTTTAGTTGCTGTAGATCATCTGCATCGTCAATTATGACAAGTGCTCTTTTACAGGAAATTCTTGCTCTTATCATATCGATCCCCACCTCAACAGAATCAACCTTTATGGGGTCCTTGCTTTTCAAGATATCATTTAGAAGTTGTTCTAGCAAACCAACCAGACCAGTAATGGGTTGGTGTGCAATTACTTCCCTCACGTTTGCAAGGAAACTCCTACCTTCAAAGATACGTTCAAATTTGTTATAAATGGTTTTGGCAAGCATTGTTTTTCCAACGCTGCCCATCCCCAGGATACCAATCATGCGAACATCTGTAGAACCTGCTTTTTCAACTTTTTCAGATAATTCAAGATCTAACTGATCACTCAAATCCCGCACCCAAGAAGTAATTCCAACTGAGTAAACCTCAGACATATTCTTACAACCTTTCAACATCAACCTCTTGAGATTTCGTCCTGCCGCATAATCGTTGTAGATTGCAGTATCAGTTAAATTGCAGCTTGCAAGAACTGATTCTCTTAATGGTTCGCCTTGGATTGGTCCTGCCTCATCTGGAGTTCTCGACAACCAATCAGGATTTGGGTCCAAATCATATAGATGAGGATCCGAATCATGCATATTTTCCTTCATAACTTTGTCCCATTCTAGATTGAACCCTGCTTTCTTCACTTTCACAAAATCAACTGTAGCAAATACAGAAAGCAAGACTTTATCCCCACCTTGCAAACTGAGCCTATTGTTCGATAGTTGTCCCTGCCAAAGATAATAATCTTCAGGTTTACTGTCTGTTTTTACCGAGGCAATTGCTGGCCAGGTGTGCAAAGTAGTTCCCTGCGTTACATTTCTAACCATAATGCCAAGACCATCTTTTGGTTTTGGGTTGTCTGAAGAGTAAACACAACACAACGTTAACCCTTTTAAATCACAACCGAAATTTTGGGGCACTTCAAAATCCACTTCATTGTACTCATTACCGACCAACTTGAACCACTTAGGAATACCAAAAATCCCTTCAAGATAAATGCCTCCAAATCCGCAAGAAGTCCATCCCTATACCATGTAGAGCCAAATTTGTGTAAGTACATTCGTATTCATTCATGTGTATACATGCGGTGGACGTGAATATGCATCTGTGTGTGTGTGTGTGTGTGTGTGTGTGAGAGAGAGAGAGAGAGAAGGGTTGACCTGTAGGATTTTCTTTCTGAAATTGGTGGTGAGATTGGTGCAGCCTTCCATATGAATCCTTGTCACGGAGTTTAATGACTTATCCAGGCCAGGAATCTCAGTGAGTTTGCACGAATCAGATAAATACACTTCTCTTATACTTGACATTTCTGAAAAATCTGGCATTGTTTCCAATGCTGTGCAGCCAAACCCTCTCAGAACTTTCAGATTTGTCGGTAATTCTGGGATTGCACGAAGTTTTCTGCAGTCATTTAAACACAAATATTCCAGCTTTGAAAGACCACGTAGGCTTGGCAGTCTACAAAAAGAATTTTGTCCACAATCTAAATGTTCTAAGGAACTTAGGCTCCCGAGATCCTTAGGGAATTCATCATCTGTTAAACTGCAGTCCGCAAGAGCTAATTTTCTTAAAGAGTTTAAGCCATCTAACAAAGGGGGCAAAAAACCAGTTGGTTGTGACCCTTCCAAACCGTGGAGACCTGAGATCTCAGGTAAGAATGGGGCAAAAAGCCAGTTAACCGTTCCAAACCACATAGAGATAAAGATCTCAGGTTCTTCAATTTTACTATGGAAGATGGTATTTTTGTTACAGCTGTATCGTCTGCTTCCAGAGTTCTCAATGATACCATGTCCCCTAAACCCTCAGCCAAGTTTTCAAATCTTGAACAACCATTAAGTAGAAGAGTTTCAATAGACTTGGATCTATATAAATTCAATGGGAGATCTTTAAGCATTTTGCAGTGTTCAAGATTTACCAAAGCAAGTCTTTTGAGATCACCAATGGATTCATGGACATCAGACAAACTCGTACATTCCAATATCAACTCCTCGAGATTTGGGACTTTTGAAAAGTCTGGTGATGTTGTTAGATCATGAGAATGACTCAGATTAATGATTGTCAACTTCTTAAGCAACTGTTACACAAAAACAAAATTAAAATGGATATTAAAATCCGAAAAGGTCTGATAAAAACATATGCAAAAAGAAGAGAAAGTGAACATAATGTATACCTTGTAGGAGGAAGAGAAATACACAACACAAATTATATATATATATATATATACTAAAACCCAATGCAACTAAAAACTGTAATCTAAGCACAAGTGAAATGACAAAACTGCCCTATCTTTTTACTGTTTTGCACACTCATTTTTCTCATCATACAGTGAAATTACGGTTTTGCCCTTGGTTAATTGCTTTGTTTTTCCCCATTTTACCCCCCCTCTCCTTCGATTGTAACGACTGGAGCCTTCGTTCTATCAATGCTGGGTTCGCTTCTAACCAGGTTGGTCGCTCGGTTGCGGGGCAATGATGGAAGAGGCTGGTCTACTGTTGGAGATTATCTGGAGACTTCGATTTTTATAGGAGTGGCGTGCGTTGGTCTTCTTCTTCAGATCGAACTCCAGCTTTCTCTCTGTTTCAGTCTCTTTGTCTCACTGATCGTAAGTAAATTTTGCTTCATCTTTCCATTCAATTTTGTTGCTCTTCTTTTTCATTTTGTTGTTACTAATATCTTGGATCTTATTTGATTAAACTATAGACCTGTTTTTAAATTGTTGCCCTAAAGTCCAAATCCCTAATTTTTCTTCATAGTGGGTCTGTGTTATTGATTTGCAAATTTTATCCAATACTGAAATTGATTTGATTGTGTTATTATTTGATGAAATCAGGTTAAACAATTTAGTTATTAAAATACTATATGGTTGCTTTTGATAAGGTTTTCTGTTTGGTTATTAAAAATTAGTTGGTAAACCCTGAAAATCGGTATTTGGATATGCTGGTTCTTTTGTTACAGGGTTTAGGATAGCTCTGTTTTGGTAAGCAGGATATGTTGCTATTTGGGTAGCTCTGTTTAAAGATATGTTCGTTCTTTTACTACAGGGTTTTAATTCAAATTCGTTCTTATACTGGTTTATGGGACTGGGGATTTGAATTTGATAATTTTTGTTTTGGTAGGGGAAAGAAAATTTGGGAGTGTGATTCTAGGAACTGATTGCAATGTTTTAGCATAGTTGACGTGAAGAAGACTGGTTTGGGAAATATGTGGGATTTGAAAATCTGACTTCTAAATTGGAATTCTGTTTGTGGACATTAGTGATGACGAGAAAGAATTCAGAAAAGTTAAAATTCATAATTTTTTTGTTTGTGGGTTGGATTTACCAAACAGATTTTTGCTGATTTTGCGTTGAATGGAGACTTATTGAAAACTTAAAAAGTTTGTATATCCTAATTTCAGAATGCAGAGTTTGGTTGTTTTTTTCCTTTTCATGGGCTAATAATTTGGCCATGCTTCTACTCTTTGCAGTTGCTAGGGACTGGAATGGATACGCAGGATACATCTCCTTCAGTTTTGCTATTCTTTGACAAGCAAAGATTTATGTTTAATGCTGGAGAAGTAAGGAACTCAAGTACATACATTTACATCTGGTTAGTTTTGTAATATTAAAAGTAAGGTGATGATTCAATTATTGTCTATGAAATAGTAATTAGAGATCAATGATAAACCTGTTGTTAAGTGATATAGTGTCTCTTACTTTGCAACTCTCACTGCAGGGATTGCAACGGTTCTGCACAGAGCATAAGATTAAGTATCAAAGGTATAAGATATCTGAGATCCTTACCCATTAGGTAGTTAAGACCAAAAGTGGGGCTCTATATATACGCCTGGTGGTTAGTGAGAGAGAGTGAGTGGTTTTAAAGGGTGTCAATGGCCTTTGAATTTTACTTATATAAGATTAAAGTTATGTGCTTTCAAGTATTTGTGAGCTCTCTGTATCTGGGTTTTGAGCAAAATGACTTTATTGATAAAGCTTTGATTTGCAATGTATATTAATGGAGTAATAGAACTGCTGACTGATGCAGTTTTGCATGTCCTTGGTTAATGCATTTATGTTTGCTCTACACAGACAATAATTTTTTAGGAGAAATGGAGACTTAAAGAGAGAAGTTATGGATCTGATAAGGGTTTAGGGTTTAGGGTTTACTATCTCTAATTTTTGGATCCTAATGGAATTTCTTTGATTACATATGCTGTTTCTCCCAAGCACCAATGAAGAAAGCATTTAGATTTGATGGGTTTGATGTGAATGGTATGAATCTATCTCTCTCATTTTGGTTTGGGATTTTTGATATATTTGTGAATTAATTTTGTTGGGTTCAATGAAATTATCAGCTAGCTGCAGTTGACTTGGTGTAAATCACGTATTTGGTCTACTTAAGTTCTTTATCGTATCTGCCCAAAAAAAAATGAAGTTTTTTATGGTAATTTATAAAGTATTTTGATTCTGTTTTCTGGCGTTTTCCTTTGTTTCTCCAACAAATAGATGTAGGGGTTTTCCTTTGTTTTTGGTTCACCAAATGGTTTTGCATCTATTCTGATTTTCTAATTTTTTATATGAGATGTGCAGTTGTTGCGGCTCTTAATCCTTCAATCTTCTCCATCTTACTTGCTAAAGTCGAAAGTTCACATTACTTTGGTTGTTTTTGGATCTTCTTGCTAACTACTTAGAACATGCATTCTGTATTTTCATGTTTGTATATTTCTTTTCTTCCACAACTTTATACACATTCGTAATTTCATAACCCGCAGCACCGCGCGGGTCCTTTTGCTAGTAGACACTAATTTCTTGAGAGAGTATGTTATTTCATTTTAATTCAGTGAATAACATTGATAAAAGACCTATTTAAAAGACTTCTCTGATCAGGACCTAAAACCCACTCTCACTTCTTAATACTTTCTCACATCTTAATACTTTCTATTATACCTTGTAGGATTGTATATTTTTCCCACTAAAACATGAACTTATTAAATAACAGAATAAAAAAGGACTCAATATTGAAACTTCTTGAATGCAATAATAATGCACATTTGGTTTAGTTCTCCAACTTACCTTGCAATCCTTCCAAACTACTTTGAGTTTGCTAAACTGCAGGTCCATAGCAATTAGGCTTGTTAGATCAAAGTCACCTGGTATCGAATCTAGAAGGAATCCATGCCAGCACAACCATCTTAAATTTTTGGAAAGAAATTTGTACTCTCCGGTGAGCTCTACATAGTTGAGCTGGAGCAATTTCAGTTTTCTCATTTTGCTAAATGCTTCAGTACCGAAACTAGCCTTTTCCGAGCTTCGCAGATTTAGAGCAAGTCTTTCAACTTTTTTAGTTCCCTATTAAAAAAGGCACTCAGTAAGAAAAGCATTGTTGGCAAATGATTTACACACCTGAAAATTGCATGTGTTAACCAAATTCTTTATCCACAGGTTGGCAAAACATATAGTTTGGTTGATTTTGCCTGACTGAGCCTTCTTAATGCAAGTTCAAACCAATAGAAAGAATTGGAAAATGAGATCGACTATATTACGTACACATGCAGGGAATTCTATCTATTAGGGGTTGGAAAACTGACTATGTTACGCATACATAGGCTTATCTTGTATGATGCCATTCTAAACTTTTATTGAAAAAGTACTTACAGATTTGTCTTCCAATACATCTGTCAAATCGTCAGGGCTGAGCCACAATCTACTCCGGTCTTCTTGACAGATTGCTCTGCCCATTTCTCGAAGTAGATCATGCATCGTTAGCTGGTTCTCTTCATTAACAGTTACAAGGCACCGCTGAAGGAGGACACTGATTTTTATTTCTGCTTTATAGCCACATCCATCTAATATTTTTTTGACATGGTCTTTGTTCATTCCAATGAAGAAACAAGATATATCAAGGAATATACACTTCTCGATATGATCTAGACCGTCATAGCTTATTCTCAGTTGTTTTAGAATATCTTTTGGAGGGATTCCTTCCAATTCCTCCAATTGGCTTTCCCACTCTTCTATGGTTCTTCCAACCAAGAAAGAGCCTAAAACTTTGAGTGCCAGCGGCAAACCTCCACTATAAGAAACTACCTTTTTCGAGAGTTCAAGATATCGTTTATTAGGACAACCTTTTTGAAAGGCGTGCCAACAAAAGAGCTCAAGACCTTCATCTGGATTCATTTCTGGAACCGTGAAAGTTTTATTCACACGAAGTACGTCTAGAAAATGTTTATCTCTAGTAGTTATTATAATTCTACTTCCAGAGCCAAACCAATCACGATTTCCAACTATCGCTTCGAGTTGCTCCTGTTTATCTACATCGTCGATAATTACAAGTACCCTTTTACGTCCAAGTTTTTCTTTTATCATACCCATCCCTCCATCAACACAACTTATGTCAATGGTCGGTTTCTTGTAGATTTTAGCAAGAAGTTGTTTTTGCAAATAAATAAGACCATGTCTATTTGCAGTGTCCCTAATGTCTCCAAGGAAACCATGAGCTTCGAATTTATCCTTAATTCGATTATAAATGGCCTTCGCAGCTGTTGTTTTGCCCAGTCCGGCCATCCCCCAAATTCCAATCACGACAACATCTTGTGATCCACCACCTAAAATATAACTGATCATATCATGTGCACGAGAGTCGACTCCAACCGGGTAAGCGGCTACTGGTAGGGGAGTTGTGGACAGCCGTCCGACAATATTATTCTCAATGAATGCCTCGATAAACTTTGCTTCATTCCTGAAAATTGAATTCGGAAGCAAAACAAAAGACTCGTTATGATGAAACATTATATTTCTACATGTCAACTTTCTATTTATTTGCATTTATGTTAGGTCTCAATTATCATTATTAGTATTTTTATACAAGTGATATTCTAAATTACGGAGATGGAATTAACTAGGGTGCAAGGATAGGATTCGGATCCTCTGCCATGATCTGCTTCACTTTTGTGCTCCACACGTCACTTCATTAAAATTTAATCTAAAATATTAAAGTTTGACACATGTCATCTTTAAAACAAAAACTCAATTTACTAATAATTAAAAAAGTAAAAAGAAAATCCCTAACTCAACTAACGCTAAAGTTTACCTTCTTCCTGCGTCTCTGCCTCAAAATGTTTGAAGAGTGGGTGGTTTAAAAAAAAGATTCGTATTTGTTGTTTTGCTGCATAAAAAAGAAATCATGTTTCAAGACCTGAATTCCGGATTAGTTTGATGACATGCTCTTCTTTCTCTTTTTTTGTCTCTGCTACATGCTCTTATATTTATTGGTCCCTTCTACATGCTTTTCTATTTTTTGTTTTCTTCCTATCTCTGCAACAATTCAAAACTCCCCTCTTTCTCACCGAAACTAATTGCTTTTCTCTATGGTTTTGAACTGGATTTCAATGTTTTGGTCTGATCAGGATAAACAAAGCCAAAAAAGAGTCTAAAATATCAAACTCAACAGGGCGCAGGAGCACAATAAAGACTCCAAGGATGCTGAACCCAAAAAGGAGGATGGGGCAGAGGAGGAGGGGTAGGGGGAGACGGATGGGGAGGTGGAGAGGCAGGGGCAGGGGTGGGGATGTAGTTTTTGTTTTTGTTTTAATCTTATATTTTCTAAAATATTAATTTTCTTTCTAAATGTTTTATGGATTCTAAGTTTTAAAATTGAAATTTCAATTTTTAATTAATATTTTGTGAAAAATGGGGTAAAGTGAGACAAGTTTGTATGAAATAAAAGGTAAAGTGTGACAAAAAGAGTTTTAGGGGCAAAGTGAGACTCAAATACACTTTCAAAGGGTATATTAAAAAAATAAGCCTTTTTGTTATAGTAAAAACATTAAAAATTAAGTGTACAAAATGGGAGTGGGAAAATCACAACCCTATGAATATATTAAATCATTTAATGGAGTTATATTTAATATATTATATAATCAAAACAATTTTCTTTAGTATTTCATTTATATTTTACATTTATGTCTATTAATATGTTTGATTAGATTAAACATAAGGATAAATGTTTATTATTTTATTATTATATTTTTTTTCATTATCAAAACTGATCATCCAATCAAATATCGATTGGATCATATTGGATTTAAACATCTAATATGATGGGATTGGATTGAAAAAATCACAATCCAATCTATATTGGATCATATGCGGATTGACTTAATTGTATTGGTTTCGAACCGACGTACACCCATATGGGTTATGCATACGTTTTTTTAATTGTATTGGTTTCGAACCGACATACACCCCTATGGGTGCTGCATGTGTTTTTTTTGCTTTTAACTTTCATGATTAGTTTTCTTTTTCTTTGAAATAAGTGTATAGGAAATGACAAATTTAACTTTAATATTGACGGAGAAGTGGATGAAATGTTAGAGAATTTAACAATATGGGGGACATTGACCCAAAAAATTCATTTGTATTCTTAATTGACTAAATAAAAGTACAAGAGGAATTCGAAAATTGGGTGATATTTCAGGGGCAATTATGCAGTTTACTCTTTAAGTAATTATGATAACATCTTGATTATATTTTTTATTATGCAAACGATATTTTACTTTAATATGATCTAAGAAAAAGAGGGCTCAGGTCCAGAGTGAGAAGCATATCTATTTTTACCAATTTGGCTCAGTCCATATCTGCTAAAAAGAAGGGAATTTAACACGAGCACTAAATAGCTAAAATATATATTCCTGACAATATTTTTCTCCCATAAAATCTTAATCACCAAATAATTTAAAATTTTATAAATCTAGATCATATAAAGTTGATTCTTAGTTTAAAGTATATTTACATACAGTACATCAAATTATTACCTATAGAACATATACACAAACATATCATCATGTATCCGTTTTTGCTGAATTGACCGATTTCCGAGACAATTTTTTATTCTTCTTGTTTTCAAACTTAAAAGTATCACTCAAAATGTATTTGGCTTTGTAAAGTACCAAAATCCACCCAATTTTATGAATCACTAACTTTTTTTACCAAATTTGGTAATTACCAAAAGAACTCATATTTTGTCGATATATATGTACTAAAACTATACACATAAATCCTATCAAAGTAGCTTTCATCAATACTGAACTAGTAAGTAGTATTAATATATGCATATAGTAAAAGTCTCCTAATAAAAATATGGGCGACAAAAAAATACTGAATAAGAAATTTGTTTGATAACTTATTTTATTTTATTTTATTTAAATGGAAAATTGTTTTAAATTCGGTTTCAATTTTCTGAAAAAGTGAAAATGAAAATTGAAAACTAAAAAAGGGGCCTTCGTATTCCAGTAATCACGTAATTAAGGAGATCATATTCCAAGGAAGTCACTGATTACCTGTCTTTGAGATCCTCGCCACACAAATTCGCAGCTTCAGTAAGAGCCTTTCTCCACTCCTTTATCACCTCATCTTTATGTTGCTTGGTATGTTTCTGAAAATCAGATGCCAAAGTACCAGTCTGATGCCTGACGTCTGAAGGATCCACATTGTAGAATATTGGCAAAACGATTTGATTCAGTGTTCTTCTACACTCCATGATCTTCACCAGCTCATCAAGACACCAACTGGAATCTGCATACCTCGTTGAGAAGACAATTACAGAGATCTTGGACTTTTCGATTGCCTGCAACAGTTCTGGTTTTATAACTTGCCCTACTTGTAGATCGTCCTCGTCCATAAAAACATCATATCCCCTGCTTTTTAATGCCTTGTGAAGGTGGGACGTGAAGCCATTGCGCGTGTCTTCACCTCTGAAGCTCAAGAATATGTGGTATTTCCATTGTATTGAGGAGGCTTCACGCGCTGCCCTGGAACCCATGGGCTTGAACCCTGCAGCTGCTCTGATCACCACTAGAAAATGGCAAAAGTTGAACTGAACGACTTGTTTCGTGAATTTTTTATCTTGGCAGTGGTTGTGTGTTGCAGCAAAGATATAATACTGAAATACCCAAGTCAAGTCAAGCTCTTCGAACGTTTCAGTCCACAAAAAGAATGCCTTGGATAGAATCCGCGTCAGCCACATACGAAAAGGACATGGTCACATGCCCAACTCATGTTTGTTGGAGTGAGATGTATTGAAAGTTAACCAAGCCCACCGAATTCAAAGCCACTTTAATATTTTATTCACTTTGTAAAAGCATGCCCATGCTTTATGTACGATATGTTTTGTTCATTGCCTCAATGAGTGCTCTCTAGTCTCTAGGATGTTTTCACTTTTTACCGAAAAGTCTCACTCTCTCAAAAGAGCCGTTGCTGTTTTGATTAGATTGAAAGAAACTTATCTGTATTTGCTCCAGTCTTCTTCCTTCTATTTCTCCTGTGTCTGTGTGAGATCATTGAGTGTGTGCTTTGAGGCTTGGTTGTCACTCTGACTTTGTTGATTCTGGTATTTGTTACATTCTGTTTTCTACAAGATACGCGGCAAGGAGCTTGCAAGGGGTAGGGAAAGGGAACAAGGCAGGAAAAAAGAGAAGAAACCAGCACGAAATTACAGAGGGGAAGATTGACCCACCAATTAATGTGATGTGAAGTGTTCCTAAAGTGAAGAGTTGTGTCTCTTAGTTATATATACAAATTTATACTCTTTTGGGCCACAAAGCCTAACCTCTCAAAGGCTAGTTTAATGCAAATAAGACCACAACAAAGACAAAGAAGGAAGGCCTGCTGGATGATAAGCTTGTAAGTTGTAGCCATTAGAGAATTAGCAATGGTGATTGGCTATGTGGAAATTGCAACTAATCTAAGCTAGTAGATAGGGATCAAGTTTTGTGTCTATATATCTCTTTTTTTTTGGACATTCTATATCTCTTAGAATTAATTCAAGAGTTGCGTGTTGTTGTGTAGAAGTTTAATTCTAGTTATAAACAGCCAGTGTAGTGGCCTATATTGTTGTATCAAAGCTTGGACAATAAGTTGTTAATATTGTCGAAGAATACATAGAGTTCCACATCAACTATTAACAAAATAGAAAGTTCCATATAATAAATTAATGGCTCTACTCCTAATAACATAATAAATATAATAAAATCTCTTTCTTCAAAAGAAGGAAAAAAGTGTACATGGAAAAACTTTATAAAAGTAAGTTCCTTTTGAAGGAAAAAGAAAAGTGTCATTTAAAACCATTTTAGAATTCATATTGCAGATATCGCAACCATTAAACTAATATCAAAATATGACCCAAGGAAGAGGAGTCGTTTCGTTTCCTAGCACACGTGGGTCTTTGTCTGGTTATTGGATAACAACGGGTTAAAACATCTTAAGCTAATCTCACCACACAATTTCATTAAGACAGGTTCAATAGTTAAGCGCCCTATTCTTTAAATAACACTATTTAAGGAATTCCTCTGTTAAAGGAGACTATACATAAATAAATATATATGTACATATCATATATATTATAACGATGAAGATAATTTGGATGGTTTTGTTATAAACTTCAGAACATGTTTTATTCTTGGGAAAACGTGAATATATTTGATGGAGTATAAAATCTCTTTTGCGTATGTAATTTAGTAATTATATATATATAAATATATAGATATATGATACATAGAAATTATCTATGCCTGTTTATGTGTTTACGTGTTCAACTTTGCAAATGAAAAGAGCGCAAAGTAAAAGACGGTTTATACCAAATCTCTTAAATTTTTGGCTTTCGAACACAATCTTCAATGTGAATATCAAACATTTCCCTCACCACTCTATAAGATTTTTCATTATGTAGTGACAAACATTCTCCAATAACCCGAAACAACATTCAATATCTATATTATGTGTTCTACGGAACTGCATAAGTTCCTATAATAAAATTCATCAACCAAAGAGGGTGGAATAAGAAATGAGGGAGATGGAGCATCTTCTCCTCCAACTACAATAAAGACAATCGATCCCAATGCCAAGACTAAAGGACTCTCAAGCGAGTTTCCTCCATCCCTTTTACATTTTATTTTGCTAAAAAATGAACTAAAATAATAATAATTATATTATTTATGTATTTTATTTTGCTTTCAACTAATAAGCTTATAAAATTTAATCTAAAAATATGTTGATTACATAGAGATTCATGGGGTGTATTCAATTGAGATTTTAACATATTCTAATTACATGATTTTAATGTAATGAATTTCAACCGGATTTGTAATTATATGATTTTAATGGATTGCAATTACATGATTTTACTTATGAATTTATTCACTTAGGATTTTGCTTATGATTTTAATAGATTACAATTACATTATTTTACTTTATATTTCTATGGGAGAATTTTTACTCACCACATTAACCAAATGTGTATGTTCACCACCACCCTTGAAAGGTGTCTGCCTAATCCTTTTCATAGTGGCGCACTAGTACTAGTAACCAACCAGCCACACCAATCAAAAATCAAAGAGGCAAGCTTTGAGTTTTGAAATTGGGAGTAAGACTAAGAGCAAGCAATTTCATATTTTCTTTTGTCATATTTTGATTGATTCATAATTTGGCGGTTTATTGGATTTGGAAGATTTTAGTTTTGGGTTTAGTGGTAGCCAAATCATATGGAGGAAGATGAGATGGGTTTAGGGGTTTAGTGGTGGTTGTTTTTATGGGGAAAAAAATTGGTGGTTGTTTACTGTACACTGGGGGAGAGAGGAGAGTGCAGGAAAAAGGAGAAAGAAGGGTCAGGGAAGGGAGGAGGAAAGAAAAAAAAATAAATAAATAAATAAAGGAAGAGGGAAATGAGAAAAAAGGGAGAGTGTGCTATGATGTGGGCCCTTTATTGTATCTCTTATGAATTATTATTTTTTTACAATAAAAGGCATGAAAGAAAAGTATGAGAGCATATATGAGAATCATGCATAGGAGGGTGTGATTTGTATGTGATTTGGTATGTTTATTACACACTCAAAAGTCTCACACAATACACCATTTAATGAAATACATTAAATTAATAAGTTTTTAAATACCACACTACTTTTCTTATCTTTTAAAAGTCCTAATTGAATACCATCGGACTTACATTGATTATTTAAAAATACTAACTGAATACCACCAGACTTTTATTGATTACTTAAAAATCCTAATTGAATAACGCTGTACTTTTAAGCCTCAAAATAATCCATTAAAATCTCAATTGAATACGCCCTCCTTAGATACTGAAACTGATTAAAACTTTATATAATGTTATTAGGTTTCTTTTTCTTAGTAAAGTACACTTTTTATTCACGTATTTTGACAACTAAATTAGTCTTTTTTTTAATTAAAAAATAATAATAAGTGGCATTACTGTGAAGCAACTAAATTTTTGTTTTTTTTTTTTTTTTTTTTTTTTTTTTTTTAAAATTAATTTTTTTTTTTCGTCGTCTCTTTGACAGCACAAGAGTTCTTAAGGGGCAAAACATTAATAATTTTAAAAGATAATCGGGTACCAGTGTTTTATATAAGAAGTGCAAAATTGGGAAAAAATCTTAAAAAGTGCAAAATTGGGCTATTTCCAGAATTCTAGAAATTTAGCTGTTACATAACCCCTTCACTCTGTCCGTCGTCTGTGTGTTTGAACTTGAAGCTCCAACCATCGCGGGTCGTTGTTTTGCAGTGCGTGTAGGTTAGTTAAGGAAATGGAGGACATAGAGGATTTGCTAGTTGGGAGCGGAGGTGGAGCTCCTCCGGGTTTTCGTTTGCCCATAACAGCCGTCGGATTGAACCCAAAGAAGAACAAGAACAAGAACAAACCCAATCCCAATCCCAATGGCAATAGCAATAAGCTATCTCAAATCCAAGACCCCCTTGCTCCTCTCTCTCCCAAAATCCCTGGAACTCAGGTCTTTCTCTCTATCTCTCTTTCCCTCTCCAGTGATGATTTTCTTTCGCTAACTTCTGTTTTTTTCTTTTTCTTTATGCAGACTATATATATCAAGACATTTGGGTGCTCACACAACCAGGTACGTTTTCAGGATTCTATTATTGCCCCATTATTTTTCTGTAGTTAATGTTACCCATGACCGACTGTTTAGATGCCCTACCAGTTTTTGCACTTTATTTAGTGTAATATCATACTTTACCAGGAAAACCTTCGTATTTCCTCTACAATTTGAATATATAATTTTAGTTTTTCCTTCAGTAATAAGCGGGGGAGTTTCATTTTTTGTTAAGTTTGCAAGTTTTGGAGAATATGATGTGGTAAGAGGGGTTCAAATGATTAATTCAAGCAGCTGTCTTCAGAAGACAAATTCAGAGGTTTTTGTGGTTCTTGGAAAGAATAATGGAAACAGAAAAATAAATAATTGTGGGCTCCTTTCTAATAATAAGTCTTAATCTTTCTCCTGTCCTACTGCTCTTCAAGCCGCATGGAAATAGAAGACTGCTAGGTTTTTAGGGAAATGCTACACTTGCCAACTTTTGTTCCCCAACTAAGATGGCAATGTCCAAGTGAGTTATATAACATGGTTGATTTTCTACTCCAATGATACAGTGTGTGCAGCAAGTGCCAAATAGGTTGGGAAACAAATGATGGGAGACAAAGTTGGGCTGTTAGGAATTTTCCATACTCTTATTATGAAAATGAATAACTGACAGCATTATTTTATATATATAAAGTTTCTGGAAGGGGTTTCAAAAGGTTAGAAAACATCACAATTTAAGAGTAATATTAGGCTATCTGCTTAAATCAATGACCATTAGCTTGGGTGGAACCTTTGGGTTTATAGCAAGGTAGTAGAGCAGTTGATGATGAGAACAGGGTAAGTTAATATTTGAAAATTCCTTTGCATAAGAAATGTAGGATGTCACCAGAGAAGGGGGGGTGGGGGCGTTAAGCCAATGGCTGAACTGCTTTTGTAGATCTCCAGGCAATAAAGGTGCTTCTAATTTGGTTGGTTTCTAGTTTGAAGTTTTCTTAGATCTGTCTCTAAGGTTTTAGTTATTTGCTGATTATCCTCTATTATCCACCTATTTCAAATGGATCTATGATATCAAATTTTAAGGTTGTTATTATGGTTATAACTTATAAGTAGGATTTATTTGGTAGTAATGTTTCTTATTCTTATTTAATTTGGATTTTGCATGCTTTCTGATCATCCCATTTCCCCATTTACCCATTCTGTTCATCGGAATGAAGCAACTTTAGAGTTTTTGTTCTTTCATTTAGATATGAAGCTATTGATCTTTTATTTAGATGTGGAAATTTATTGAACTTTAAGTGATGGGCCCATTTGGTAATCATTTAGTTTTTAGTTTTTATTTTTCAATGTATATATATATTGGTTAGAGATATTGGGGAAACAAAGGAGGGGATGAAGAAGGGTGGAAGGTCTATGGAAGAGAGAATGAAAATTAAAAACTGAAAACTGAAAACAATTTTATATTGCTTTCACTTTCAAAAAATTTCTCAAAGATTTCCTTATATTATATCAAGTATGGGAGACCCTCAGTTTCTATCCAGTCACCCTGGAGCGGAATCTTACTTCAGATTTAGTTGCTCCAAGGAAAGTAGGATATCATTTTCGAATGTAACTGTTCAGCTGAAGGCACTGGCCATAATATGATATCGGTTCTGTCCTATTTTGGAATTCAACATATGAAAGCCTTTTTATCAGCCTGAAATGGCGTCGGGTCTACCTTAAAACCAGCCAACTTTGCCAAAGCCAATTAAATGCTTCCTCAGGGATTTCGCTTGGTCTTGATCTCATCAGTTTTCGATCGTCTTCATCTAATCAGTATACGATCATCTCACTCCGCTTCGAACTCGCTGCCTCCTCCCATTCCAAAATCCCAATCCCGTGCGCTTTCAATCCTTGCTGCGAAATCGGGGCCAAGAACTGAGGTATGGTTTCTGAAACTCACTTTCTAAGTTTTTCGTTTTGACTGCATCCCACACCTGCAGAATATTGAAAAATCATAACTGACATTGAACTTGAACCTGCACAATTACTTCAGAATTAGTTAAGTCATAGATCAAATCTTAATGACCCTATCCTCCCCACACGCGACAACACACATGAGCCTCCATCTGAAAACAAGAGGACAACCACAGTCAATTTTAATTCTAATAGATGTTATAGATTTTCTGTTTGCGTATGGTTATAGATTTTCTGTGTGGCTGAAATTTTTTTTTCATTTCCTGTTCGTACTTATCTTGCGTTCCCTTTTTATGACTCCAGTTAAATTGGACATTTCAAGAATTATTTTCTTCACATAATTATGTTTATCACATGTCACACCCTCCCATTGGTCTCTGCAAGGGTCTGAACTCATGTTCCAACCACATTTGACATCTCTCACTGAATTTCGTGGTGAAAGTTTGTCCATGAATTGCACCAGCACTTGCTTGAATTGCTTCAAGTCTTGATCTTCTGAATTAGCCATTTGAAAGACGAGAAAGATCAAAATGGCCAGTACCCAAGTGGGAAAACGATTCATTTTTTCTTATTTTTATGTACAAGTAAAGTTTTTTGTGGAAAATGGTTCTGTGATTTTGGTTTCCGCTTTATGAAGTGGGCTTCATTGATGGAAGTTGCAAAACAAGAAGGAAGTAGCAATGTTGAAGTTTGTTGCTGGAATATGACTTGGTGCCAATTGGCTGATACAGACAGAGAGTTTGAAATATTCTTTATGGTTAAGGTTATGCACCATGAGGAGCTTGCAGAATGAGCCTCACACCGCACTATAGCCTATAACAATTCTGAAAAAATAAGTGGAGCCATTGGGAATTTGCGTGTTGTTATAGATTTTCTGGGTGGCTGAATTTTTATTATTATTATTATTTTTTCCTGTTCGTACTTATCTTGCGATCCCTTTTTGGAGAGCAAGTAAGACTTTGTGCGTATTTGTTGAATGCTATGTTTCTTCTCCCTCTCCGATGTCACTCTTTTATCCATCACGTCATTTCCTTTAGTTGTTAAATTTTCTGCTTTTAGTGAATTTGAGGAATATAAATGGAAGTGGAGGGAATTAGGTTCGGTTGTGTGAGTGAAATTATGCATCTTTGTGTGTTATTTCAGTCCAAGTTTGTACATTTGTATTTATGAGTGTGCTGTTTTGTTTTGATATATGAGTGTAAAATCTTACCTTACCGCCTAACATGAACATTTTACCCCAATGTTTGTGTAATGACTGACAAATGTAAGGAGTTTGAAAAAGGTATCTGGGGTATAGAAAACCCCCAAAGATTCAGTTCAATATTCTCTCATGGTGAATATATCTAACTCCTCACATGTGAGCCTCTATCCTCAGCTTATATTGGAAGGTCGCAGTCTTAGGAATTTAAACCCAGGATCTCCAGCTTAGTTAGCGTGATAATATTGGTTGGTTTGTTGCCATTCACGGTATTATAATAAGATGCGTGTCAATAATTATTTTATATTCTCAATTCATTCATGTTTATATTTTTTTTGAATCTCATCTCATGGAATAACTTTCTTCTATAACATATAGCGATGATCCATTTCACCAGTTTGTTATTTCTGTTTAAACATATAAGTTTTCTTTTTCCCATCTAATTTTTAATTTTTTTTTAATTCATGGTTAACTGGTCCTTATTGATTGTATCTTCTGAAAGAGATTCTTTTTGTGTCTGCAAAAATAATAATAATAATAAAATAAAATAAAATAAAATAAATAAATAAAAATCCCAAGCTTATAGACTTGTGGATATTTTAGCTATTGAAATTAGTAGTTTTTAATAAAAAAGAAAAACAGGATTTAATACAATTTGAATTCTGTATGCAGCTTCTTTATGATTCCTTTTTTTTCCCCCACAGTTGCAGTAACACAACCTGTAATATATAATACAATTTACATCACAACATATGCTTTGTAATTGAATCATGAAAGCAATGTTGAAATGAGGGGATCCATACAGAGTGGGTTTCTTTCCGTACAGATTTTGCTCAATCTAATTCTTTGGTTTAATGAAAAGATTGTGCATGCATAAAATACTCAAGCTAATTTCTTCTTCGATTTTTCTGTTTTTTCTTCTCCTTTTTCTTCTTTTTTTTAAAACCATGTTTTCTTTTGATATTTTGCAGGTGGTCTTTTGTTGCTTTGGATAGAGCGGTTTGGTTGGTGTTTTCAGTTTTGTTAAGCAAGGGGTGAGTTTCTAGGCTGAAATTTCAATTAATTGTTTTAAGTTTTTGTAGAGCATAGGAATTAGCTAATGGCATCAATTGACAATTGGTTGGTGTTAATTTGTTGTTGTAATGATAGGTTTAGATGATTACAATATTTGAACATGTTGGTAGAGTGTTTTGGCAATTGAGTAGTTGAGATGTTCCCTGCTTATTTTCATCGCTTTATACACATTTCACACAATTTTAAAACCCGCAGCACCGCACGGGTACCTTTTACTAGTAAAATCTATTACGTATATATCGTGTCTCTTGACATCACAGGAGTTCATTTTACTTTACATCATGTATGTTCTTAAAGGGAGGAAAAAAAAAGAGATAATCGGGTCCCAGTATGTTATTAATATTTTGTGTGTGAATGTAATTCTATTTAAATAAATTGAAAAGCATTCAAATAGAGTGGAAAGCTACAAGCCGAAGAAAACCTAACCAAAAAACAAAAAGACAAAAGGCCCAAACATGAAAACACAGAAAAGGCAAAGTGAAGGCCCAATTACATAAACAGAAAACCGTAGGTATGGGAATGAACCAGCCACGCCACCCAGAGAACACCTGCCACAACACCATTGTATGGAAGTTTTGGCAAGTGCTGCCGTTTTGACCAGCAATGGGATGTTGGTCTACTTAAAGCGCACTAACCTGTAATGTTATCCTGATTGTTCAAAGGAAGCACATACTAGGATCAATCAGAAAAGGGTTACTCAAGAGCCATGCCCTTCCCTTCCATGCCAACCCTAGTAGATTATCTCATTGGCGGAGGTTTAATGAAACTGAACATGTTGGATTCAGGTCACCACCACCAGCAACTAGTGTTCTGTAACAGAAACGGAAAGTAATATATTGTAGGTTACACAGAGCTGCAAGAAGGTGATGACTGGTCCACTGTTACATTATTTTTGTTTCTGATATTACTGTGGAAGGGATTTGCGTCTTCTTTGCAAGTGAAAGAAAGTGCAGAATTTGGTTCCATCCAGGCAATGTGTAAAGTTTCTTTTGCTAAAACAAGAAAAAGAAAAGGAAAAAATAAAATAAAATAATTTGGCTTCCGGCAATGTGCAGAATTCAGTTCAAGGTTGCGACCCTTTGCTTTGCAATTAAATTCTTTGGCAAAATAAAAATAAAAAAGGAAAGGAAAATTCAATCTTAAATAATTCCCGTCAACTAAATTCTGTGGCAACCATTCACAATTAACGTGGGTGGGAAAAACAATTGAAGAAAATATTAAATAAAAAACTTTTTAGATGCCCGAAACACCCCTTCACTGCTAATTGTTCATCCACAACACTCGATTCTTTAGTGCGAACAAATGCATCATGGCTCTATCCTGCTCCCCAAAAAATCCAGATATGGTTCCACTGCTAGTTGTTCATGTATATAAGCCCCTGAAAAATGCGTCATCAACTCCCCCTGAAAAATCCCGATTTTGTTTCCAAATCATACAAATGAGGATCCGGATTATCCATATTTTCCTTCATGACTTTGTCCCATTCTAGATGAACCCCTGTCTTCTTCACTCTCACAAAATCAACATCATCAGGCCTTACAAGAATGGAGACTTGGTCCCCGCCTTGCAAACAGAGAACATCGTTTAACAATTGTCCCTGCCAAAGATAATGGTCTTTAGGTCTATGCCAAGTTTTTAAGGAGGCAATTGCTATCTTGGTGTGCAAAGCAGTTTGTTTGGTAAGATTTCTAACGATAATGCCAATAAGACCATTTTGAAAATCTTTAAATTTCCCATAACTCCAATAAGGCATTGTTAAGAATTTTCGCCTGAATGAAGAGTAAACGAAGCATATAGTCAACCCTTTTAAATCACTACCCATGATTCTTTGAGGAACTTCAAAGAAGACGATATTGCCCACATCATTTACGATTTTGAACCACTTAGGAATATCATAAATTCCATTCAAATAAATTCCACCAAATCCGCAAGAAGTCCATCTCTGCACACCAGAAGCAATACATTCTTATACATGCATGCATATATCATTATATATATGGGCCGCATCTGCAGCTGTGCCTTTGTGTTTGTGTGTGTGTGTGAGAGAGAGAGAGAGAGAGAGAGAGAGAGAGAGAGAGAGAGACCTGTAGGATGTTGTTCCTAAAATCGGCAGTCAGATTGGTGCAGCCTTCCATATGAATCCTTGTCATGGAGTTTAATGACTTATCCAAGCCTGGAACCTCAGTGAGTTTGAACGAATCACTCAGATACAATTCTCTCATATTCGACATTTTTGAAAAATCGGGAATTGTTTCCAATTCTGGACGGTAATTGCTTCCAGAACATACAAATTCGTTGGTAAATCTGGTATTGCACGAAGGTTTTTGCATGCATTTACACACAAGACCTTGAGCTTGGAAAGACCAGCGAGGCTTGGCAGTCCACCAAAGTAATTGTCTCCAAGAAGCAGATGTTC